TTTTTAAGTTCTGATAAATTTTTATTTTTTTCAAATGGTAATCCACCATAAAATCTTTTTTTCCAAAAGCTATGATCTAAGAATCACTACTATCTACATTTTTTATTCAATTTTTATCGAAAAATTTTTCCTATAAGTTGCCATCTTAATAAAAAAATCGCATAACTCAAAAACAAAACACAATTGCATTCTCACAACACGATCAAATGTTTTATAGCACTTTGATTTTTATCAATTATTATGTTCTGAAAGCTTGGTTCCATACTTTTTTGTCACCTTATATGAAATTTAAGTACATATAATTTTTCAAATTGAGTTTTTTTTTTAATTAACTAGATACCTATAAGGTACAAGCAACAGTAAAATATTATAATTAATTTTAGTATTAATCTATTATAAATAAACTTGTTTATTAAATAACTATTATTTTTGAAAAATTGACATTTGATAAATTTTTTAACCTACATAATTTACTAGTTTTTCAAAATTTAGTGTCAAGTATTGTTTTCACGAGTGTACTTACTTAATTAATATTCTTGTATATTGTGGATTCACATTAGGTTTATTTATTTTTAATTGTACCTAATTGCAAACATACTTTGTAATATAACCAACGTCTATAAAAATAAATAAATAGTTAAAAAAACTTTCACAAAACATTAAACGTTATATTTTCTGCATTTCGTCTACACAGACTTTTTTACTAAAAAAACAAAATTTAATTTACTGCACGTTATATTAGAAAAATTGATTACTTACCGATGGCGACAGAACAGCCGATAGCAATGTGGCGTTGTTCAATTTTAATTTTTCTACTGATGACTCTAAGCAGCTTATTACAATTTTAGTTATTTATTATACAAGACGATAAAAAAAATGTTTATCTACGAGTAAAAAGGTTAAGTTTACGAGTGACGAAGTCACGAGTGGACTTTTTTTACGAGTAGATAAACAATCTTTATCGTCGTGTATAATATTTCGTTTTATTTTGTACTCACCTACCAGAATTTCTTGAATACAAACAGTGGATAAAAATTACTTTATTTCACTGAACGATAAAAGACTTCTTTATCTACTAAAATTAGTTGATAAAAACACTCCTTAACATTGAGTACGAAATAAAAAGTATTAACTAATACAATAAATCAAATGTGTGCATTTTTTTATTAAAAATTTTAGTACCTACAGTATTTTTTATCCCGTAACTCACAGTTTTTATAAAAAAAACGTAAACAAAAACAAATAAATAATTCATGAAGTGTCTTATACATTGTTAATACCAATCAATACTTTTAATTCACGTAGAAATTCTTAATTTTATTACAAGTACTTTTCGTTTTGAATAATAAATGGAAAGAAAATTTTAAAATTTCCGCATACTAAAGCAGATTTTGTTAATGAAAAGATTTTTCATAAATATCAAAATATACAAACTCTTAGTTTCTAAAAATAAACAGTAATGATGCAAGTGTGTTTATAGAAGAAAATATTTACTGTTCTCAAGTGACTTACTTGTAATAACATACGTATGCCATACTTTATCCAAAATAAATATGTATATTAATCAAAATAAAACTCCTTCGAGCGTTTATTTTGTGGAGTTTGTATAATACCTGACGCATGTTAGTTTATTTATTTTGTACTAAATAATGTTTCACAAATTAATGAAGAGCACTTTCACAAATTTAATATTTTTCCTATTTATTATATAATATACTACCTACAACCTAAAATTTCACACTTATTTATGTATTCTTATTTCACTGAAAGTAAATATTTGTAAAAATCAGTTCAATAATTTTTCGACGTGTTCCCTATTCAAGAAACTTTTCCTAAACAACTTATTTTTGATCATTTGAGGCTAGCGATGCTAACCACTAACCGAAACCAGGAAATTATCCCATCCAATTTTCTATACTATAAGCATTTATGTAGCGCTTTATTATATTTAGCCTCCAGTTTCCAACACTGGCTTACTCCATTGTAGAGTAATTGTTATTTGTTGTACAATGTGAAAAATGTGCCTTATAAATTATTTTGTTTTGTTGCGATGAACAAGTAATAGTAACACATTGCAAAATTAATTATCTCTTATCTTGAAAGAGGCATTAATCAACTTTGTGGCGAAAAAATTGGGGCATAAAGATGTCCCAGTCATAGTGATAAAACACGCCCAAAGTCGGTCCATGATTAAAAGGTGGTAATATTAATTATCGAAGGGTGAATTAGGGTGAATATGATGCACGTAACAATGACAATAATTGAAATCTCGATCAATATGTAAATCGTGCTAATTAGAGCCCACCCTTTGACTCTTCCCTTTTATCACTTGATTAACGAAACTTTACTAAAAAAACCCGATAAGTGTTTACTTTAAATTCAATTTGTCTCGTTCACTTACCCGAGCGAAAGCTACTTGCGCCCCATTAGACGGAATTAAGATGGCAAATTACTTAAGTACGCGTGCAATGAAATCCACACATGGTTAAATTAATTAACATTTGCATCGAAATAGAGTCTTAAAGCCGTGTTTTTGGGGGGAGCGCTCGTAAAGTTTTATAACTGACTCGACGCAATTAAACGTTTGATTCGCATCTAAATTTGTTTTTTATTTATCTTGCAAGAAGTTTGAAGCGGCGTGGAAATATGCTGTAAACAAAACTAGTTATCGAAAAAGTTGTGCGCTCTTGTAACCATTAACCCCTTGTTAAAAATCGCCCTTTTGACAAGAACACTGACACGTGTTTTTTAATTTAAGTTTAGGAAAGTTTTAATTGTGGCCAAAATCAAACAACTTAAAAGGAGGATATAAAGAAGATTTATTTTATGGTGCTTGAAATTAGTTACTTTTTGCACTAATCGTAAATATCAACTTAGACCAAGGCATTGTTAATTAATCTGCTTGAGACTTGATTCTAGCTCTTTGATAAGGACTTGCTAACCATCTAACTTTGACAAGAGCACTTTGCTATGGAGATGCTAAGAAACAGTGCTCCAAACACTCATTAGTATTAATGGATAGAACAAAATTGGTTTTTATTTATCGTTTATTTTCTTATAGTTATATGTTTGTTAAACTTACATTGAAATGCATACAAATCAGTAAACATTTTACTGAAATTAATTTTAATATCGATTTATATTAAGTCAACAGCATATGAATCATTTTTATTGGTTACATACAAAAAAAGTATAAAGTTCATTCACCGACTTGAACAAATAATCCAAAATGAGCGGATCTCAAATAATTTCGTTTTTTAAAACAAAATCAAACAACAGTTATTAAAACGAAGTTTAATTACAATTTTTAATACAAAGCATTTCCATACCTACGTGTTTAGGAGCTGCATTTCCGTAAAAACTGTAACTAAAAAAAAAACCACCAATTTGTCGTCAATTATGTAAATTTCACTTTCTATTATAATAAAGAAGCTCAATCAATTTCCAAACGTCACAGATGTGAGCATTTTGCAAAAATGATCGGAGATGCATCAATTTATTGTTAAGAAATAGAAGCACACTCACCCGTCACTCCCTCTTCAAATGCTAAATCCCTAACAGTTATTTTTCCTGTCCCACTTACCTTCAAACAACAGCATACTTCCGTGAAATTTTAATTTGTATCTCAAAAGGCTGATAAGCTCTTAATCTCGGACAATATTAAAAACAGTTTTTTTCTTCAAACAAAGGCAGGCGGTCAAATGTTACTTCAAAAAAATAAACAAGAATGTGGCATCATCCTCCGCATCCTTAAAACCAGAAATAAAATTAAATAAGAAGGCTGATCGATAGTAATTTTATTTGCCTAATATTAAATTATGTTACAGTGGGAAACGAAATTTACAAACAGGGTACAGCATTTAAATAATAATCACAATAATTTAACGATTTTATAAATAGAGTCATTCGGGTATAGTTTCTTGATCTCTCAGGAGATTTCGGGGTATCCCCAAGTTCCTCATCCTGGTTTCCAGTGCAATCCATTCGAGCAGAAAGCTGCATTAGAAAAATACAATCGCTATAAGCAACAAGTAATTTGAGCTTTTAGCAATAAATTGCCGTCATTCTTGACACAATTATTTTTAAAAACAAAGTCACGTGGATTTCTACTACTAAAACGCAAACCCACATAACAAATCGGTTTGTTATTTTATAATTTAGTTTTATGCGTTTTTGTAGGTAATTAAATTAAGCCGGCCTACACACATTAATTAAATTACAAATTTTCAAGTGTGCTACATCAATGGAATAAACACAAAATGTAACAAAATAGTTTCACAAAAAATAAAAATTGATTGATGGTAAAATGCGAATATTTAATGTTGAATTTCTCTATGTTTTATCAAAAATAAATACTTTTTTTCCGTAATACAGGGTGCTGCATTTTGGATGTCCGAATGGGGAATCTCCGAAACTAAGATGTTTAGCCAAAAACGAGTGATATATTCTGGGGCTCATTTTTGGAGAAAATAATAGTGGTTAAAACCGCATCCCGCTATCGTCTTTTGTTTTCGACTTATAGACAAAAATTGACATTTTAGCGAAATCTAAAAAAAATCATATCTTTGTTATTATAGAAGATACGGATTTGAAAGAAAGACATTATACAGGCACTTTTTTACGAGGAATTTAATAATGTAGTTAACAATTTTTTTTCAGTTATTAGTTTAGCCGTAATAAGTAAACTTGTATTTTTTTAAATGGAAATCATAGGCGGCTATGGCAATTTTGAAAAGCTTATTTTTTTTTGATCTAAAAAATATATATTTCTAACAAAATATTTTTTTATAACTATACTTAAAAAGTGAAATACATATTTTGTGTGATAATAGTTGGCCATGGAAAAACTATTCCACTCCAAATATGTAAATAATAATCAATAAGAGTTTTGTGAACTGTAAAATAGATGAAAAAATATATAAAATTATAAAGATTTAAAAAATACGAAACGGTAGAAACATTGAACCGAGCGCCTCAGAACAAAATTATTACATATTTTTAAAAAATCCAAAAATAGGAAAAACAAATGTGTCAACAGTCAACACAATTAGAAAAAACATTTTTTTGATGATCTAATGGAGGTAGGATAACGTTTCACATAGACGGAATTTGGGTATTTGAATAGCGATATCGTCATTTTTGAGTCATATAAAATATATTTTATTGAAGAATTAAAGCGGCTTTTTTTACAACACTCTATGTATCACTAGAAGTTACAATGGTAATGTTAGCTTGTTTAAAAACAAAGAAATGTTATTAGTCGCCAATAAGTTGATATACGTACAATTTATTTTGCATCTTTTTCATTACTTAGTAATTAGAAAACTCTTTCATTAGTGACTGGTTGAATATAATATAGTTTAAATCCTTTTGGTTGAAAATGCAACATTTTTTCATGGCCAACTGCGAACAAAAATCAAAGATATTTTTTTGCTAAAAATGTACTCGTATTATAATAATTTGTAACAAATATATATTTTTTAGATAAGAAAAAACAAGCTTTTTAAAAATGACAGCCATATATGATTGCCATAAAAAAATACAAGTTTATTTTATTACGGCTAAACAAACAACTGAAAAAAAATGTTAACTACATTATTAAATTCTACGTTAAAAAGTGCCTGTATAATGTCTTTAGTTCAAATCTGTGTCTTCTATAATAACGAAGATATGAATTTTTTTAGATTTCGCTAAAATGTCAATTTTTGTCTATAAGTCGAAAACAAAAGACGATAGCGGGATGCGGTTTTAACCAATATTATTTTTTTTTAAATGAGCCCCAGAATGTATTACTCGTTTTTGGCTAAACCTCTTAGTTTCGGAGATTCCCTATTCGGACATCCAAAATGCAGCACCCTGTACATAGGTACTTCATAATATTTTTGTCTGAAAATTCCGTTAAGATTCTTTTATAAATATTTTTTTTAGATTTTTTTCAAGTCAGAAAAACAAACCGGTTTGTGGAAAAAAATTAAACTGAAGAACCCGCATCCAATAAATATGAAAAAAAACCTTAAAAAATCTGTAACTTTATTTTTAGATACAAATCAATAAAAATATGCTGCCATTTACAAATATTGTGATGTAATTGAAAAATTTATAGATGCATACAGTTGTCCAGCGGACTGTATGCCATTAATTAATGACTTAAATGTCAAGATATTCAAAAATGTAAAAAAAGTTTCCTACATTACCCAAAATAATTTTCATTATATCGGCTGTTTTCTAAATAAGTTATTACACAAAATTGTATGTAATTTTTATTTTAGATGATTTAAACTAAACTTTTAGTAGTCCATTTTGCTTAGTTTTTGAATTTTTTTAACAAAAACATTAAAATAAATTATTACACTAAATTTATAAGAATAATAAAAAAATAAAATATCAATATTTTGAAAGAAAAATGTACAAATTGTAACATTTTTTAGTGTATTGCAGTCGAAGAGTTAAGAAAATGAAAAAGTTAAGAAACCAGCCAATTTTTTTTAATCTAATATGTTTTTAGCAAGAATTCCCATTTTTTTCATTATAATTTTTCTCAAAAATGTTGCATATTATTTTCTAATAAAATGTAGCTTTTCAGGGTAGTGAATGGGAAATGGCAATGCCCAAATATTTATTAACAAAACTTAAGCTCTTTGAGTAAAGTGCAATATCCTTTTTCAATTTTCATTACCGTTTTTCGAAAATCTCGTAACGCCAAATGAAGTCTTTCAAAATCACTAAAATCCAATGATCGTTACGAGCTTACTGCGTTGCGAAATCGTCTCTCAGTTCGTTGTAAGGAAATTTAACGCGATTTAGCGACTTACTTGTTGACGTTATGCATGTCGACGGCCCTTTTCCCGTAACCTCTAGCTGTGCCTAAGTCCATGTTGTGGTATTTAAGAGCTTCGATGCCTCTAGTTAATCTTTGTTGCGGAGTCCTGACTTGAGGATATTTTGCGTCGCGACGTCCTTGCGCGTTCGTCAACAACAGCCAAAGAAATATCAACGTGAAGAATAGAGCAGCATGTTGGAACGCCATACTAAAAAAATTAACAAAATTATATCACGTGAGATATTAACCACTGATTTATTTGAACAATTTGGCGAAATGTAGATTAAAAGGGAGAGTCGTTTCATTAAAATAAAGTTTTTTAAAAGTAGAGGCAAATGAAGTATAACCGAAATCAACTTTTATTTAGTAATCAAAACAAATAATGTCAACGGGTCAACAAATCATAATGATGATTGCACAATATTGTTTTTTAATTTTACAAGTACTGTGTTGTTGTGTGTGTTCCATTTAATTTAATTAATTATGCTCATGTTAACAGTAGTTTATTTTTACAAAATAATTATTAAGGTGTTTACACTTTTTGAAATCAATACAATTCTCCTCTAATTAAAGTATTAATCCCGGCGCCTCCGCCAATTTTAATCTAGACACAGTTTTGTTCTTTCGACTTTGTGATGGATATCTCTGTTTACTTAACTAAACTAAAAAATAATGGACACGTGTTGTCATGTTCATTTTTATCCAGTCTCATTTATTTATTCAGCTGTCTCATATTTCATTTACGGGAAAAACAGCCAAACGAAAAAATACATTTAATTGAATATTGACTAATCCTTTTCGAATTTCCAGATTTGTATTTATCTTGATAATTAAAATTGTACACCTAAACCTAAAAAAATTACTTTTATGTTTTCAGTTTAATTAGAAAAATATTGTTTAATCAAATGAAACATTTTCCACTTTACACTTTTATACTCTGTTTCAAGGAGAAAAATTAAGCTTCTCTTATATCCCATATTGGATAACAATAGATATAAAAGAAATCAATTTTTACAAACCAAAGATTCCATTCATAACACTGCAACAGTTGTAATAGTATACACCCTTTGTAATGAATTATTGTTTCAGATTATAACTCAGAAGGTCAGACTTGTATTAAACTTTGCATTATGTTGTAACTTATTTATCCCATTTACATATACCAATCTTTGAACTGTAAATTCTTCGCAATTAATTTAGTAAATTTCCTTTGAGCTTATATACTTCAAATAGCACAAGGAACCCCAGCTGTACAGATAATAATTATCTGTTTCAATGAATAAAACAAAAAAAGTAATCACGTTGGATTTGATGCAGATGCCAATGAAACTTTTATAGAAGCAGTCGTAATTGGAATAAATTTGAATGTGAGAAAAATGGCTGTTCACTAATTGTAAATAGTAAAAAATCACTTAAATTGTTTATCGCTAAAATCACACTACTTTAAAACGTTTTTTAAAATACATAAAAGAAAAAAGCAACAAAATAATTTTTTGGAAAGTTGATTATTTCACTAAAACAGAGTTGTTTTCTGGAAAGCATGAAAAGTAAACCTAACTTTTCAAATAATGTTCAAATTCCAATAAAACACTTTTAGGTGCAAAGATGCAAATAAGGAAGATAATGAAGCATTTTAACAAACAATAGTGAAAATGACTGTAAGACCGTTAATTAAGAAAAGTCTGATTTTATGAGTAGAAGTTCTATAACGTTGCCCCTCCTACACAATCTTCTTTTGATTTTAAAATAGTTACATACAATTTTTGATAATAATTTGAGTTTGTTTTTTTATTCAACAACAAATTTTAATTGAAACCGTAAACAAAAAACTAAAACTTTGGCTTTTTATTTTAAGCTTCTTGATGTATGACTGACGTATCGATAAACAAATCGTGACTATTAAAATATTTAAACCTACATTTAGTATGCAAAAACACGATGCAGTCAGATACGACATAATTTAATCTGCAAATATTAACAATAGTCTGTTTGTTTACCAGGTAAACTCAATAAGAAAGCCAAAAACGGCTATAGCAATACTTAGTTAATTAATAATGGCAACAAATTATCATCATCAAATGAGTGGCAACAATTTTAACTGCTTAACTAAAATGTTACCAACTTAAACTAAATTCCGCATTTTTCATGCTGTTTGCCTGCACGCCTATTAAATAAGCTTAATTATCTACCAAGCCTTGAATATTTTTAATCTAATTTATTAACTTGTTAATAACATGGATTTCGAGCCGTGTACAAAGAATTTCCCAGAAATTTCTCCAAAAATTTCTTTATTTCCTTCACAAGTGGGAAATTTCGATAAACACTTTTAGTCTGACGCTCAAAGTTCTAAATATAGATTTTTTATTTATTTTTTGTGGTAGGTGACTTTAGACATCTCAAACACAATAAGTACTTAAATTATTTTTTCAGGAAGCCGCATTGTAATTCCAGTTAAAGAAAAACTACATCAAAGAGAACCGATATAAACCATGTTTGAAAAATAATATTTTGTTGCTGGAAGTGATTTGCTTGGTTTCAACAGGTATTTTAACAATGGAGGCTCTAAAAAATAATTTAGTTTTCTAACAAATGTGATGGCAGTGAGCATTGGGTGTGATTTTTAGCCACTACCAAGGAATTTATTCGATTTTTAATTACTAAATAATCAGATTTGCTTTCAGAATACATAATAGATCTGTTACCAACTTACCAAACTATTTTAGGGCTATGTACAATGTTAATTGTTACTTATTTTTTGTTGGAGATAAAAAGTATTTTCGCTAAATTATGCAAACAAAATTTTAAAATAAAATGCCAAGCACATTAAAAAATCCTATTCATTTATTGATTCTAGAGTAATTTCGCAGTAACTATTTACTATGTAATAAAATCAAAGTTATTTTAGGATTTGAAAACGCTTGAAACATTAAAGTGAACAAATCCATTGAAAACAAAATCTTTTAGAGAATAGTTTTTTCGTGTCGAATAAGTCTCAGTTTTAAATTAATCTAAAATCCTAATCAACTCTACATCTTAATGAAAATTTGCCCCACTTGTTGAAGACTTGACATTTAAAATGAAACTCAGATATGTAAATTTTTTGTAATTTTTTTTAAACTTTTCCCGAGACGAGTTTCTCAAAAAATCCTCTGGGATTTGTCATCTCGCACGTTACACAAATTCCTCTTTGACACATCCATCTTGTTTCGCATTATCGTTATCGTATTAAGGTGCTGAAAGCGAACAGATCCTGACTGAGCTCCATTAGCCGCCAGCAAGAAAACGGACAATAATTGTCTTTAGTCACAAGCAATCGCTTCGCGCTGAAAAAATCGTCTAGTGGACGACAGCCCCCACTTCTAGCTTTCCGATCCAAATAATGTAAATATTTCAGTTTAATTTCTGCCATGATTACCGCGACTTCCCACTCGCTACTCAAATACAAAGTCGCTTTGTTGCGTGTGTTGGATCTTAGACTGGGAGGATTAAACTTCGTCAAACAGCCGATTGTGTCACTGGTCGAAGTTTGACTCCAAACAAAACTTTTGCAATTTTATTCAACTCTTCTGTGTTGCTGTTTGTTAATTTCAAGTCAAATCGCTGCTGCCAATTCGACGCATTTGCGACCACGGAATACGGCAATTACGCACGTGGATGCGAATGTAAATCGCTTTGAAATGTAAAAATTCGGCGCATGGCTTCTAATGAATTTAAATCAGCATTAATTGCGACAATTATTACCGGGATTGGCGGTTAGTTGGGGAAAATCGACGCCGAGAAATTATGTGCCTTTAAATCGGACAGAATGCGAGTTTTAGACACGATAAACTTTTTTGGATTCGAATAGCGGCGTTATACAATATTTCGATGATAACACTGCGAGTGTTAGAGAGTTTCAATTCAAATAAAAGTGTGCCAACATTTTCAGTGGGCGCTAAATAAGCTTTCAGAAAGTTAATTTATTCATACTACATATTACTAGCAATAATTACACAATCACCTAATGGATAAAATATTTGTTAATTTAATGCGTTTTGAAACTTACGCGTTTTGTTGAAAAACTTTTAACATAATAACAAATGACAAATTTGTTCTCAAGAGATAATCACTCCATAGAGACCTGAGCTATCTGGAAATATTTCCAACAAAACAAGTTTTTTGACGAAACTATGGTACATGAAAAGTTTAAATTACCCAACATAACAAGAATACAGAGTGTTGCAATTAAAAGAAAACAAAGCGAAAGAAGCTACTGTAAAATTAAAAACTAAATGACCAAAGTAAATAATAAGAAAAGTCTATTTCATGAAGCTCTGGTATTTATCATGTTTTTCTTGGGTGGGCTTACAGATTTAGATCCATAGACATATAAGTCTATTTTTTTTTTTAATGATGTATACCCAAGAAAAATTATAAGAAAAAGCAAAGGTCTGTAAAATATTTTTTTATAGTTTATAATAGTTTTTTTGTTCTTGAATTAAAATTTTTTTATTAAGTACCTAAATAAAATTTTTATTTTTTCATTTGATACTGAAAGAAAAAATAAATAAAAAAACATCTAAATAATAAAGTTAGTTACCGTCTGTGAAAAATACAAAAAGAAACTATTAATTTGGCTTACGTTTCTGTTTTTTTTTTTCATTATTTCATTTAATACAAATGTAATTTTTTTATACATTTTTTAACAAAAAATTATAAAAAGCATTATGAATAACAAAAATATAATATTTACAGTGCAGATTAAGAAAAAAATATTTGCAATCAAATTTTTCAGCTATCTGTAATTAGCCACAGTAACAATTCACTCTTCATTTACTGTTTTGAGATATATTTAAGTATTGAAAGAATAAAATGTGTGCAAAAAATATTAAGTTCAAACATTGTTATTTTACATTATCCAAACAAAAAATTACCACATTTTTATTTTTTTTAATTTTTTATGTTTTTAAAATAACCCATCATTACGAATTTTAAAAAATCAGTATAGTAATGTCTCAGAAAACAAAACTTTTCGATGAAAAAATTGTCTAAAGAAGGTTATTCACCATACTGCTCATTCAAATTACCACCACTTCTGTTTACATTCACTTAATATTTGCACACATAAATATGTTTATGTTTGTTTATTACGAATAAAACTTACCCTCCAATGGAGAAATGTATTTCAAAACAAATGCTCCCACTTTCTCAGTCATTTATTCATAACTTTACAAACAATTATTCTAATTGATAAAAATCGATTTTGCTTTGTAACAACTCTTCACTAAAGCGTAGGTTGTTGTTGTTAATAACTTTAATAATCATTGCCAGTTTAAATATCCCATTGAACCGTTAACGCTCATATTTTCCTTCTCTTGTTATTAAACTCAGACTAATAATAATATAGAGTTTGAGGGCAAACTGACTTCACGACTAGAATAAAACCCTTTCAAATCAAGCAGAAATTTTCTCAATCCATAACAACAATTAAATGCTCTGGCGTTCTCGGTCAGAGTTCATTTAAAAAAAATCTAGAGTAAACACTTCCATCAATTGTTTGAAAGGTAAACAGAGCATGTGGCTTAAATGATGTAAGAACTTCTCTTTTGTACTGATATGTAAATTTTATTCTGGTGCAACGATGCCAAAGGGGATTGATAGTTGAGCTAAGTTCAGAAAGCTGATAAATGTTATGTAAAAAGTTTTATTTTTACGTGGATGTTCAGAGGGTGTAGGAAGGCAAAAGTAAAACAGCTGCAAGATTTAATATCCGAGCGATTGGTATATTGCTTGGTTTTACTCAAATCAAGTCTCATTTTATTTCAAAGCTCAACTTGCCTTAAAGCATCAATGTTATTGTTTTTAAAGAAATGAAGCAAAAATAAATAAAATTTACAATAACGTAGCATAAATATTTATTATTCGCACTTTATAAAAATGTCACTACTGCTTTCAGAAAAATATTTGTAATCACAAATTTTCATTATTTTAAAAAGTAGGAGTATTTAAAAAAAATAGGTACCTCTTATCAAATTTTATCTGTAGTAGATCAACAACTTTAAAGTCAAGAGCGTTTTCCACTATTTGTTAATAGTCGGGAAAACATCGCAATAACGTGAAACCACAAACGAAAACATTTCAATTAGCAAACCTTTCAAGAATTTTAACCTTCTGTTAATTGAAACTAAGAAGCGAAACTTGTACGGGAGGTCAAGAAAAAACATTCTGCTTGGTAATTAAATCGTAGGTGAGTTATCAAGAAGTTTCATGAACAACGGAAATTGAGAAAAAATATTTTGAATTTTCGCGTACTGTTTGTTGTTTGTTGAGGTTACAAAATATTCGTTTGTGGAGTTTGAGGATGTACAAAGGAGGACCACATCGAACTTACCTCTTTTTAGCTAGACAGATTTGCAACTGTTGTAGCTACATGAAAAGTTTTAGCACGGCTTGAAAAGCGCGTTGGTCATGCGCCCCTATTTCAGGGGGAGTAATCAGAAGGAGTGACTATAACAACCTACACAAGAACACGCTGAAATAATTCCTCCACACTTAAACCAAGACCGGCTAATAAAAATAAGTGCACCACAAGCTGCCCTTGGACTCGTCATAAACTTCGCAATCGTCAACAAGATTTTTTCCTGAAAACACTTTCCCATTTTGACATCATTAATTTGATGGTGTTTACCGGAAATTCTCGAGTTAATTCACCTTCAGCCACCTCGCTCTTAAAAATAAAAAACTGAAAAACCCTCGGCCTCTTTGCCTCGTCCATTTAAGCGCTAATTAAATTATTGCTTCATCGCATTTCAGCATTTTCAGTCGCGTGACGAGCATCCGCGAAAGAGCCTCTTCGCGGCGAAATAATTCCATAATTTGATCGCTGAAAACAATTTTATCCCGTGCAATGCACGAGGAGTCCGAACGAAATCCCCAATAAATTGCCCGAATAAAAGAAACAAATAAAAAATACCACACAGTGTTGATCCCGAGGGATTATCTAAGTGGTGTTTGATTGAACTCGATGGGAAAATTTTCGCTTGTCATCTCTTTGATGAGCCAAAAATTGCACTTCTCGTAAACTTTTGATTTGTCTTGGTGCACGGCTTATTTTTATCATTTGCATTCATATTGGTACTCGAAAACTTGACTCAAGTATTCTTTTTCAATTTAAAAGGGCTTTGGGCCAAATAACTTTGCATAATATGTATCTATCCCCATTTCAATAGTGAAAAAATACTAACGTAAAGCCAGATTTAATTGTTTGCTGCTATTTGCAAAATTTATTTCATTCTAATACACTCTTTGACGGCTTAATCGGTGAATGGGTTATTTATAGACATTTATTATAATAATTAGTCGCCTACAAAATAATTTTAGTTTGTTGCAATTCTTATTTAATGCAAATTTCGCATGAAATGAACCGATCTTCGCCTCATTTAACTCCGGTGTAATGAGTTTTGAAATTACTTGAGATATGTTAAATTATGACACAAATACAAGTTCATGTGTGATGCGGTTGTGACCATTTCAGAAGCTAAAATGTCATCAGAGGTATTTTTTTGTTCGTTTTTAACTAAATTTCTCTATTAAAACAAAATTGTAGATAACGCAGATAAATGAAAACTATTTATTTTTATGAGTAAATTGTTTTGCTGATTCCCAAAACTAATTGAGTCCATTTAAACGAGAGAATTATTTATTTTGTTATTATTTAAAAATCTACTATTGATGAACTAATTCCATTTTAATTTATGTCGATTTGAATGGAAACTTGTTCAACTTCAAACATAAAAAATGATGGCTATAAACATGTTTCAAACTCTTGGATAAATTTTAGCGTTTCAAACTTGCTCCGAGTTTAAAAAAACCACTCCTTATTGAACCGATGGAACAATAAGTTGCGCAATTATCGTGCTTTACAGGAGAACAAATCTACCATCGCCGTAAATGCTAATATTTAACTCTTTGTGAAACATTTTCAAACGAGAATTACAGGACCAAATGACATTTCTTGTCGAATTCTCGTTTCTTATTAAAATGAACGAGAGACATCACTCGAAATGTACATTTCGCCAATTTTATGTTGCTTTCAACTTTTTCTAACAACTTATTATTTAAGTGTGTTATCCCAGACAATAAAAATAAATGGATTTTATTGAAACAGCTTGTGACAAAGCTTGCGTGTTTGACTTGGCTGTTCTTACAATTAAATTACTTATTTATTAGTTGGAGGAGAAAACTGGAAAACAATAAAGTATTCAAGTAAAAATCCATTTAAATATGTAACCACATTACCACATAAAACATTTATTAACACTAAATAAGTTTTTACAATAACAAACAAATTAATAATGCTGTTATATTCTAGTAATCATTTATATTTTGTAGACAAATAATTTATTAGTAATTTAATATTGTACCAATTATGCATTAGTAATTTAATTTTTCGGCATTCCGGTCACAACACACTCACATTACCGTGAAAAAACACGTCATAAAAAAATACATATAGTTTAAAACATTAACCATTGTCAATACATTTTAGACAAAATTTACAAAAAAATGTTTTTATTTATTTCTATAATTTTTATTATACATTTCATGCTATTTTTACTTTATATTTCATTTAACTTACCTTTGTTTACTTATATCTATTTCACTAGTAGTACACTTATGTACAACATTTTAAAGCTCTGAAGGTGCTCTTATATTTTACATTTATTATTAATAAAAATTAATAAAAAAAAAATAATTCTTTATTTTTACTACAAAACTTACCTTTTCTATATATTTCTTTTAACTTACCTTTTGCTTACTTACACACTTTATACCTATTACATTTTTAATATTTTTGTGGATACATGTTTTAAAGTTTGCGCTCTTATACGCCCGCCATATGTTGACATTTATTTGAGTTGTATTTAAATTTGAATTTGTAAAAAATTATGTAATATGTTATATTTCATTATATTTATACAAAAATTTTTTGAAAAATTTATTTCTTGCATTTAAAAACGCATTGTAAACAACGTTTTTGTACTTTTCTAAGTCTCTTGAACCCCCAAGAATGTAAATGGTTCAATTTTCAATTTTTTAGTTTCTTCGATTTTTGTCGAAATTTTGGGCTATTTTCGATTCTCGGAGCAGTTTATTGCTAATAACTTTGGAAGTATTGACGCTAGTTCTTTTTGTTTAGTACGGTTGAAAAGCAAATTTAATTTTTTATCTTATATAAATAAAAAGAAATTGCTGATGAAGTCAAAAATACTCAAAATATGTATTAATTCAACTTCCCAACGATCAAAATAAAAAAATAAAAATTTCGGAATTTTCTAAAGTTGTGAAAACATCGAAAATAATTGTATACAAAGTTCAAATGTTTAATTTGGTTGTTTCTAAAATATAATTTTAGTTTTATTAAAACTACAAAATAATTTTGCCTAATCCACAGCGGTGTTAGAATACACTAATATAGAGCACTCTCAGGCTCTTAAAACCTTTGGTTTGTACACTAAAATAGCTATGTACGAGTATGTAGGAGTTTTTAATACATAATATTTAATAATTGTTACCCAGAAAATCTTAGCAGGAACATCCTATACAATTAAGCAAGACACTCTTTGACAATTAATCTTTATAACATTGAGGGCAAATAGACAAAACTTAAGTTATTATTCAACACCTGCAATATCAATATGGTAAAGTTTGTCACCTAATTTGAATAATATTGATCACAATTATAAAGGATGAACAGTCAAAGATCTATTGTCTATTGAGTGTTATACAATTTATCACCAAGAAGTTTTGACATTTGTTTCAAATTAGTAGTATAAAGGCCCCTTCAGCACACAGCACTTTTTAAGGTAAAACAAGGGTAAACAGAAAAGCAAAAAAAATCGTGAAAACACCCCGATTTTCAAGGGTAAACAGAAAAGCGTAAAAAATCGTGAAAACACCCTCGATTTTCAAGGGTAAACAGAAAAGCGCAAAAAATCGTGAAAACACCATGATTTTCAAGGGTAAACAGAAAAGCGTAAAAAATCGTGAAAACACCCTGATTTTAAAGCCAACGTAAACCCATTTTTGAAACTCGATAATTAATGAATACAAACCCGCTTCGTTAATAAATAATATTTTGACATCAATTTTCTGGACGGGGTATTTCACCCTGTCTGGAAAATCTACCAATTTAAGAAAAAACAACCTAATTTTCAAGGTAACTCAAAAACTGAAGGAAAATCTACCAATTTAAGAAAAAAACAACCTAATTTTCAAGGTAACTCAAAAAGTGAAAGGCCCCTATGCACACTGTCCACTTCTAAGGAAAAACACCCCCGATTTTCAAGGGGTAAACAGAAAAGCAGAAAAAATCGTGAAGACAGCCCCGATTTTAAGGTTTATTTTAAAATTAACATTTTTCAAAGATTTTGCCCTGTTATAGTAATAATAGAGGATTAAGATAATTATATAACTACTTATGTCAAAAATAGATAAAGAAGATAAGATTTATCTCAATCAGTTGTGTGAAAAATCAGAAGAAGATAAGGTGTCAACCTAAATGGTTGACACCCTAGAAAATGGTGAATAAATCTCTTATAATCAAGGAAAAGATTCCCACTCGTTCTTGAAGGATAAAAAACGCGATTATAAGAATTCGCTCTGCCCATGAGTGGACTACGTCCACGGATTGTCTTTTTTTCTACTTAATATCCAAACGGTATTGTATCAAAATTTTCTAAAATAACCCTCTTATCATAAACAAAACCAAATTCTTTTGTTTCTATTTTATTTAAGAGTTCCTTAGTTTTAGTATCTCTTCTAATTCGATTATATTGTGTACTGATTTTACTGTCTTTCTTTTCTAAAATATTATTTATACTATTGGAATTAATTTTTTTGGACGTTTCATAATTTAACGTAAATCCTTTTATTTTACAAACAACTTTACCCGTATTAGTCTTATAACAATAACTTTTTGGGCCTGTTGATATCCAGTCTGTTATCAATACGCCTTTACCTAATTCGTCTGTCCAATCTCCCAATAGACAGCCTGTTTTAGCAGTGTTTTTTCCATCATCTATATATACAATACTATCTGTGTCATAATATGCTACGCTTTTTCCTAATTTATCTAACATTTCGTATTCTGTTTACCCTTGAAAATCGAGGGTGTTTTCACGATTTTTTACGCTTTTCTGTTTATCCTTGAAAATCGAGGTGTTTTCACGATTTTTTTTGCTTTTCTGTTTACCCTTGAAAATCGGGGTGTTTTACTTTAAAAAGTGCTGTGTGCTGAAGGGGCCTTTATACTACTCAAATTTACGAAATATTTGGAAAATGTGCATAAATACACAACGACTTTCATTACCTAACCGGTTGTTAAGATTTTTGTAAACTTCTCGTTAAACAAGGATTTGAAAATTTTAACATAACAATTTTATATTCACATAAAAATAGTCGTTGAAGAGCAGAGTTTTCATGCAGTTTACATTGCAAGATTTAAAGCTGATCTCCAAAAGCTTTTTTTTTAAACATTGTTGTATTGCTTGTTTTATAAAAACCCCGAGGTACAAAAGTAAATGAAACAAGGTCTCAACTGGACCAATCTCCCCCTTAGTCCCAAAGCAGTAATAAAGGCAACCCTTCCAATTTAGCAAATTATTACTTCAGCTTTACGCCTTATTAACACAGCTTCAATATTTATTCTAGTGCTTTTTCCAGATAAGACGTTCATTGCGTGTACAAAGCAAGAACCATTCCATCAAAACTCAGCCAAAGGCAAGGAGAAAGATATTACGATCTTACGGCAGTTTCGACGTCCCATTAAACAACTGCAAATATAAATATCGCGGTTGTAAGGAACGCTTACCCGTAGATGAACTAAAAACGCATGAATCGGAATGCCATTTTCGGTGGTACAAATGCGAGGGGAAAATATTTGCCGGCTGGTCTTGTAACTGGAAAGGGTACCACGAGGATATCATGAACCACTTCAAGAAAGAGCATCGCGAGAGGACCTACATGAGGGTAACTTCCCCAACTTGGAATACGTTTGAGACAGTTTTCGCTCCTTCAGGAACAGAATATTATAGAAATGTCGGTAATCTTCGACGAAGACTCGTACGATATACAATTAATTCGAAAGCGAAAGCAACTTTTCTGGTTCAAGCATCGACTTCTGAGCGAAAGGAAGGAGGCCTATTGGTTGTGCCAATACGTGGGACCGCAGAAAGAAGCACTAACTTACTGTTACGAACTGGTTGTGAGTGATGAAGTACGGAAATTCGCCGTAACCGAATTGTGTTACACGGATGCTTTAGACGCGAATAAAATTTACGAAGCCGGAAGGTGTGTCGTCATGACGTTCGATCAGATTAAGAGTTTCATGACTGGAGAGGGGAAGGTAAAAATTTATTTCAGGATTAAGAAGAATGTTAAGGCGAAGAGAATGATGGTAATTCGCCCATTTTAGAAATTTTACAAAATATGAAACAATAAAACAATAAAAGAGAAAGAAAAATTGTGTAATGTAATTGGGAAAAATGGTACATACAGGGTGAGCCAGAACTCGCGCCCCAGAGAAAAATCCCATATAAGGTAAGATACCAGGAACATGGAAAAAATGTTAAAAAATTTTTATCTATAAAACTTTCGAAGTTATGAGGGTTTAAAGTTTGCACTTTGACTCTATTTATTTCTGTTGGAAAAATAATTTTCCAAGTTTTTTTGCTATAGGCTATTAAAAGAGGAAACAAGGAAGCTGTATCCTAAATTGTAACTATATTCAATGTTATTTGTGGCTTTTATTGGCAAAATTTTTGTCCCTTTACTAAATAATTGTAAAAAACATATACAAGATCATCAGTATTCTTAAATAGATATAAAAAATATCAAATGTCAAAAATAAATGTCAAATTTTTTTGACACATGGGGTTTTTAAACATTTTTTTCATGTTCCTGGTATCTTACCTTACTTGAAATTTTTCTCTGGGGCGCGAGTTCTGGCGCAGCCTGTATTTAGTCAATTTAATAATTTTTTATATGATGTTAGTTTAATTATTATTTTCTGAAGGCAAATGATTAACGAATAGTGAAAATATAGTTTTAGTAAAATTTTTTTAGTTACCGAGATATTGCGTTATAAAAACACTATTCAACATTTAAATTTTAATTAAATAATACCAAGATTTTCATTATTTTGTCCGAACTTGTAATAATATTCACTTCAATAATAATACGAGTTTTATAAGAAGCATTTTGTCGCACGCACTGGTTTAAGACACGACGAATGCAGCGAGGACTAAATTTCTCTCTTTTTGGTACAATTTTTATAGTACTGTTTCTGTTCAGTGCGAAACCCAAAACAGTTTCGTACTGAGACTTAGTACGAAGGCAAATTAGAAAAAACTTTTTTTCGGATATAAACCGATAAAATATCAGTCCTTTTCGGACAAAAACAAAAAAAAATCGCAAACTGTAAGGAAACTATTCAAAATTATTTCCACCATTTTCAATCCACGTTTCACCTTGCCGTATTTATTGCTTTCCACAAGCACGACAAACTTAAATAAACGTAGAGTTACTTTAAAGTTTTCGTGTTTTTTTTTTTGTTTTTTAAAGCACTGTTGCAATTTTTTCTCCAAAACTAAATTTTATTTAACTTATTATTATTTTGCATTTTACTCATTAATTGATTATAACTTTTTATTTCATTGTCAATGAAGAAACTCAATGTCTACTGGTTTCCGATTTTGGTCAAAAATCAAAATAGTGATAATCTTGGTTTCATTTACAATTTCAAAGTTGAATGATGCTTTTATCAGGCTACATCTCGATAACTAAAAAAACTTTTATTAAAATTTCTTTTCACTATTCGTTATTATTGGTCAAAAATTATCATTTCCGAAGCTTATGCGTATAAGTTAAGACAATTATATGTAGGGGTTTTCCGGTGAATTAAATTAAAAAATTCCTAGGAAAATACAAATGTAAAAATAATTGCCCTTATTTTGGTTTGGTTTTCCCCCCGAGAATTCACCAAATTTTTTTTTCGAAATTCGGATTTCTTGATTTGCGTTATTAACAAAACAATCCTATCCATACTCCGTGACTGGAAGAATTAGTATGACCTGATTACTAGCTTCTGCATTAAACTACTAAAACGTTTTATGAAAGAACCAAGACACAAAACAAAAGTAATGCACGATTTAAAAATATTTTCACGATGCAAAAGACTATTGCACGACTTAATTATACTCAATGTACGACCAACAAATTTTCCATTAGAAGAGGGTAATTACGTGATAAGTGACAACCTGATAACTTTCGTGTGGACAAAATTCTGCACGTGGGTAGACATGAGTGATGGAGGCAACATTATTCCAATACCTAACCTAACAATAGTAGTGTTGTAATCGTTCAAGAAGACGCGCATAGAATTTTGTTAATCCATTAAAGTTTTTCGTAGAAATTAGTTATATTACTAACATTTTAAACCAAAATAAAAAAACACGTGTATAATTGGTTGCATAAATATATTTTTTTGTAAAATAATTTGTTTTAAATTTCATATTTTTAAAGCTTATCATTATTAAACATACATTTAAAAGTAGCGTAGACGTAATAACTGCTAATTCGCTCAAGAAACCGGTTACGTAATAATTCATCCACGTGGTAATCCATACACTCTTCAAAAGATGACAATTCAGCCAGAGATAAATTACAAGTGCATCACGATATTTAGCAGTACTTGACCACTTATTTATTAAATTATCTATGTAATAGAACACTTGTCCGATAATAAAATAGTTATAAAGAGTACCGCAGGTATCAGGAAAAAACTTGCTATTTAAACACTCAAAAGTGCATTATTGTATTATACGCAATGACTTTTCAACATAAAGACATTCTTATCGAAATTCCTGACGATAAACTGACCCAGCTAGCAGATTTGTATAGAGAAAAGGCTCCCTGGGCACCTCATATGGTGAGTTTTATTCACTTGGCGATAAAATGGAAAAACTCGGAGAAACACCGTGACACATTGAAGCTTTTTTCACCGAATGATTCATGGAAAACGGATGGCACTATTATTGCTAGGATAATCCTAGTGGTAAGTAAAATCGTATCATGTTTTCCACGATTTTACTTTTTGTCTCATTGTGTAAAAAAACAGGACGACAATCAGGACATTATCGTCTTCACCTTAGACGACCAATGCACTAATCTTTACCAAGGACTCGCGGAAACCCTTCTTCTGAATTATAACAACATAAGAACCTGTTTTTTCGGCGTTCACGAGAAGCACGTTCCTTCCATAAAAACATTTCTGCATCAGAAAAATCTTGCTATAGATTTAGATGTCCCGACTTATTTTTATTGTATTTCTCCAGAACAAGCAAGCAAATTTACATTAGAGTATGACGAAATTTGGGAATACAAACAATAAGTCAAAAGCTAAATTTTAGGTGTCCCCCTGATGTCTACCTAAAAAAATTGGAACCTTGTGCAGGCCAACAGGTGGATGCCACATGGCCACATAGATTTCCAGGTTCGGATAAATATTTAACGAGTTTTATTGAAGCGAACGGGGGATATGGACTTTTCCTGAAAACAACCCATGAGATGGTAGCGTGGGTTTTGAAGCATGCATGGGGCCATATGGCCATGCTTCAGACCGAAGAAGCACACAAACGGAAAGGATATGCTAGTTTAGTAATTAAAGCCTTATCTAAGGAGATAGCAAACGAGGGGCATTGGCCCCTTGGAACCATTCTGTTAGAGAACAAAAAATCAATCAGCATGTTTGAAAAATTGAGGTTTAGCAGTAATGGTATTTGTAATTACGTTGTTGTTGATACACGTGCTAATAAATCATGTTTGTAAGAAATCTCACGGAAATAAATCGATAATAAATCAGTTGGACTTTACTTATTACTCACTGTCGAACTTTGATATTGCAGTATCCATTACTCCAAAGGGTCTGATAGTTCAAAAAGTTGAAGAAGTGAATAAGAACCACTTCATTGTAATCAACTGGACTTATTTTAACAAAATTTAGATAACAAAAAACCTGTTCTATCATAGAAAACTTCACCAAATTTTATTTAACTTAGTTGGCATTTTATTCATTATTATTGATTATAACTTTTCTTTCATTGTCAATGTCAAATGAAGACACTGTCTACCGTTTTCCGACTTTGGTAAAAAATCAAAATAAACTCGTGTCGACAAAATTCTGCACGTGGGTAGACATGAGTAATTGGGCAACATTATTCCAGTACCTAATCTAACAACAGTAGTATTGTAATCGTTCATGAAAACGCTCATAGAATTTTGTTAATCTATTACAGTTTTTCGTAGAAATTAGTTATAAAATTTCAAAACAAAAAAACATGTGTATAATTGGTTACATAATTATATTTTTTTGGAAAATATTTTGTTTAAAATTTCATATTTTTGTATTTAATAAAGTTTATTATTATAAACATACATATATTAAGAAGTAATTTAGCGTAGACGTAATAACTGTTAATTCGCTCAAAGAAACTGATTACGTAATAATTCATCCACGTGATAATAATCCATGCACTCTACAAAAGATAACAATTAAGCCAGCGATAAATTATAACATTTAGCATTTTACTTAAGCACCTATTTATTAAATTATCTATGTAAAAGAGCACTTGTCCGATAATAAAATAGTTATAGATGGTAGGTACCGCTGTATGGCGATAAAATGGAAAAACTCCGAGAAACACCGTGAAACATTAAAGCTTTTTTCACCGAATGATTCATGGAAAACGGATGGCACTATCATTGCTAGGATAATCCTAGTGGTAAGTAAAATCGTATCATGTTGTTCACGATTTTACTTTGCCTCATTGTGTAAAAAAAACAGGACGACAATCAGGACATTATCGTCTTCACCTTAGACGACCAATGCACTAATCTTTACCAAGGACTCGTGGAAACCCTTCTTCTGAATTATAACAACATAAGAACCTATTTTTACGGCGTTCACGAAAAGCACGTTCCTTCCATAACAACATTTCTGCATCAGAAAAATCTTGCTATAGATTTCAATGTCCCGACTTATTTTTATTGCATTTCTCCAGAACAAGCAAGCAAATTTACATTAGAGTATGACGAAATTTGGGAACAAAAACAAGAAGACAAAAGCTAAATTTTAGGTGTCCCCCTGACGTCTACTTAAAAAAATTGGAACCTTGTGCAGGCCAACAGGTGGATGCCGCATGGCCACATAGATTTCCAGGTTCGGATAAATATTTAACGAGTTTTATTGAAGCGAACGGAGGATATGGACTTTTCCTGAAATCAACCCATGAGATGGTAGCGTGGGTTTTGAAGCATGTATGGGACCATTTGGCTAAGCTTCAGACCGAAGAAGCACACAAACGGAAAGGATATGCTAGTTTAGTGACTAAAGCCTTATCTAAGGAGATATCAAACGAGGGGCATTGGCCCCTTGGGACCATTCTGTTAGAGAACAAAAAATCAATCAGCATGTTTGAAAAATTGGGATTTAGCAGTATTGGTATTTGTAATTTCCTTGTCGTTGATACACGTGCTAATAAATAATGTTTGTGAAAAATCCCACGAAAGTAAATCGATAATAAATCAGTCGGAATTTGCTTATTACTCACTGCCGAACTTTGATATTGCGGTATCCATTACCGCAAAGGTGTCAGACCCTCAAAAGGTTGTAGAAATGAATAATAACCCTTTCATTGTAATCAACTGGATTTATTTTAACAAAATTTAGATTACAAAAAAATCTGTTCTATCATAGAAAACTGCACCTTACTAAAGTTGGCGCACTCAAAGTAAAATACAATAAAAAATAATTTCCCTTTGTCTAGGCAACATGCAAATTTACACTGTCTTGATAATTGTTTAATCACAACTTTAAACTACAATTAATTAATGCGTATCACAAAACAACAGCATATTTCATATTTAACTTACAACAACAATAGCAGTACTCAGGAAAGAAATCCACAACACTAGATCACTTAAAATGTACATCGTCAACAACAATTTTTACAATTTTACAATGGAAGGCAGTTTCGCACATTTGACTAGTATTACGTTGAGCGATAAAAATGCATGTTACTGACTCGTAGGAAAATGCACGCACAAGAACCACTACGAAGTTAACTAACGAGACGACTATCTTTCAACTTTCATTACATCTAAAATCCTACTAATTTTCCAAAGCTTCTGATTTTGGTTTCTCCTCTTCCGCTTCATTCTCTTCGTTCAGCTGTCTCTTCTCGATCTCGGCTTTGAAGTTCTCGATATCCTCTTGACTGCAACACATTTCTTAACACGAAGTAATCGCAACGCCAACTCACCTTATCTGAACGAACAAAATCCCATTAATGACGTTCAACATGTCCAAGACCGAACTCATGGAAGGCGGCTGGATTTGTATAGGTGGCAGTGAAGCTCCGTTCTTACCAGTATAGATCTCGTTCATCTTTTTCTGCAACACTACGGCTTGCTGCGTCAAGTGTTTGAGACACTCTGAGGATTCTTTGGTCTTTTCGTGATTTTCCCCGAGTTGTTGCTTGTAGATGGCGTAAGCTTCCTTTTCGTTGGTAAGCGCACACCGGAAGTTACCCATGCAACTTTGGGTCCTCGCCACTAAGTGATAAGTGACGGCGACCTTAAGAGATTTGGCCCCGTAATATTTGATATTTAAAGCTAAGGCCTTTTCTAAGAAACGCAAAGAAAGTTCGTATTCGCCAACGGCGTGAAGAATTAAACTGATATTGCTCTAAAATTGCAAATTTTAACAACTTTACTTATTTTAAGTAAATTACTTACATCAAGCAAGGCAACTTCTGGATGATTCTCACCGCAAACGAGTACGGCAAGATATCTTGCCCTGTATAACAATTTAAGGGCGGTACTAACTTGACTATTAGCGAAACAATATAAGGCGAGATGTGCCTAGTAAAAATACAAAATTAATTTTTTAATCCCTGAAATATAACCCAACTTACATATTCGGTTATTGTGTAAGGGTGGTCAATCCCGTTGACTCTTTCGGACATTAAAACCGCTTTCTGTTGATAAGCCATCGCTTCAGTGTGCTCCCCCATGATATAATTAAGACGGGCAATCATTCTTAAACATTGTGCAATTTCCGGATGCATCACCCCATACACATTATTCAACAAATTCAAGGCTTCACTAATTAACTCGTACCCATCTTTAAGATACCCTTGTTGTATCTTATTTTGCCCCGTGGTGTAGAAATTATAAGCGTCAGTTGCCCTAGGATTGATGTGTTTGACTATCGGGAAAATGTTAAGAATATCCTCCTCGTAAAAAATAAGTTTATTCTTTGAATCGAAATTGTAATCCCTTAATAAAATCTGGATTCCGGTCTTCAAACAAAACCCTCTTAATAATGAGATTTTTTGTAAGCAGAAAGTTTCTGTTGTTGCATCAATATCGTTGGTGGACAGATCATAATCGAAATAAGACTTCAATTCTTGTTTCAACTGCGACCAAAGCGATTTAGGGGTGAGATTCGCCCATTCGTTATTGTCGTTACAAGCCAACGGATTCAATTTACCCCGTCGTTTGTTGCGTTTCCTGTTGTTTTTGCTCTGTAATTGGGGGGGTGAGATTTGATTAGAGCGAATTGAAGTTATTTTCGTTGTATGCAAAAACGGTCTATTTCGGTGGTCAAGGCGGAATAAAAAAGCGACAACTCGGAAAATCACCAAAAATTATTAATAGATTCGATCGTGACACTGTGGCGTAATGGTCCTTTTTATTATCATTCGTTTCCGTTTTATGTCAAATTACATTGGAATTTTTATTGGCGATTACATAATGAGTTGTGTAATTTGTTTTAAACGCGATAAAAAAACGTTAACTCAATCGGCCGTGAAAAATAAAGGTTGGCAAACGTTACGTTACCTCATCTACGCCTTGTAGAGGATTGGGAACTTGGCCAGAATACAGGAAACAATTCAGGAAGTGAGCAATAGCAACGGCCAAATTCATCATTTCTGACCCCTAAATCATACATTAGCGAAAAATAAAGATATTTTTTGTAAACACAAACCTGCAAATAAACGGTGAAAATATGTTTAGCGGCCCTTAGCAACAATTCCGCAACAGCAATGCTATGCAAATATTCCAACTGTTTTACTTTTGCTAACAAATTTGTGACTTTACCGAGATATCTAATGTTAATTCCGCGATTATGCATCGCTTCAGATAAAGTAAAACCGTCCATAGGAGCCGAAGAATGATCTAAACAATCGCGAATCTGTGAAAAAATTGTTAGATATGTTTCAAATTCATTAGAAAAAAGCTTACAAATGTGGGAATTTGTACGGTAAGCAAAAATTCAGCAGCATCTTTAACCAATTGTCTTTGTTTCGAGATTGCTGGGTCAAGATTATCACAATGTTTGATACCCGGGGAATAAACATCTGGATTGAAACGAATATCAAATTCCGTGTCTTTGAGGGAGCCAACAGCGACAGCTGCTGTCTTAACAATATTTTTGGTACTTTCTTCCACTGCAATAACTCTAAATTAAAACAAAAACTAAGATAACTGTCAAGAACATACGTTCAATTTTGTTAGTTCCGTCAGTTATACTCTCAACAATCTTCTTCGCTTCTTCATCTTCAATTTGTTCTTTCTTACCTTCATCAGTTGTTTTAGTTTCAGTTTCACTCTTTTTATTTTCATCATTTTCAGTCTTATTGTCTTCAATTGCCTGATTGTTATTGATTTTAGCGTCATTTTTACGTATATTCAACTGTTGCAAATGATATGCAGCATACTTTATAAACATCATATAACGCGAATCAACAAAACTGTCGATCAATTCTTGACGTAAGCAACACAATTTATGTTTGTGTTTAATCGGAAAACCTAACATTTTCACTTCCTTACTTAATTCTTCGTCTTCAACTGAAAAAGAAAAAATAGAAACGAAAAAATCAAACTTGTTAAGTAGTTACGTTGCAAAAAATTGACATCCGGGGGGAAAGTACGCAAGAGATCTAAGATGTAGTGTCTACCGTCGTTACCAATGATCCCTTTACATTCAACACTTGAGCACAGTTCGATAGGTTCGTCCTTGTCGTTAAGTACATGATGAGGTAAGATTTTCAATTGTTGACCGGCTTTATTCAACTGAAAAAAAAACACAGTCACAAGTGACACTTTCATGGAAGGAATTAGTACCAAATCTAAATATTTAGGGTGGCTTAGGACCGTTTTCCCAAAATCGATAGACCCATAAACAACTGACTGTTCCTGTTCCCTTTCGAGAATACCAGGAATTATCGATTGAGCCGTCACTCTGTACCCCCTATAATCAATAACAACAGTACCTAGGGTATAGAGTCCCGGCAAATCAACAGCGCTGTAAACACGAACTCCTTGCAAATCATTTCTCTAAAAACAACAATCAAAAACGAGCCAACAAAATTTAGTATAACATACAGGAGCTACGAAAGCGGCAGCATCCCCTCCCAACTCCTTATAATGATCCCTGACGTCGAAACCAAGCGAGAAAAAGATGTTATTCCAGATGAACATTTGCATTTTGGCTTCTTCGCCCGGATTTATCGCCATTACATTACCATCAATGACAGCCATGGCACCTCTTGTAGCAGCAGCAACAAAGTCGCTGTGAACTTTAAAAATAGCCCTTTCGCGCAAGAGTCGTTCGGGGAGAGTTTTCCTCGGTAATTCCCTCGTAGTTTGGAGTTCTTCGTTCCAGTCGCGAGTTTGACCGGGGATGTGCTCTTCGTAGCCCAATTTTGAAGAAAAAGCTGCAATGGCAATTTTTATTTTTAGTCAAACACGACTATAATCAAGTCTTACTGTCTTCAGCTCTTATGGCATCTATGGTATGCTCCATCATGGGCGCAGTCCAACTGTAAAGTTGGTACGGTGTTGCCACACGTTCGAAGGGGTGTCTTTGACTTCTCTTCTTCTGGAGTAGAGCAAAATTACGTTTAAATTGTGGAGAGATTTGGTTAAGAAGTTCGATTAAAGAATGGCACAAGTGACTAGGAGTGGCCGGTTTGGGGTTAAATTCTTCAGCTGTAGATCTACAAAGTTCCCATTTTAAAGTTCAGTCAAGTCAAAAAAAAATTATCCATTACTGATTTATATAAAAACCGCGCGAACAGGCCGATATGTAGTAGTGTTTATCCTCCAAAGTAACCACATAGAGGTACATAAGATCGCCATGAATCTTCCTATACCCAGGTGGCGGATTCCAAGCCGAAGTGGTCAAAACTTTGACACATTGAGCCACTTTTTGGTCTTTAAGTTGTGGCTGTAGAGCCGACAAAGGTCGGTCTTTGCTGTCGGGCATTATGAAATCCGGAGGAGTACAGTCGACGCTCTCTGGTCTCATTTTCTTCTTCTCCAAAATATCACCTTGAGTGACCGTATTGAGGAAACTCAAAGAATTGCACTCAATCCCGTTATAAGCATCGGCCGGATCAAGAGATTTGAGTAAATCTCTCACGTGTCTTACGTGAATTCTCGCTTCACGCATGGTGTAAGGTTCTTCGACCACTTTGATGACTGAACCCTCTTTCAAGCCTTCGATGTTTTTCAACTCGGCGAAATTGTCAAGCGTGTTACCGTCGAGTTGGAGAGAGAAACATGTCCTGTGACATGTATCTTCTCTGTCCATTAACAACTGATGGATTTCTTGGACAAGTTCCATACTAGAGACTTGAATATCGAATGGTTCAGCACCGGGACTTACGATTTTTATCGAAAAACCTACATCTTGAATGAAGACGACTTCGTCTTTGTTTTTATTTTCGTCGTCTTTTTTCTCCGATTCTTCGGCATCTTTGGTTTGTTTTTCTAAAATGTCGATATTTGAAGCGAACGGGCAAAACAAACTATTTTTTTACCTGGACTAACATCCACGTGGCCGTTTTGAAGTGGTGTTTTTGCGTCAGGTATTTCACTGTTACCATTTACGACTGCAATAGAGATAAAATTGTAATAAGAAACCAAATATTTCTTCTTCATATTAGCACTTACGATAATGAGTGATCAAAAATAAACTATATTGTAATACTAGTACTTGTAATGGTATACGTTTTGGTAAATTTTACCTGGAATGCAACATTAAATACACTGAAATGACCCAAAAGTAAAGGTATTTGTCTATCTTTTTAATTGTTAAGTATATGCATTGTTTAAATTACTATGAGATTTTTTCTTATTTTGTTACTTTTATAACAATTGCTTTAATGCTGTTATTGATCAAATCTCTGTTATTTTCCCTATGACATTTTTTCTTACCTTCAATTAGTCGCTCACGTAATAAATTTACAAAATTACTTACGTTTTTACAGGAGAATAAATAATTGATTTTAAACATTTTTTACTTCTATAAAACGGTGAACTTTCTCCTCAATGCACGTATAACATTTTATTAACTACGTATAGAAATACAGGGTGTAAATTTTTATAAAATAGTTGTTTTCATATAGTAATATGTATTTCAGTTCAAAAAATCGTACAAACTTGTTCTTTTTTCAACGAAAAAAAAACTAGATTATTTCTCTATTTCACACAGAAAAAATAAATAAAAGTCACAGAATGGCAAATACACAATGTATTTATTAACTGAATTTCATACAAAAAATGTAAACATGTAGTTCCATATCAAAGTCGTAGATTTTCCACTATTACATTCTATAGCTTGTTTACAAAGTTATCAAGGAGATAATTCGAGCACATGTATTAACTTTTAAAATTCTATCACTGCATAATAGAACATGGATTTTGTTAAGAGACAAACAAATTTTTAAATTTAAATGTACTTTTTACGAACGTCACAAGTTATTTTAGACTACTGTGAAAAACAAGATTTTCAAAGATTGTAGTAGAAAAAAATGTATATGAAAATGTATTTACATCAAATTTACATCTCATAAAAAATGTTTAGAATTTCAATATTATTTTAGCATCTAATTAGAATATGAAAGCAAGTGCGTAAAACAAACTGGTGAAAACTTTTCACAGTGAAAATATTAACTTACGTTATAGGTCCGGTAAGTCAAGTATTACATTATCAATAAAATGTAAATCCCGAATATCAAAGAAAGTACTGTAAGAAACTTATACCGGCTCTAATACCGTAATAACTCACTTCCCGTACTGAAAATACCAACCGGGAATCTACCGGATAGTATTATAAGAGCGATTATAACAGCCATTTTTCACGAAGTTGATGTTTGAGCCCACGAGACGTAGACGAGTGGCACTAATCATCTAAGTAAAAAATGCCCGCAATCGTGAATGTGATACTAAATATGCGATTTAAAATATTATTCATTGGTCATCGCAACAGTGATTTTTGAATTTGTATTTGTAGAGGTTATTCCATATCTGGTGGCGAACTGACAGTGACAGAAAAGACACTTAGAGTGCGCTCACTTGGTTAAGATAAAAAAATACCTGGGCGTACTTTTTTCTCTAAAAATGTTGATTACAAGGATTGTTAAGAATATCATTTTTGAAAATTCCTTTCATGCGTTAACAATTTAATAATTTGTTCATCACTCTTCATCTTATGTACGAGTACCTACTAATTATAATTTTTTAAAAAATAACAGTAGTTTTGAAATATTATTTCATACGACGCCTACGAACAATATTTTTTTAATAGTAAACATCTGTTTAGTGTCAAAATTCAGTCATTTTTGACGTCACTTCGCCAACAGATTTGGAACAAGCTATACCGCTAATCCACTATAGTGAACTTTTGGTACAATTTTTCACAGAAAAAATTGTTTTTTTTATTCTTGTTGAACAAACACAAATGGCTATAAATACACAAATGAGCACCTAAATGACAGTTGCTGCACAGTAATAGTGGAAAGTGGATAATGACTAAATTAATAATTGTGAGAAAAAATTCGTAATTAGAGAGAATAAAGTTGAATGTCCCTTGGCAAACATCCGGCGTGAAAATGCTCAATATTTTCGATGTTCAAACAAGGATGACAATGCATAATAGGTGTAAAAAGGCCGAAATGATAAGAGGTTCACGGTGCGCCGACCGTCGCGATGTACCACTTCTTACAAATAGCATACCGGCTTATAAAAGAGCCAAGGTCCAAGTTCATCAATAAATATCCATTTTAAATGGTAAAAATTATCGGCCGACTTATTTCCCAATTGGACCCGAGCCCCTTGATCTCCGACAGCCCACTGGGCCCCCGGAAAGCCCCATTTTTCCGCCGATTCTGGTTACGTAACAGTGTCGTAACGACGACCGGCGTCCGCAAAAAGCTCCCCATTTTCGAAAAAAATCACACACTCACCTGCAATTTTCGCATCTCCTGGCTTAGTTTTATTGACTTTGTCGATTGCACCGTCGAGGTTATTATTGGTCTTTGGTTCCGAATTGTCTACTGCTGCACCAAGAGCCATTTTGTACGTTGAATGTTTATCACACAATCGTTATTGTATTAATTTACTTCGATTAATAGTCGCGTTTCTAATTTAAAAAATGTCCAACGATACGATATTTTACAGCGACAGGAACATTTTGTTTAGCACGTGCTTCGAAAATAACCCCCCCTAAACGCACTAGATTTAGTGCAGGCGCACATCGCTGACGAGCGGAACGCGCTATAATTACGTGAAGACGCCCTTCGGACACTTATTTATTTCTTCGCTACTCTTATCACAAACACTTTCAGGAATCTCAAAAAACTCAATTGTGACGCCCCAAATGTCAAAAAAACGCGATTTTTGGAACACTGACAATTCGCGACTAACACGATCGTTCACATTTGGGATAAATGGGTCAAAAAAAGAACCTTACGTAAGATAAAATTTATTTGCGAAATGTATGTTACGAACATTATTGAAAAATAACAAAGATAAGGCAAATGATATCCTCTTTCAAAGTAACTCTTCAATAACAATTTGAAACTTCTGATTTCGGCAACCAGTAATACATGTGAAATTGGCATTTCAATTACTTTGTTTTTGAACAATCATGGACCTCAATAATGAACCACACATTACTCTTATAGGAATCATTGTCTGTATTGGCGCCTCCAAATACTAAAAAAAAACATTATTAATTAATCTAGACAAAATTACAAAAATACCTTTTTCAAATTTTTTTGTCCTATATCCCTCTGATACAAATGTTGAATCGGCTCTTTTGATTTACTTTTATCGACTTGAGATTGTGGAATGGTCATACTGAATAATGAATTGCTAATTTCGTCAACTTCTGTTGGGGTTTCAGCGCTCTCCATTTCACTACCCACACAAAACAGTTGCTAAAAACAAATAAATTAATCACTTGTGCATAAAACATCACTTAGTTACCCTTTTTGAATCAATAAAAAATATGGGTGACCTTTGATACCACCTTAACTTAACATCATTACTGTATTTGCTTGGTACAAAAACGGCAGCACTAATGCAATTGCACTTTTTTAAGAGCTTATCACTTGAAAACACTGGTTCTGGTGACATGGGCGTAAAAACGTAAACTAGAAATAATTATATAAAATACACCAAAATCAAATATAAAAATTGATTACTCCTATTATCTTTCGTAATTATTGCCATATTTGTGGTAACTCTATCTGCAATTAAAATAGATACGTTTACAGGTACAGTCCAGACCATAGTTAATGTCAATAAATTCCACACACTCAATCTTCCATTACTGGCAGCTACAATAAGGTGACACTGATTACTGTTGCCGAATTCAATTTGATTTATTTCTTCCTTATGAGCAGAATGGACTAGAGCACATTTCAAATTGCAAGAATCTGGCTGCCAAGTCGTGACAATATTATTAAAATTGACTGCAACTAAAGATCCATCAATTGAAAAAGAAAGACTTTTGCAATTAAGATCGTGGTAAAAACCGACACAAAGACACCTCCAAATTAGGCTTTTACCTAAATAAATCAGAAAATTAGTTTTTCCCATTTGGATAAAGTTTATACCTACTGTTTACAGTTTCCGTTTCTGTCAAATACCACACTTTAAATTTCTTATCACCACCTACAGTCACAAGCTTTAATTCGTCCAAATTATCAGTAGGCTGGAAACCAATAGCATTTACATGATTCAAATGTGGATCCTCAACACAAGTGTTTAATTTGAAACTGAAATTATTAAATCAATATGGTCCACTTTAAACCGAAAATTTACTTTTGAATATTTGGGTCAAAATTCCAGAATTTCAGCCTCAATTCAGGCGAATACTCGGGATCTTTCCGACTTTCTACCGTTGCCATCCATGAACTATTTTTATTGATGGCGATTTTTGACACTTCTGTATTTTCTATGTTACAACTTCTTTCGTTACTTACTTTGTTTTGGCCCACAACATCCACCTGAATATAAAATTCTCAGTCTAATATCGAGGTAAAAAATGTAATAACTTACGTTATACAAAAGACTATTATCATATGGGGAATAAAACTGGATTTGGCCAATGTTACCATTCATGATAAGAGCCTTACTTTTGGGATCAACCACAATTCCACTCTCTAAACTATTCCCAATGACCAAATGTTGAATCAAACTGACACTATCTAAGCGAGAGTCAACAATTCTAACGGCATTATCATCAGTGGAAATGGCAACAAAAGTATTGTTAGGTGAGACTGAAATTTGGGCTATGGTTGAAGGTAATCTGGGTAAGAATTTTTTCTCAAAGTGGTTGTCAAGTTGCCATTTCACCAAAACAGACTCATCTCCTCCACTGTAAAAGCACGTTCCGGTGGCAGAAAAACCGATACATTTAACTGGAAGTGTGTGCCAATGAAAAACGGCTTTTGTTGGTTTTGTAGACAAAATCCTTTGCCACATTACAACTCTCCCAGTGTTGTCACCAGTTAAAATAACTTGATTTTGCGGATGACATGCTAAGCATGTAAACTCCCTGGGCTTGTCAACACAAAATGTGTAGGTTCTCAAAGAGTCTTTAAATGGAACAACATTTAAAGAGCTTTTTTGCACAACAGCAAAATACTCATTAGAACAAATGTCAACGTGGTAAGGGTGCAGGTTTAGGGTTAAACCACACGACGTCTTTGTATCCTTCATCAAATCAAAAAGACAAAATGAAATAACATTTTTCTCTCTTTGAGAAATGAGCGCCTTAAGTTCATTTGTCTCCGATGGCACAATATGAAAAGTAACCACATTTTGCTCAAGTTTCTATAAACAAAAATCAAGAATTTTATCACTAAAACTGAACAACAAACCTTGTTCAGCAATTTGAAAAAAGTTACAACTTTCCAAGTAATGACTTCACCTGATGATGAACACGCAGTTACACATTCATATGAATCGAGATTGTGTACCCCAAAGCCGACAATTCGGTCTTTGATACCTTTGAATTGAGCAAACTGTGCCCCCGTCTTTGAATTATAACCCAAAATGTGATTTTTCCATGCTACGTAAATATTCCTAAAACATTTTGTGTTATAAATAAGTACGGCAACATAAAATGAAACTCACCCTGAATCAGCAGAAAATTGTGGCGGGAGCTCAACAAAAGAACCCCCGGCTCGAAAACTTACTTGCAGATCCATTATTTTTAAATATTTTAGAGAGGTTATAATAACACATGTCAGAATCTATTCGCACTATTCGCAGGACGCAATCTGACTTTTGCCCGGAAAATTTAAATTGCTTATAGCAATTTATGTATCAAGTACGCAAAATAGGGTTTTAGGGGACGAATCGTAATTAATGACGAGGCGACGTAGGAGCCGAGTCTTTTATGAGAGGAGTCACCTAAAACTTTTTGCGAACGTGGTGCATACAAGATTTTTTTGTTAAAGCTCCCAAAACACGAATTCACACCTCGTACTAATTAAAAAAAAAAAATCGTTACCATAGTAACCGATTTTTTTTTTAGTCCGCAAAAACTGTTTTTGGGGACTAATGAGTACCTAAAATAACCGTTTGGCGTACTATTTTATTGAGTCCGGAAAAGACTCATTTTAGCGACTCAAATAAGTCCGCAAAATAGCTATTTTTGGGAGCGTATACAAAAAAATATTATTAGAATAATAGTTTTTAATACATTATTTTAGTAAAATAGTTGCTTAAAATTTAGTTTTTAATACTTTAGTTTAGTAAAACAATGTGCTTTTATCAACTAATTTCAATAGATAAAGTAGTCTTTATCCAGTGAAATAAAGTAATTTTTATCTACTGTTTATATTCTTTATTTTGTATAAAAAAATCCGGTAGATGTGTACAAATTAAAACAAAATATTATACACGACAATAAAGATTGTTTATCGTCTTGTATAATAAATAACTAAAAAACACATTAACAAAAAATCAATTGGTCAATGTATAAAAACGTGTTATTAATAAGCGTTTATATTCGAATTTAGTCATAAAGTTGTAAATAAAAAATGTTAAAAACAACTAAAAACAAACTTGTGTGTCTTATTATGGATCATTTCATTATTTCACTTTTTACTGTAGGTAATTGTAGACAAAAGGTCGCGTCGTTTAGCTTTCCACACTAATGGATTTTCTATCTCTCCCATTTTAAAATATACAAAAAATATGTTACTTAATGACTTGGTTTAATGAAAAAAAGTAGTGCATTTATTAAGCCGTTAATAAATCGTAAACCGTTCATATAAAAAGTTACGAAAAATGTTAATATTGATGTCAGTATTATTTTTAAATAAATTTGAATTAGCTATCGCAGAGCAAAATAAAATAGACATTTCAAACAAAACTCTTGTAGAGTCTGAACTTGAATTTTTTTTTAATGAAATTTCAAAAATCGAAGATTTGGAAATGGATTATATAACAGTAATTACAACTCACAGATCTAGTGTCTACGATGTTATAAACTGGTATTTAAAAACAAACCAGTTTGAATATATTATCAGTACTAACTGTACAGAAAATACTCTTCGCTCGGAATATCATCTGGTTTCAGCAAAAATCTTCATTTTTCTACAAATCAAAAAATTAGTGGCGACTCTGGACCAAATGGAAGCTTGCTATTTGTGATCTCCAAAATCTAACATATTTTTTATCTTAGAAGAAATGATTGACGATTTAAATGTCTTAGAACAAAGTCTGAAAATTGTTTGGTCTAGAAAAATTTTAAATTTTGTCTTCGTCTTCGTAAGCTATAAAATGAACGTTGTTTCATACAACGGTTTTGCAGAAAAAAGAATTCTCAATTTAACAAATTTCTTCGCGAATTTTTTCACCAACAAATTACTTGATATCAACGGTCATGTGCTAAAAATCGGAATGTTTGACGACACTCCACGGAATACGAAGAATTCTTTGGGAAAATGGTACGGACCTGATTACGACCTCCTCGAAGCCATCGCTTTTATAATGAACGCAACTTTGCAAATTGTTGAATCTTCTCAAGAAGAAAATTTCAAAGGGCTTTATACAAATGTATTAAATGGAATTGTCGATTTTAGTTTTATTCCTTCATACAGATTTAAGACGTTTTCGAAAATTGATTTTTCTTATCCCCGAAAATTAGAAAATTTAGTTGTTTTAGTGCCAAGGGCTGGCCGTATTCCACAAGAGAAATATTTGTTTATGATTTTCGATTACAAAATATGGCTCAGTGTGTTGATATTTCTAATTTTGATAAGTTGTGTTTTACAACAATTGCAAATTGTTGTAAAGAAGAAAAACAATTCGTTTATTTATTGGTTGTTCGAAGCTTGGAAGTGTTTTATAGGAAGTGGAGGAACCACAAGATTTAGAAAAAGAGAAACTCCAGTTAAATTTATTTTAACGGTCTGGATGTTGGCTTCTATAATTGTTAGTGCCTCTTTTCAATGTTTCTTCACCTCATCTTTTACAAAAGCTAAATATTTCGACGATATTGATACTTTAGACGATTTGAGACAAAGCAGATTAAAAATTTTTTGTGACAATTATTATAAAAATTATCTGTTAGCAACTGAAAGTTATGGTCTTGACGCACATCTTGTGTTTGTAAGCAAACAAAAAATGAATGAAATTAGTAAAGGAAAAGATGCTGGAAAACTATCTTTTGTTGATGTTTTTAGTAGAGCTGTTGTTTTATCAAAACTTTATGGTTATCATATTGTTAAAGAACCGCTTGCAACGGGATATACAGTTAACTTTTTTCAGAAAAATTCCCCATTTATGGATGAAGTCCATAGGTGTGTTTTATTAAACCAAGAAGTAGGTTTATCGAAAAAAATTGATGAAATTTTATTTATTCCTCCCGATCATGAGGAAGCAGTAAGTGTTAATATCACTTTTTCTCATTTAAAAAGCTTATTTTTAATATTATTATGCGGCTACCAAGCAGGTTTTGTCGTATTAATTTGTGAATTTGTGGTGAAAAAGTATGAAATGAAATAAAAAATAAATTTATAGAAGCAAGTTTTATTTAAATTTCCCGCTTTGATCTGACAGTGCCGCCATCATCATAAAAAAATGACAAAAATGACATTGACAGGTATGATTAATCTAATGTGACGTCTTCTAAAAATAATACAATTTGCAGTGTCTTTTATCTAAATTAAATGAAACGATTAAAGTACTGATAAGGGATAAAAATCTACAAAATGGTGAGTTTACTGTTTTGGTGTTACTCGTGTATCACGAGGAACTTTCACTTGGAAGTCAAGATCGTTGAACTGTAAATAGTGAAAGAATTGTTACACTTCTTTTGCAACCTGCACGAAAATTGTGATTGTCAGTACTATTTTTAGGTGAATAAATGAATGATGGAAAAATATCCATTGAAAAGGGCCGGTACGGCAGTTCCACAGAACTCACCAAGCTATCAGTCAGTTGATAAAAAGGTAATTATTTTTTATCCAAGTACAAACGAAGCCTTGCTGCTGATAAGCCTATTTTAACAAGCGAGTTACTTAAAAAAACAGCTGAAATATTGTTCTAGAAAAAAATTGCACTTCATTGGACTATTTACGTTGCTTTCTTTTGATTCTTCATTAAATGAAGCTTGAAGATCAAGCAAACTAAAACTTCACTTATTATAGTATTCTCCAGAAGTGCTGCGCTTTATTTTACGTTCAATATGCAATGCGTAATTTTATTTGGTCTAGGTGGTCTAATATCATTGACTGATAAAAATTCAACAAAGAAATACATATTTTCAGGAAGATTGTGAATACTCAACATCAGTAGTTTATTTTAACTGAAATTGACTTCTGATTGGCCCCATTATTGAGTATACATCACTAGTGAACTAATTTATCACCTACAATTTAATTACACTTTATTAAAATGTAAATTGCTGCGATATCAGTTGCTTGTAAACAGTAACGGAAAATAAGTACGTGTCATTATTTTAATATTTGTGTGAGTGCATGTAGATATTTTTGGCAAAAGTAGAAAAAATAAAACATTTGTTTTGTAAGTTTAAATTTATTATACAATTAAGGGTAAGTTAAAGTTGCATATTTTCTACAACATGACATAAATTCAAAAATGTAACACAAAAAAGAAGAAAACTTTAAAACTATTGCGTTTCAAAATTACTATAAATCGGGTCACTATCTAATTAAACTTGACAGTGAGACCAAAATCAATATCAAATTAATCAAGTTCGCAAATTACATTACCAGCCTTGAAAGCTCGTAATTGTAGCAGAAACTAACTTCCCAACTTTTCAATTTGTCAAGAAATCGAAATAAAAAAAAGTGAACCACTTTCAAGTAGCATAAAAAATAAAAATAGAACAAATACTGCCACATATCAAATTCCAACATGCATAGTCGATAACCACATGTCAGAGTTTAAAGTTGCTCTTACAATTGTATTCATCTTTTCGGTGCTGTAATTTTTCCATCATTCGCGGAATGCTCAAGTACAAGGTCAGTGTGGAATTGTCAAATTCGCCCATTTCCTCATGGCGACCTTGGTAGTAAACCCCCTTGATAGTAGTGGCAAAAGCTGGACTCGTCCATTCATGAACCGTAATGCAGAATGACCCGATAACATATCGATCTGTAGGCTGCGCATGCTGTTAGAAAATCATCAGCGTTATTGTCATGTCTTGGTTGTTGTGTGTGTCGAGCCTATTTTAATAAATTCCCTTTTCGATGTAGTACAATACGAATAGTAACAGAGCTGCTTTCGCCCGATCGTCGGACGATTTCGATGCATCTGCACAAGGTGACGACATGATCGACATTACGACTTCTGGAGGTGGCGAGAGGACCACAAGGTTGGGGGAAGATGAGGATGGCACGTCACATTGTGAGTATGGGAGTAAACAAGATGTTTTGAGGGGGAGAGATTTGATTTTATAATTTTTGCACTTATAAACTTTATTTTATTTTATTAACTAACTGCCAAATGAGGCCCCAAAATAAAAGTCTCGTTTAATTTGCTAATTAAAATAATTTTAATTGTGTTAGGTTCAAAATGCTTTAATTAACACAAAAACACAATATTATTCTCAAATGGAAGAACGTTTAACAAAGCTTATTAAAGTTATCTGTGAACAAATTTTCATTAATTTGCTTAGTAAAGCCTTTTTCTGGAATTTCTGAAAACATGAACGTAAAAAAATATTTAAGAAAATTGAGGCCCAGGTTTCTAGATCTTCATTAACTTGAACTTTAGATTTAAAACACAGGGTGCTAAATTTTATCTGCACAGATTAAAAACAAGGTAGGAATACGGAAAGGGATTCTAAATAAAGTCCAGAATAACAAAAAAATGGGAATAAACGGACAGTTTTTACGTAAACATCTAAGCAAAAAAAAAATTATTCTACAACTTACATTTATGTAATAGACATTCTATGATCATATTTTTAAAACTGTTAGAACATGTTTTAACAATAGTTTGTGTTTATGTCGCATTTATAGATATAAGAACCATTAAATAGAAAATTGTTGTTAAATAAAGCATGTGAAACGGATTGCTTGTTGTTTATTAATCAATAGTTTTTGAAATATAAGAGATACTTTTTTATAATAAAATAATAGTAGACTGAAGAAGATTTTCGCACGAAGTTACAAAATATTCCAACCTTTTATTTATGTGAGATAATTGATTTTACACAAGGTCACACTGTCGATTAATTTAAGCGACATTATTCGACCATATAACACATGAAATCATCATATATCGAAAAATTTAACACCTCCCATCCATACAACACAATTGAATTTTGGAAATTGCAAGTTATCATTTGAGTCGTGCACTAATTAATTCTTGTTCGATCATACAAAACAATTATTTGTTTATTTATTCAGCAATTTACTTACATGACCTAATCGAATTCCAGATTCGGTATCGTTCGGTGGAATGCAAGGAGGTACGTTGGGTAACAAATTAAATGAAATTTGTTGAGTATTTTTTTAGAAACCGTCGATATACCGGGCATCGGCCAATATGATGACTTCCACACAATCGATTGGCAGAGGGATATTGCCAGAGACCGCATGCGACATCGACATCTCGTCAAGAAAAAACAAGATTCCATTTGGAACTTAATCGAGGGGGCACACGACGCCTGGTCGGGGTGGTTGTGTGTTCTTTTAGTGGGTCTCTGCACCGGTATGGTGGCTGGAGGGATTGACATTGGCGCTAGTTGGATGACGGATCTCAAATTCGGTATTTGTCCGCAAGCCTTTTGGTTAAACAGAGAGCAGTGTTGTTGGTCGTCAAACGAGACGAGTTTTGATTCGGGGAATTGCTCACAGGTTTACCAACGTTTTGAAGTAAATGTGTTTAAAACAACGAATGTTTTTAGTGGTTGACGTGGCCTGAAGTTCTGGGACAGTCGAGAGATGGAGCGGGTGCTTACATTATTTCGTATCTGTTTTATATTGTCTTGGCGTTGCTTTTCGCCGCATTGTCGGCCTCTTTGGTACGGATGTTTGCGCCGTACGCCTGCGGGTCTGGTATTCCAGAGGTGTGTTTTAGGAATTTTTTGTCATGAAATGGTTATTAGACGAATTGTTTTAGATCAAGACGATACTCAGTGGGTTTATCATAAGGGGTTATTTGGGTAAATGGACGCTGGTGATCAAATGTGTGGGCTTGATTTTGTCGGTTTCGGCCGGGTTGAGTCTAGGGAAAGAGGGACCGATGGTTCATATAGCCTGCGCTATAGGTAAATAAAACTTTAAAAACGATCATCGATTAGTCTTTGTGTGATCAATACACGTGACAAAACGTGTTTTTGTTTTCGTGGTATTGAAAGTATAGCAATAAAAAAATTGTAGGTAATATTTTATCATATCTCTTTCCCAAGTACGGGAGGAATGAAGCAAAGAAAAGGGAGATATTGTCGGCTTCGGCAGCGGCGGGAGTGTCAGTGGCATTTGGAGCGCCCATTGGAGGGGTGCTTTTTAGTCTTGAGGAGGTAAGTAACATGTATTGTAACATTAGAAAAACAGCAGTCTTAAGTGTGTTACATAACAATTGTCGGAAATGGAAAACGTAATAGTAAATTTTTAATATTTTTTCTTTGACAAAGCCGTTAACGAACTCATTTGAGTGCGTTAACAGGCAAGTATTTTATGTTTTTAATATTGGTGACGTTAAAAGTAATTTGCTCAATGTTAAAACGGGAGGAATCTGTAATTTTTCCTTTTTGATATTGTAAATAATTCACGTACGTCACAGACCCAAAACACTTTCACACTATTTTCTTTGTTTTTTCGTCCTTGATTTTCTTTTGTTAGAGACATAATTGTATTAAATATTTCCTTTTTCGTCATATTTGTTAATATATCTCTGGAGTGACGTTCTCTCGTCAATGTATCAATTATTTCTGACGTTGATTTAATAACTCTTCCGGTCTGACATCAAATTAGCATTGACCTCTTGCATAACAATATATCTCCATTACTAAAGACACACCTTCATACCGATTTGAATTTTTTATGTTAAGGTCAGCTATTATTTCCCGCTGAAAACACTTTGGAGATCGTTCTTCTGCGCCCTGATCGCCGCTTTTATCTTAAGGTCGATCAATCCTTTCGGAAATGAACACTCGGTTCTCTTCTACGTGGAATACAACAAACCATGGATATTCTTCGAATTGATTCCTTTCATCGGCTTGGGAATTATCGGAGTAAGTCTCCAGTGATCCAACTGAGTTTGTCTTTATTCATCTTGATTTAAAATCAAGGGTATCATCGCAACGATATTCATCAAGGCTAACTTGTACTGGTGCCGATACCGGAAGTACTCCAAACTCGGTCAATACCCCGTGACCGAAGTACTCGTCGTGACTGTAATGACCGCCATTATTGCCTACCCCAACCCCTATACACGAATGAACACGAGCCAACTAATCTACCTTCTATTCAGTCAGTGTGGCATCTCAAACTCAGATAATCTCTGGTGGGTTTCCTTCGCTATCTTAGAAACAAAACATTAACTAACAATTTCAGCGATTATAATCGCAACTTTACTGATGTCAATTCAGCCATCGAGATCGCGGCGGCCGGCCCTGGCGTCTACAAGGCCATCTGGTTGCTGATTCTCGCACTAATCCTCAAATTGATCATGACGATCTTCACCTTCGGTATGAAGGTCCCCTGCGGGTTGTTCATCCCGAGTCTTTGCTTGGGGGCCATCGTAGGCAGAATAGTCGGCATTGGCATGGAGCAGCTCGCTTACAACTACCCCAAGAATTGGTTATTCAGTGGCGAGTGTTCGACAGGCGACGACTGTATCACGCCTGGRTTGTATGCTATGGTGGGGGCGGCGGCAGTWTTAGGGGGCGTCACCAGGATGACCGTGTCGCTYGTGGTAATCATGTTCGAGCTTACTGGGGGCGTGAGATACATCGTMCCCTTGATGGCCGCTGCAATGGCTAGTAAATGGGTGGGCGATGCCTTGGGCAGGCAGGGCATTTACGATGCCCATATAGCCCTCAATGGGTACCCCTTTTTGGACTCSAAGGACGAGTTCCAACATACGTCGCTGGCGGCGGATGTTATGCAACCAAAGTAAGTGTACTTATAAAGTCTTCGCTCTTGTTGACTGTTTATTTAGACGCAACGAAACATTGAGCGTCATCACGCAGGATTCGATGACAGTGGATGACATTGAGGCTCTGTTAAAAGAAACGGAGCATAATGGATATCCGGTGGTGGTATCCCGAGAATCTCAATATTTAGTGGGTTTTGTCCTTAGAAGGGATTTGAATTTGGCGATTGGTAAGACTGCTACTGTTTAAGTAGGCGGTGTTTAATGTCGGTTTGTAGCCAATGCGAAAAGAATGGCTGACGGGATTTGCGGTCAGTCGATAGTGCTTTTTACTAGTGGAAATCCCCCACAGACACTAGGACCACCACCTTTGAAACTTAAAAAAATACTAGATATGGCACCAATCACAATTACAGATCAAACTCCAATGGAAACTGTTGTAGATATGTTTAGGAAATTGGGGTTGAGACAAACACTAGTCACGCATAACGGGTAGGTTTGTGAGGTTGGTAGAATTGCGAAATGTTGATTTGTGATGCTTTGTAGGAGATTACTAGGAGTCATCACGAAAAAAGACGTTTTAAGACATATAAAACAGATGGATAATGAAGATCCAAATTCAGTTCTGTTTAATTAAGTTTTATTGTGTATATTATGGTTTATTAATATTTGTGCATATTAGTATTGTATTGTTAATCCCCCATTATTTATTATGGACTTTTTACTTCTATTGTGACGTGATTTTTCAACGTATACTTGTCTTCCTGCCGTAGTTTTATTGAACTTGGAGTCTTGTTTTACGATTAAAAGTTATTTAATCAAATTAGTTGTCAATAATGCTCAGAATGTAATAAATATAACAATAAAAATTTTCTAAAGAAAACATTTTCTTTCATTTAACCTTCCTCCAGCAAAGACTTATCAGATTCACGTAACAGTTTTGTTTAATTTCCTTGTTGACTTTTTTTGATCACAAGTTCAAAGATGTTTTCGTTTCTTGACCTTCGATTTGGTAGTTGATTGATTAGGTGTATAAAATACCGAAGTTAGTGATTTGATTGTTTATTCAGATTTTCAGGTCTTTCAATTGGTAAACAATTATTAAATTTATTTATCGATCTTGTGATCGATATTTTTGTTAAACGGTTTTTATTATCTCGTTAAAATTTCTTAATTTAGAGTGTTCGCCATGTCATATCTAAGGCTATTGAAAATATAATAATCAGAGGGCCTTGTGAATTATAAATTATAATCGTGTGTAATAAGAAAAAGTGACTAGTAGTTTTCTATGATAATAATAATTATTGGTACAAAATAGGACTTCCGGATAAGTTTAAGATACGCAAGGCATACCAAAAAAAACTGAAATTTATTTGATTTATAATGTACTGTGACCACGCCCACTTATCATTTTTTCCAGTGAATTAAAAAAAAACACTTCCTCATTTCGTTGCGTGCCATCCAAACCATTAGTCACAAATTAAAATTTGCAATAAACTTTCACTTTTATGACATCAACTTATAGTACCGTTTTGTCCTAATAGTAAAAATTTTAACACATTTCCAGTTCGTTTAAAAATAGACTTGGATGGCATTCAATGATACATTTTCAGCGGAGCAATTTAAATGTGTTTATGGCAAAAAGTAAGTTTTAATGCAATCTTTTTGAGTTGTCTTTTGTGTATTTTTAGACTGAATTTAATTTAAATTGCGTCTGTCTGGAGCATGTTATCAGTCATATTAGAACCGTTTGAACTCTCATCGATCAGTCTAGATTAGTTCCAATTTTCAAGTGTTCTGATAACTTTTTTGGCAGTTTCTCTTATAGTAACCTTCTATGTATAATCTTGGCAGACGTCCTGTTTTATGTCAGTGGTTTATTTATAATGTTTAAAATTATTCAAAAAGGTTATCACCCACTCCACCAAGAGCCCATCTCTTGGCTATAACACAAATTGTCAACATCTCATATCACACGACGGATTGTAATTAACCGAAAAAAAAATCAACTAGAGTACAACTGCACATTGACCGGTCGTTGGCAAGTGACTTCATATCGTAGATAACAATTTTTAGTTCGTACTAGTTTCCGTTAAACCATCGACGAATCGAATAGAAATTCGTGTAGTATCCTTCGAGTATTTCTATATGTGGTTCTTACCTTAAAACTGTATGCTCTAAATTCGTGCAAGGTTTAAATCCGGCCTTAAAAGAGTGGTTCTTGACATGCTGGTACGTATACATACTAAACTATAATCGGATTTTTATTACAACTAATGATTGTTAATTCGTGTTAAGTCATCGATTCCACCTTGTATTTTAAAGAAATCAATTATAATTCCTGAAAAAGGAGCAAACACAAATGTGCACAGTCATTTTCTAAGCCACTGATGATTCATTTTTGTTTGAATTGTAAATGTGCGTCAAAACTATAAAAAAATCTAAATCCTCCACTGACATTATAAACCACAGCTTTTGTTTGTAATTTATGTTAATTTTGTTTGCTGTCCATCTATTGTCAAAAAAAAATCAAGTTTATTTCCAACTAAAAACCCGACATAACGCTACAAAAGTGTGTCTTGATTTTGAAATTTTCATTTGTTTATAAATTTAAACAGTGCTGACCCTACATGTATTTTTACAAAGACCTTTGAGATTTGTCGCTTTTGATTAAAATAAGTTGTTATTCGTTAGTAGGGAAAACGTTGCAACCGCTAAAGGGCACTAGTATCTATTTAAAAAAGAAAAATAGAAACAGGTAATAGCTAGAGCATTCAACTCCATTTCCATTGAAAAAAATTTTAAGTAACGTTGCGCGTAACGAAAAAGTTTATTAAAAATTTTTAGTTGTGTGTAAAATTTTGTTTATTATTCCAAAACAACTTACCTACTTTGACAGATATAAAATGACCTAAAATAAAAATATACAGGTTTTAAAAAGTCGTACTTCCAAGTAGGTACGTTTTTTATTCTTTTTAAATGCAACTACTCGTAACGAGGGGTTCATAGAAAAAAAAATCGTATTTTTACTACTGACTTTTATTTAGTTGGCATATCGTGAATTAATGCAAAATTAAATTAATTGTCTAATATCTATTTTGGATTAAAAATTTCAAACGTTTAATATTCAAAATAAGGGTCTTTTTTGACAAAAGTCGGTGAAATCTTTTATCTTTGAACARGTACTCTAACATATTTCAAAATTATGCAAAATTGGAGACAATAAGAGTTAAACAGCGTTTTTCTGTAGCATTACTCTGCAAGGTTTTTACAGTAGTATGTATCACTGATTAAACATCATAAATCAGGRTTCATTTTAACCAAATTCCAACTAGAATTTTCAACGTTGAGAGAGCTATAGTGCTGKTGTTGTGTTATCTACCAAATTTTGGAGAGTTCATTTCAGTGAGAATGTACAGTTCTTATTTYAAAAGGTAAAAAGGCACTAAACAAAAAATAATTAAACATGTTTGTTTGTTTTATATTTCTATAAGCTACTTATGATATGACGTTCTTTTAAATTTATAAACATGCTATAAAARCAGCCTTGTAAAACTAGTTCTTGCCTGTAGTACTATTTTACATATTCTTTGATACAGAAAATATGAGGAAACGAACTCTAAGAATCGTAAAGAAGTTCTAGATTCAAATTTTACTGTCGAAATACAGGGTGTGAGAACTCGCGCCCTAAAGAAAAATTTCATGTGAGACAAGATACCAGGAACATGGAAAAAATGTTAAAAAAATTCTATCTGTCAAATAATTTTGACGTTTATTTTTTGACATTTGACATTTTTAATGTCATGTATGTTTTTTTTTTATAATTATTAAGTAAAGGTACAAAAATTTTGCCAATAAAAGCCACAAATAACATTGAACAATTTAGGATACAGCTTCCACGTTTCCTCTTCTAATAGGCCGAAATTTTTATAGATTAACATTTTTTCCATGTTCTTAGTATCTTACCTTACATGGCATTTTTCTCTGGAGCGCGAGTTCTGGCGCACCCTGTATTTATTAATTAATCCATTCTTTTTTTGTGCGGTCATTTCGATTTCACACGATATACAGATGTCCCAGAAATAATATAAAAAGTACAACCTGAGCTAGGCCAGGTTGTAACAACAATGATTTAYAAAATATGTATAACAAAATAGCTCATCTATTTAATAGAAAGGAATTTTATCAACAAAAAATTATCCACCACTGGTGTGACGTTTATTGTTTTTGTCAAAAAATGTGGAAATAATTTTAAAACATTTGAGTTTTATGTATGTAGGTATTGGTAGTACTAAAACTAGAAAGTTTTTTCTTTCAATTATTTCTGATACATCTATAATATGTAGGTATAGGTATATAATCAGAATTTCTAAATGAAAACGAATTTTTTGAGCTCCATTCAAATTCGCAATGTCTATTATTTAATGTGTGAATAATAAATTCACTGAAAGAAATGAAATCCAAAAAATGTTAAATTGGAACAAAAATACGTAACAAAAAAAAACTAAGCAAATAGTCACACAGAAATCAGGACCAATTTACCATGCCAAAGATTAAATTAAAATGAAATCTAGGTGCGCAGCTCTGCTCTATGTATAAGTACCTTCAATAATAATAGACCCAGGAGATAAAGGCCAGCGAGTGTATTTCCGCGTCATTAAAATCTATATCCGACTTACTTCTTATTTGTAATGTAAACACGTCTCTGCTCACCTGCGATAAGGTCGAGGGTGCTCCGTACCACCTCTATCCGGCCAGCATTTAAAAACTTCTTACTCTTAATTCCACTTAGTCGAATTATCGTTGCCGTGTCAGATGCAGTGAAAAGGTAGATGAACTCGCCAAGTAAAAAATGAGTGAGATATGGCAATCGCAAGACGGTACCATCAACATCCGCGAGTCTCTGGCACTCGCCGAAACACTTTCCAAAATTAGCCTGATGACATCTCCGGCGGTGAAGAAGAGATTAATGGCGAGGAGTTTAGAACTCAAGTTCGGCCATTTGGACGAGGACTCGGGGACTTTCATACCGCCGAAGCAGTTCCTGCAATACCTTGTCAGGTAAAAAATCTGACCCAAATCGGAGCTGGAAGAGCGCCAGGGCTAATGCCCTCGCGATCGCGAGAATATTATCGCGGATAAACCGCCATTAAAAACTTATACGCAGTTTTGCGAGACGAGATAAAATTATCCGGATCACATAATTAATTAATAAAAAATAATCGTAACTAGGAAATTTTAATTGTTAATTAGGCACAATTTAATGAGATTAACATGCGTCTGTCAACTTCCCGAAGAGCTAAAAAACGGGAAGTCCAAAATATTGGACTGTTGTTTACAAAATTCTGGGTCATAAGTCTGTAAAAATGCAATCAATTGGGAATCAGAACATTCTTATCTCAGGAAATATTCGATGGGAGGACTAATTACATGTTTATCAAGTATAAATATTGTTGGCATTATTTTTATCAGGAAAATTCTTTGATGCGTTAAAAGTGTTGCACCAAAAGATCACTTCATAACATCGTAATTTTTTTTCTGAGTTTTTGTTAAAATACCTGTCTACTAAGGATGGTTATACAAGTTAACGAAGATTCAAGTAGGTAGTATCTTTATATGTAGTTCATTTTTTATTAATAAGTACTTTTTGAAAATATTGATATTTATGAAAAAAAACTTTCTTTTGTTGCAAAAATTTAAAAGTTCTTTCGTTTAATTTTAAACAATCAAAAACTTAATTTTTATCTGGTCACTTGTGAATTATTTTTATGTAGATATATCACAGCTGATGTACCACGATGGACAAAAAAACATTACATTTTTGATACATTAACATTACATTAAAAAATTTGCTTACAAAATAAATAGCGTTAGACAACTAAATACTCTAATCAAATTTTTGTCGAAATTAAACCATTAAGCAGATCTTAAGGGTCACCTCGTACGTCATAATTACAGGATTGCAGCGTAATTATGGATGATAGCTTGATAGCATAAAAATCAATATTGGAAATGGATGGTTTTCTGCCATGTTGGTGATTTACTTTTGTACAAAACTAAACCAAATATAACCTTGGGTATTTTAAAGAATTGTCACGTTGAATAGCTGAAACACTGTTACAAATGATAACAAATAATTGACTTTTTATAAAAATACAAGTGAACAAAAGTATTGAACCAAACAGTTTTCTTTAATCATTTGACTTCAGAAGATAATAATTCATAAAAATTAAAGTGCTATAAAAATGTAATTGTGTTTTGAGAATGATATTTTGTTTTGTTTTTGGGTTTTGTGATTTTTTTTTTTGAAAATGGCAGCTTAGGTATATGATTTTTTTGATAAAAATTGAATAAAACGTACAAAGTTATAGTCCTTAGGTCACAGCCTTCGTAAAAAAGAGGTTCTAGAGTAGGTTGCTATAAAAAAATTATTTTTACAGTACTCAAAAACAAAAAAAATCGAAAAACTTTAGTCTTGATAAAACGTCATATTTTTATGGTACTTTATTATCATCAAGTACTTAGTTTTTTCAAAAAATAATAAACAGATAGTTCAAACTGCATTTTCAAGACTTCTCAATAGGGACAAGTCTCATGCCTGATGATAGTGACTACTTTTTCTGAATTTTTATATTTTGGAACAGTTTAAAAAAATCGAGTTAACCTTTGACCCGACTAGAAGCAGTGACTTAAGTAGTTTTTCATTGTTTGTTTAATAATGAAAATTAAGGTTTGTTGGCTCATCAAAATTAAGGAATTCAACATAACTTTTTCAGAATTTGCGTTTAGACTTTTGAAACTCGTAAAAATAAAGTTCTTTAGCAGTCTAGTAAGTATACTTAACTCAGAAAACTAATTTTATCAAAATTAAGCAAATTATTCACGTGATTGGACTAAAAATTTTATATTTAGGAATATACCTAATCTACACATTAAATTTGAGAATCAAGAGATTTCAATCAACAGGCACCGAAAATCCAAGGTTGTCAACTCATAATCTCGATCTAATCATGCCAGAAAATGTCTGTATTGTTTGCAAATTCACGTCTTTCGTTTTGTGTAAACATTTTCCTTGAAGCCATAAACAAATGTCTACATTAATCAGCTTTTACGTGCGGTTCATTTAAAAATTCGGTAACAGTAGTGGGCGAAACATCTGTCGAATGCCAATATATTTCCCATTGTTCAACAAATAACAACCCAAAAAAATAAATCCAATTCGAAAAAAGTGCCAAAATAAATAATTATATGTTCAGATTACCTAACTGTTTTTCAATTTTTAATATAAGCTTCATCATTAAAAGCAAAAGAAACGAAATTGTTCTAGTGTTTGATATCATCAACTCTGAAACAGTATTTCAACCGAGACTTCAATTTTTTCCCAAAATGAGTTTTATCGCCCACAAAGTTTTAAAGTCGAAACGCAATCATGATTTTATTCGGTAAGTGACTTATGTTTATGTCGTAAGAGGATTTAGCATATTAGAACTTACAAAGATTATGTAAATACGATTATGATAATATTTAAATGTGTTACAAAACAGTAAAGTCTAGACAACTTCTTTTATGATAATGGATTTAGGTACATGTTTTAACTTTTTTGCCTTTTTATTGATGCACCTAAAATAAACAAGACAAAGCACCAAAATTTTGATTATAATAACTTGCAGATAATATTCCTATTTTAGGGTATAATCAATTTTGATAGTGAGGACACTCCCAAAATCGCATACATAAACATCCGAGTCCGTTAAAATTACTAGTGCCGTGTTTATCCTTTGTGTTAATGCACGAATAATAATTTTCTTCCGATATTTATCCCGCCTTAATCCAGTTGAATCAATTTTAACCAGAACTTTCCAGTGTCAACTTATCTCTCATATTGTTGAATTTTTGGTTTTCTATCAAATCTCTCACAGTTTGGGTGGCTTTCGCAAATACGACAATCATTAGTTGACTGAAAAGACGCGCGATTCTGACTATTTTTTTTTCTCTAGGACACACTCAGTTTTTTAATGCAAAATCTTCGCAGTAAAGTGATGCCATATAAGTGGAATCTTGTGCAAGTTTATAGTAGACATTCTTTTCCTTGTAATTTATAGTAATTAGTGTTTAAAATAAAGTGAACGGAATGGCTGTCAGAGGGGGTCAATTTTTCTCACTGCCGATAAGAAGATTTGCTCGTATGCTGGCCTTACCAAGGTAAGAGGAAGCATAATTCAATGCAACCTTTAACTTGACCTTAACTTTGAGTTTTCTGAACTTACCGAAATTTAATTTTACGATATTGACACTATAAGATTTGTACGAATGTTCAAGGATAAATACAAGAAAAATGATTTATCCCATTTTTATTGACGCATAATACTTGTAAAGAGACAAATTCGAAAGTAAACGTAGTTGTTATTTATTTATTCAACGTGTTGCATGCCGGTCAGGTCAGGTCAGGCCAATGAAAAGTAAAATCATTGATTCAGAACAAACCAAAAAAGGAAATAGTTAAACATTTACGATTCTGGTTTAGTGTATATTATCCATGTGGATAATTAATTCTAAAGCCGCGGGTGCTCGCCGACAAAATAAAATCTACACAAAAAGACTAAAAGTGAAGTAATGCAGGTCCCCACCGAGTAGTGATACAGTTATTAGGTGAAGACAAAGTTAAAGAAATAAATTTGCAATTTATAGCWACACTATTGATCAATAAGTCCATTATACATTGTTATATCAATGAAAAATCTAATATTAGAACAGTATTTTTACTTGGTTCACTTGTATGCTTTTGTAATTGTGAACTTACAAGTTAATTTAAATAAAAATGAGTTCGGCGCTGCCACATTTTTCAAATAATCCAATTGTGAACTTGTATTGTCTACGAACGCCTCAAACGTAAGTTTATTTACATTGAATTGAATTCATCAATTTTTTTAATAGTTGATTTTGGAAAAATTGGTAGTTTAAAGTCACAAAAAATGGATAGGTTTTATGCAATATGTGGTTAATTAAAAATTAAAGCTTATAGCGTAACCTAAAATGCATGACGTTATTTATTGGTGATAAATTGACAGATAATTAATTACAGAAATCTTCAAAGCCAATTTTATAGTTGCTAACAGTAGCAGTAGATGTCACTTAAAAAAATTGTAAGTCGCGCAAAATTTAAATATTCAAATCAGATAATTTTGTTTAATAATGTTTAGGTTTTCTGTGTCATAATGCTTTAATGTCTTTATTTAGCAAACGTTTTTAGTTTAATGACATTGAAAGTGGTAATTGCAAACAACAAGATAAGATGTCCGTATCGATAATTCATATTAGTTGAGACCTTTGACTCGTTGTAAAATAGCAAATCGTCGAGAATGTCGAACAAAAGTTGAAATACTTGGTATGTTAAACAGTATTACCATATCTTTTCATATGCAGAATCTTACAATAAATCAACGTACTGAATATAAAAGAGCGTCTTAGGGGCTAACGCGCCAGTTTCTCTTCAAAATGTTAGAATTTGACGTCAGTGAAGAAAAAATCTTAAAAAATGTTCGATTACAAAAAGTTATTTTGCAACGGTAAGTCACAACCGGATCTCAATCGCGACTGATAGTGAAATCATGTGCGATTTTTGCATCATTACGTTATTTTTTATTCAGGATGGGCAGCTTTAGCTCCGCGCCGAAAATCCAAAATGACGATAACCAAGACAATGATATTCAAATACCCATCAATTTCGGCCGATATGAACTACTTCAGTATTGCCAGACCCAGCCTCAAGTCCAACCCATGGTAAAAAGGGCCTTCAAGAAAGCGGGACAAGCCCACGATGACACCTATGGATTTAAGTGTCGAAAATTGAACGCTGTTACCAAAGGTTTGTATGACGAAACGCAAAATTTTCAATTTTAAATTTGTCTGGCTAGGACCGGCTCAACAAAATTGGAGTAATCCTATCGGTATACATTTCATTTAGACCTAAATTAATTGCGGTTGTAAGTGTTGGTTTTTGTTACAGGTTGTAGTGATTACGTTTCTAGTCCTTACTCATTACGAGTCTTCCAATGGAATATACTCTCCCAAGGTACGCACAATTTACCACTCATGAAAAGCAATTAGTTTAATTATTTTCTACTGTTTATAGCTCTTGGACAAATGAACGACAATTTCGTGAAATGTCCCGATGAAGCGTTGGAATGGAACTCGAGAAAATTCCGAATAATTGAAGAAATCGTCGAGTATTGCCCCGATATAATTTGTCTACAGGTAAGTCACCCTTAAATGTTAAAAAATAAGCCCTTTGTTGTTCTTTAAAATTAATGAATATTTACTACCGACACTGTTTTGCATAGGAAGTGGACCATTTCAATTTTTTGAAATACATCCTGGGCACGCAAGGCTACACGGGGGTATTTTACCCAAAACCGGACTCGCCTTGTGTCTACATCAGCGGCAATAATGGTCCCGACGGATGTGCAATTTTTTATCGAACCAACAAGTTCGATTTACTTAACATTGAGTCCAGAATTTTGGAAATCTGGAGAGTACAAAGCAACCAAGTAAGTTGAAAAAATAATAAACCCATTCTGTATTTTGAGAAAATCTTGTTTTAGGTGGCCCTCTTAGCGAATCTGCGCATCAAGGAGACCGATCAAGAGGTCTGCGTGACTACCACTCACCTGAAGGCCCGCCAAGGCGCCTTCCTCTCCACCCTGCGCAACGAGCAAGGCAAGGATTTGCTCCAATTCGTGGCCCAGCATTGCGGCACCCGACCTGTTGTTATTTGTGGCGACTTCAACGCCGAGCCTGTGGAGCCCATCTACAACACCGTTTTYTCCYACGAATACCTGAATCTTGGTAGTGCTTACGCTGACTGTGATAGTTCGAACGTGAATTCAGCTGCGCGAGAACCCCCTTACACGACGTGGAAGATAAGGGACGAGGGCGAAGTCTGCCACACCATAGACTATATCTTTTACAAGAAGGGTTGTTTAGAGGTAGAAGCCGTGTTGCAGTTGCCGACTGGAGAGGAAATTGGGGAGGATAGGGTTCCCTCGTTTTCATACCCTTCGGATCATTTTTCTCTCGTTTGCGATTTTAAAATCGGTCAATCCCAAAAAGCGACGCTCTGATTTCTACAATGTGATAATTAATTTTAGGGAAGTGTTATGCAATGGCTAAATTATTTGTACTTACTTATGTATGATTTTTCAACTAACGTAGGATTTTAATAAAATCTTAAAAGAAGCCTCAGCTGAACGGCACTTGTTTCATTTCCAACTTGCGCAAAAATGAGAAATATTCGTTCAAACGCTTTTAAAACTAAAGTAAAAATCAATATAATAAAATATTGTTATTTAATTAATTAAAGCCCTACAGTTGAAAAACTGGTGTTTATAGATAGATGAGAAATTTAAATTTCGCGGGTTTTGTTTTTATTCCTCACACTTTCACCAACACTGCAAAATTGAACTAACCAAATTTATGACAGAATGAAACTTGTTGTGTTGAGCTATTGAGTTCTTTGCCCTCAGATTTTTGATGCTGTTAATAATTTAATAGTGATAGTGCTGATGATAAGAACTATTTTTCTTGCTTGAAATCAAGTCATTAAAAGTATTAAATATGGCGTCTTCTTTGGAGAACTTGGAAAGTCAATTGGAACTTTTTATCGAAAATGTCCGTCAAATTCACATAATCGTCAGCGATTTTCAGCCCCAAAGCCAAAATGTACTGAACCAGAAACTGTAAGTTATTGTAGGAACTATAACCTGGTTCAAACAGCCAATTTTTAGACTTGCACTGGTGCACGGTTTACAAGAAGTGGATAAACTCAAATCACAAGTACAAGAAGTTCATGTACCCTTGGAGGTTTTTGAGTACGTTTTTAGTTTGTTTTGTGTTAAATTTATTTTTTCAATATTTTTTTCAGTTACATTGATCAAGGACGTAATCCACAATTGTATACAAAAGACTGTATTGAAAAAGCCTTGGCCAAGAATGAACAAGTCAAGGGTAAAATTGATGCCTACCGCAAGTTCAAAGCAAACATGTTGCTAGAATTGAGTAAAACGTTTCCAAACGAGTTGAGTAAATATCGGGCGATAAGGGGTGATGAATGAATAACAAATATTTTGAAAATAACTATTTATTATAATCAAAAATAAGCTATAAAAACGCATTATTCAATAAATGTTAGGTATAGTACTCATGTTTAATTCGTAGCGACCTTATATTTTCCTCATGTCTACGCAAGTCGGGTAAAATTACCGCGAGAAACCCTTCGTTTAAATCATCCACAAGCAAGTTAGGGTTTTCAGAAAGCCTGTCATTTATTTCTAGCAATTTTCCATAGATGCCCGAATGGACAGGATATTTTTCACCGTCTTCAGTCTCTATGAAACATAATATAGATTCAGGTTGCAAAAGTTGAGCCCCTCTTTTACCCTTCCCTGACATACTGTTTTTCAAACGATTTACTTTGGGGCTCACTTGAAAATTGAGACTTTTTATTCTTTGATGCTTCTTTAATATTGAATGCTTTTCTGATAAAAAAATAACGCAAATTTTGTTGGTATGAACTCGAACGCAAGTATCCAAGTTTACATTTTCTGTCGAGAATTTTGTACAGTACCTTTTTTCAAAATATCGTTCATAGTACGGCTGAAAGTTGGCGATTTGTTCTTTAGAAATGCTGTCAAGAATGGAAGGAATCGGTTTTTCCTCCACTTCTTCATCACTTTCAGGATCTTTCGGCTCTATTTTGATCTCAACATTTGAGCTAGTCGCAACCTGATTTTTAAATATGTACGTGAAATCACATGCGATAAAAATTTTAAATTAACTTACAGCAACCTCTGTTTCAGACATTTCTTTTTTAATTATTCAAATATGCTTTTAAAGTGCTATTCAATAATGTTTGGTTATGTTTTTAGCGTATATCGGTATTATAGGATCCTTCTTTTTCTGCAACTTATGAATTATGGGAGGTGTGCTCATGGTTTGATTTATTTGTTAAATTCTAAATATTTTGGTAAAAATTATAATTGAAACAAGTACGTCTCGAGACTGATATAAAAGTTTATTTATTATATCGATAGGTTTTATAACAGACAATGTCGCGTTTAGAAGTCTTGATTACCCCACCTTATCTGTAAAAAAATTATTAAGATGCAAAATGATAAAATAAAAGTCTTACATCAGTCCTTGCTTTTAACTTCCGGTCAATAAGTCCACAAAGGGTTTCCGACCTGACCGATAGCGTATCAATCTTCTCAATGAGCTGTTGATAAGGTGACAGAGGCTGCGCCCCCATGACCACATGCCCCAACTTTGAATCAATTTTGGCATCTAATCGCGCATTTCTGATCAAATTAACGATCCAACATTCAGCTTCCTCTGGATTCATATTCAATTTTTCGGCCAACATCCCAATACTGATACACTGGTGAATTCTACAGAATGTCTCAAAAATCATGAGTCGCGCATTTTCAACGAACTCATCCAAACAAGAAATCAAAAAGAAATCGTTGAATAAAACAGACTGGCATTCGTGCAATTTCTGCCTAGCGCCGTCAAAATCAAAATTAACATACAAATGTTCCAAAAATTCGGTAATGGGATCGCGGTAGGTGTAACTCTCCTGTTGGATGACCTTAACAAGGTCTTTTAAGGCTGATCTACGTACTCGGTTGATAATAACCGCAGTGGCCAAATAACGTAAAATATGGGGGCACATTGTTTGGATGGCGTTGAGGTAATGAGGGCGATAGAGAAACATCTCGATTATCAATTCGCGGCCCAATGCGTGGTTGAAGAACACAAACAATGACCAATGAATCAACCAAGTTCTTTGTTGGAGCAACTGAAGGCTGTTCCCTCCAAACTGGTTCGGGCTGGAATCAATGTACTCGCGGAGTTTATTCAAATCCTCAAGGGCGGAGTCCCAATTTTGAACCAGAATTTCAGAAGCAAATTTGCCCCACAAAACGCTCAAGTAATTTTTGTCATTTGGGGGTAAGACAAGCATGCAGAAATAGAGATAGGATGTGGAAACCGAATAGTTGCCACACTCATATCTGTATTTTGCGAGTTTATGTAGAGATTCAATCATTTCAATTTCAAACTGAAATATGAAAATTGTAGTGAATGGAAAAATAATTGTTTTTCATACTTTATAGTCCTTTGAAAGGAAGTTAATTAAAGTTTTTGAATCCCTCATATTTTCCATATTCTTCATGACTTCATCGTCAGCCATAATCTTCAAAATTGGTTGCACTTCTTGTTGGAGTTCTTGTAACTGAGCTACAACGTGCTGACGCCTTTGTTTTAAATCTTCAGGGACCTCTTCATTTGGATACAGTTGCTTCCTGATGTCAATGGCGTAATCGATCATATTAGTCTTGCTTAAAATATCTAACTTGGCTTTAAGCAACTCCGTTTCATCGTAAATCTAACAAATTGAGAATTAAGCAAATGAACATAACCTGAAAAATTGTACCTCTTTAGCCGACAAGAATTCCAACAAAGGAAACACTAAGTGGCGATCCAAATATTGTCCCATTCGCGAAGTTAAATCAAACTGGGCCATTTTCACCGTTTTTATGCAAAATTCAACGATATTTTATAAAATGTGACACATATGGCCGCACCACGGCCTAGGGAGTTTTGTGATTATGTTCACATAACAACAGAGATATGTTGGCACTATCGTCAATTTGTCACTTTTAGGCGCAAATTTAAAAAATATAAAGAAGTTAAACAGGTTGTAAAAAAATAACAAATATTTTATTTTCTAACATTTATAATATTTGTTTTAAATAAAAAAAATCGTTTCATTGCCCTATGAATTTATCGATACTCTCATATTTCCATTCTGTTTCTTTTAAGTAATCGAGCTCTTTCCTTAGCGTCTTCATTCTGCATTGATGCAAATCTTGTAAACTTTGAGTGGCATTTGTCCTAATAATTTCGTGGTACCAAGTCAGTCTTAAAGTAGATGAAACTGAAGGGCCTTCAGATTTTTCTTCCTGAGATGACGGAGTTGATAGAATAGCCTTTGGCAGATTTGACCCAGACATTTTCACACCAGGAAAACATTCAATGATAGAAAAATAAAGTTTTTCATTGAAACATAACCTCTCAAATGACACCTACTTTTTTTGAAAGATCAATGAAACAGTGTCATCAACCTTGCGGCAAAAAATATGAATTTTCAAGATTTTTTTACGGGTATTGTTTAACTCTTGCATTGCCAAATTGTTTATTTGAAAACATTGAAATTATAGAAACACAATTAATTAGAAATGGTTAGAATACTTGTTTTTCTCGGATAAATTTGTATAAAAATTGTGGTTTTAGAGATTGGTACCCCTGCACCTGTCATTACAAATTTGGTTAAAATGATTTGCGCCAGTGAGTGAAAAGTTGTAAATTGTGTTGCACGTAMTTGGACCTTGACGCTTAAAATTTCTAACTTAAAATGAAAACATAGAGTGGTTTGAAATCAGTTCGGACGTGTTTCAAGTCGTGTCAAGTCCATATGAGCATGGAAAGGAAAAGTGAAGAATCGGCCCAAAGCAGAGTCCTTCTGGAAGAGACCTTTTACGTTTTGACGAAGAAAAACTGCGTGTTTCGGGTCCGTCTGACAAAAGCCGGCCTTTATTTAGTGAAAGAAAACGAAAACAACATCAAAGAGCAAGTGATCTCAATCCAAGACATCATAGGTTGTAGGTGTCTCAGAAGCAAAAAACAGTCGAAAAATTGTGCTTGTCAGTCAATTCCCCGCTCTGCCAACCTCAAAGTAGTCGAAGAAAATTCGGGGGATTTGGATGATACGGATGTGAGCGCTTACCTCTACATTTACGCTTATATTTTAGTCAATAACAAGGGCACGAGCAAAAAGAGGGAACGCACGATTATTACGCTGAGATTTCGATCGTTTGATAAATACGAAGATAACAACAAAGAAGCGCAAAGGTGGAGAACAATGATCAAAAAGTTGATCAAGGGCGAGAACGTTAGCACGAGTCATATTGCCGATTTTTCCGTTTCCAATAAGTACAAAGAAGATAGGCGGTTGTTGGTCTTGTGCAACCCCAAGAGCGGGCCTGGGAAGGGCAGGATCATTTTTCAGCAAAAAGTTGTACCTATTCTGCAAGAGGCGGAAATTCCTTATGATTTACATATCACCAAATATGCTAATTTTGCAAGAGAATTTATAAGGACATGCAATATTTTTCAATGGAGTGGTATTATTCTGGTAAGTGCGAACTTCTAGGTTGGCAACCGCTGATAAATTCCATCTCCTAAGGTTTCAAACTTTCATTTGTTCTTATGTAATCTTATCAACAGACTATCGGATTTTTATTTTATTTTTATTTTATTTGCAACTATCAGTATGTATTTTGTTTATTTTTATAAATAACGCAATAAAAAGTCGTAACGACCTAGTTTTCTAAATCTTGAATGGCACACATTGAGAATATTTCAAAAATAATTTGCTTTTTAGTTTTTAGTAAAATGAAGCTCTTCGCTTTTGGTCTGGTCCCTTGCTTCAAACATTTAAACTATTTTTTTTTATCGCGAATTGAAGTATCTTTAAGTGTACTTCACTCTACAGATAAAACATAATTTTTTGCATGACTTTAATTTCTATTTCATATAAGCAACGAATTAACGTTTTAAAATATATTAGAGAAAATAGATACCTGGTTGTCGTTTCAAGGTTGCTAAATTTATTAAAAAATGTAAATATTAACTCTAAATGATGAAAACTACATAAGGATATTGTGTAATAAAGCTGTCAAAGCGTGTGAAACAAGAAATTATAATAATTGCCCGATTTCGCATTTTTTATGTTACGGTTTCAGATTAAACGGACAAATCAATTTAGGATAATTAGTGATTAAATGAATGAGAATACAGTTGGAAAAGCGTAGGATCATTAACCGAATGATCTAATTAATAATTGGATTACGACCTAAATTTGTTTGGCTTGTGTTTCTAGAATGATGAAAACAAATTAATGAAAAGTCTGTTCGTGTAGTGTGTAATTATTGCAATTGATTTTTTCCCGGAAATTAAACAGGAGATAAGGAAAACGTAATATGAAAGTAAATTGACTGTGTTTATTTGGCGAAAATGGTAATTTAAGCGCATGTGTACTTGATGAACTTTGGATGTTTTTGTTTATTGGTTATCTATTTTGAAATATAAAAAAATATATTTGTTTTCTCACTGTTTGTTAAAAATTGCTGTAGATAATTGATTAACAATTTTCTGTTTTTGTATGAAAAATATTTTAATAAAAAGTTAATGAAAAAAAAATACGAATAATAAATACTCTTCCAATTTCTTCATTTATATGCTGAGCTAGTTAAGATTTCTTGTGAATTCGTGCAAGGCATGATAAAATCGTGTACAAATTTTATTCTACATTTTTAAAATCTTAGGTTACTCAAAAAATAATATGTACTAAGTGTTAATTAAAATAAAGAGTTGTTAAAGGTGAGTAACTTTTTATCCCATCAAATGAATTATTTATTTTTATGTGAATAAAACAAAATCGTATCGAATATCGACTGGGATATTCATATGGTTTTGCATGTAGGCCAGAAATTTTCATAGTAAAAAGTCATTTTTTAATCAAACACAACGCATACCAATTTCCCTCTCGATTCAACTTTCGTTTTCTTAGCCTTGCATAATCTGCAGCAAAACCGTTTTTATTACTGTTATGTATGCATTATTGCATTGCAGGAAATTACTTTTTTTAATAAGCATAAAATATTGCAAAAACATTATTACAATTTTTCTGTGCAGTTTTATGCATCAAACATTAAGACTTAGATATGTCAGTACAGCTTGACCTTAAGTTCTTATAAACAGTTGGTAAAAACATTAAAATGTCACGATTTCCATATTTTCTCCTTCATATTATAACAACGATTTTCAAAGATTTATAATAACATTATTGGTCATGATCATTAATAATTATTGTTTATCCTTTGCCAATAATACACTTATCTATTTCTAATATTTACAGAAAAGGAAGGTTTAGAAACGGGGCCTGAATTTTTTTAATTTTGTGGACTAGAAAGAAATGACTGGAAAAATGGTCGGTGATTTAATTACTTAAATTATTATTACAACCGTAAAAACAGCACCAGTGTGGGCATATAATGCACGCCACAAAAATTAGATATTTATTTGCCCATTTCCATTTGAATAAATTGTAAAGCTTTTATCATAAAAGAATAAAAAAGTCACCTTTTTTCAGGCAATTGAAACCTTTGTTTAGTCTGCAGTCCGTTAATAATGTAAAGTCCATTCACATTACATTTTCCTCAAGGTCTAACCTTGCAGTTTTTTGTTATTGTGAATTTTTTCGATCTTTATTTGAAATTATTTGTAAATGCATTGTTCTTAAAAAATGAATGTTCAGAGTTTGTAAGTAGTAGACAAATTTATAACTGAGCTTATAACTATTATAAATTTATTAAATTATCAATGTGAAAAGGCTATTTGAAGTAGCTCCGATAATATCTGTTCGAAATTAAAACATTTTGTTGGTCAATTTAAAATTACTCATTAATTCAGTGATAAGATTGATAGCACTTATATTATGCAAAATATCAATAATACTGATAATAAACAAATGCTGTTTCATTAATTTAAAAGGCTTTTGTATTTTTAAAATAATTATTCTTATCGCCATATAACAAATATAAAACAGCACTTTTCGAATTTTTTAATAGCAATTTTGTGAATTTTTCAGTCTTTGAAATAAAATATAAAAAATCACTTTAGTGCAATTTATGTTAGAAAAATAATCAACAAGATTTTTTTTTCTCTATACTCCGCCTTTCATTGTTAACGCTTCCAACTGTTTTTTCCCAGTTCCCACACAAAACCCGGTGATTAATATTGTTTTCCTACCACAGGTCGGCGGTGACGGCATCGTCTTTGAAGCAATAAATGGTCTTTTCGAGCGTTGGGATTGGTCTGACGTCGTTAAAACCATCCCAATCGGGGTCATTCCCGGAGGTTCCGGCAATGGGCTGGCCCGCAGCATCGCCTACCACTGCTCGGAGCCCTATCTCCCATCACCAACCTTGCCCTCAGCCCTAGCCGCCGTTCGCAACAACTGTGCCCCCATGGATCTAGTTCGTGTCGAGACAACTTCCCAAATAATGTTCTCATTTTTATCGCTAGGGTGGGGCTTCCTTTCCGACATTGACATTGAAAGCGAACGACTCCGGATGCTCGGGGGGCAAAGGTTCACCGTGTGGTCTGTCGCGCGACTCATAGGGCTGCGCAGCTACGGCGGCAAATTATGGTATTTACCGGCGAACGTGCCTTTGGTGCCCTCCAGGCTGGAAGTGAACACCGGAAGTGCATTAGATTTGCCTGCGGAAGTGCATTTGGAGACCCAAACGGGGCGCCAACGGTTGGACTCATGGTACAGTGCGGCGTCGCGACGTAGCGCCTATTTTTCAGCCACGGGGAGTAGTTATCAGTCGACGGCGGATAGCGGGGGTGGGGGTGATCCCTCCGGGGGCGACCCGGACAAGCCACGGATGTACGGTCCCGCGAGCAAGCTTCCCTGCCTCACGCAGCCCCTTCCCGAGTCATGGAAGTGTATAGAGGGGCGGTTTGTGATGGTGCACGCCTCGTATCAGACGCATTTAGGAGAGGATTGTCTCTTCGCCCCCGATGCCAAGCTCAACGACGGAACGATTTGGTTGTTGATCGTGCATGGGGGCACCACGCGGACACAGCTACTGCATTTTCTGTTGGGGTTGAGTACTGGGGCCCACACGTCGATGGTCGGTGAAGGGGGGCCCATCGAGTTGATAGCAGTGAATGCGTTTCGGATAGAACCCGATATGAACGAACAGGGGTATATGACTGTTGATGGGGAGCATGTGGAGTATGGGCCGATTCAAGCTGAGATTTTTCCGAGTTTAGCAAGAGTTATGGTTCCCTGATCAGAACATTCCTTAGGTACTAATAATTGTAAAAATAAATCTAAGGTTGTGATTTTATCTACTTTAGAGCCAGTTCTTATAAGGCTTGACGGCATTTAATGGTGTAGAGGTGATCATTTTTTTCCCGACTTTAATCTTGCTGTTTTGTTGTATTTATTTATTGTTACGGATAGGTGAGCTCCACGAATTATATAAGTTGGCCTAGCTTTAAAATAGTATTTACGGCAACTTGGCTTTAAAAGCCAAGAAAAACTGTAAATTTTTGTTCAAGAGGTAGAAATCTTATAATTCCAGTGATATGAACACCAGTGTAAAAAAATCTTTGTAATAATTCTATTCATAGTTGAAACGGGGTCTCAGGAGTTTTATCCGGTGGTCATTTGTTTCTATTTAATGTAATGTATGTTGTTACTTTTTTATAAGGAAATCACTCATTAACAGGCCATTATCAAACGATTTTATAATCAAAAGTTGCCAATACCGTAGTGCTAAAAAGTAATGAATTGTTAAACACGTCAAAACGACAATTAATTTTTTCTAATTCTATTGTTATGATTAAAGGAAAACATTAAATACTCGCTTTCTTAACAAATGGTAAAAAGCGTATTTCTGATACCAAGATTTTTTTTTGTTATTGTATAACAAAAGATTTTGAATGTAATTTTTGTACCTGAGGGCCTTCTTGTTAATTAGATTGTTAAATAGTAAAGTGTGACTTCATTGGCTGATTCATTTGTGTTGAAAGCAATTTTATTATCAGTAATGCTCATGTTTGTAGGCAATAATCCTGCAATTCTTTTAACCATGTAACATGTCTTTTTGCTGTAGGTTTTAGTAAAATGAGTACCGTAGGTGAAGGCTGTGAAATATTACAAAACCTTTTTTAAACTTCACCATGTCTGTTATTTATTTATAGTTTTTGTTTGCTCAAATTATAAAAAATTAAATTGTTAAAAATCAGAGTATTAAAACTTATTTCTGTGATTATAATATTGTATAGCAATATTTAAATAAATAAACTGAGATTATGAAATCTTGATTCCTTGCAATTCCGTTAATAATTTGGACATTTGGTCATCTACAGTCTCTGGCGCTTCAGAATTTAAAGAAAGTTTCATCAGTTGAAGGTTGTCAACGTTTGTTTCTGGAGTCTGCTGTTTATACACACTTATAAGTATATCCACAATCTAAAAGTCCCACATTTAAAAAAAGCCAGAAGCAAACACTTAATAACATACCAGTTGCAATTCTGCTCTGACTTGGATCATTTCAATTGATCCTTCCCTCCAACTGCGTTGCAAAATATGCAATTTACTTTCAGCAAGCTGTAGAGGATTTTTCCCATACAAGTCCAATTTTCTTACGTCTGCTCCCGCCTTTAATAATAATGAAATTATAGAAAGATTGTGTGTGCAAGCTGCGAGATGAAGCGGAGTGTTGCATAATTTATCGTTTTGATTAGGATCAGCGCCCCTTTCTAACAGAAGCTTCACGACGTCTGTGTACCCCTTACTGGCAGCTATATGAAGGGCGCTTCTTCCATGCACATCTGCACTGTTGGGGCTAGCTCCCAAAGCTAATTGTTTTTCTATACTTTCAGTGTTGTTACTAGCAGCAGCGAAAAGAAGACGGGCATTTCTTAGAGTCCTTATTCGGTTCTTCAAGGCGGCATAATGTTGACTTTTAATTAGGTTTTTCGCTTTTAATTCCACATGAAGCTTTTTTTTGAACTCCCCCTTAGTCCGGTTCACTTCACTATCGCTGTGAGACATTTTTTGGCAGAGAACCTGACATTAAAATTGCGAAACTTCAACCTACGCAATGTTTATTTATTTATTGCACTCTACTGCGCAGCCCCTACTTGTCACACATCCTTCTTGACGTTGTCAAATGTCAGGACTAATTCCCATTACATCAAAAACTTATATTTTATCATTTATGTTATTATCTCTTTAACTATATTTTAATTATTAGATTAGTTATCTAGTTAGATAATATACAGTTTTAACCATTTTTTATTAAATGTTGTTTTGTGTAAGTAACAGTTTTTTATTATGGAAGTTGTGCGTAGTGAAGTCATGCAGATTTGAACTTTTGAGAAAGGTATCCGTTGCGTAAACGCCGTAAACGTCAAGTTAAATGTTTAAAGTACAATTTTAAAATAAGATCGAAATTTGTTGCGTGTCTGTTGTGATTACTAAAAGATTCTTTTTATTTATTTCAGTTGTGAACGTAGAATGATATTTGAGATGCAACCATTTACGACTTTCATGGTAAGTCTCTGAAACTAACCTTAAAAAATGCCGCTGACACTTGCCCGTTTATTTTAAAGAACGTGGAAAGCACCCGCTCCTACATCGACAACTTGTACTCATCAGACCCCGAAAAATGTCTAAATTCTATAATTTGTATAAAAAATTCCGTTATTGGCTCGAACCGGCAAAAAGAAAGCGTGATTGCTCAAGGTATAGTGCCGCGCCTTTTGCAACTTCTTGAAGACAAAAACATGAAATTGGATGTGAGGATCGAATCCGCGGTGACTATTGGCTCTTTAGCTAAAGGAACGACTGAACACAGCGAAATTCTCATCAATTCTGGCACTGTTGAACTCCTTTTGGACATCTTGGAAGAGAACGAACCCCGACTTATAGACGCGTGTTTGTGTTGTTTGCGTACTTTGTCTCTGCTGGATTCAGCCACAGCTCAGAATAAGTTTGATGTGAAGAGGTTGCAGAAATTGCTGACTTTTGCTGGGCCGGGGGAGAGTCTCCAACGACAGTCTTGTGTGGCGAGTATTTTAGGCTCGGCGTGTAAAACACCAGTGGAACAAAACGAGTTGTGTAATATGGGGGCGCCGACCTTACTCGCGGCGCTTCTATCAGTGCAAAACAGCTCAGTAAGAATACCTGTCTTGACGTGTTTGGCTGCCATGTGCTGGAATAACCAAACTGTAGCAAATGCTATTGTCAATACGACTTACAAAGATATTAAAATTCCCAATCATTTGGCGACTTTGATCAGTAGGGATAAGCCTATAGAAATGCAATTAGAAGCAGCCAAATGTCTTACAAATTTACACAGAGCAGGGGCTATACCAGCATATGACCCTATAATTACTTACAGAACTCTGCCTTGTCTAGTCCGACTATGCCAGGTTGGTCCTTTCGAAATAAAATTGTTTAGAATCAATAAAATCACCTCATTTCTTAGGTTGAACACTCGGAACCACACAGAGCAGCAGCAGCAAATACTTTAGCTTATTTAACGGAAGTCGACAGTGATTTGCAGCAAGTTGCTGCAATTAGTAATCAATTAGTGAGCGCTTTAGTACATTTGTTGAGTTGTCGTAGTGTTGTAGCGAGAGAAGCGGCCTTCAGGTATTAGTGTTTAATTTTGGTAAATTATTTAATTAGTAACGGTTGATTTTTAGAGCATTTGCTTCTTTAGCAGCGAATGATGAAGATATAAGAAAACGTATTATAGATACGAAATGTTTAATGGATAGTGTGTTAGAAGGTTTAGATGATGAAAATGAAAATATTAGACTAGCAGCTGTACGTTGTCTTCATTCGTTGAGTAGGTCAGTGCAACAATTGCGAACCACCTTCCAAGATCACTCCGTGTGGCGCCCCCTGATGGCACTTTTAACAGGTAAACATTGAACACAGATGTCCTATTATGGCCAAATAGTGCAATTTTGCTTTTATTTAAAAAGGTAAAAAAGTTTATACACGAGCCAAAGGCGTAATTTAAATAGAATAATTGTGTAACAAAATACAGAGTGGTTATAAATGATTTTCATCTAGCCAGCTGTGAATTTTCCATGTAAAATAAAAAATGCCGCCTTACGAAAATAGGGGTACCTACTTGTTGTAACTCAAAATTAAAAAATCGCCGTTTACTAAGCGTCTACTTTGAAAATAGACTTCAATTATAAACTTGTTTTTTTCCGAAGTATATATTATTATCAATTATTATTGGAAATTAGTTGAAACAATAAAAATTTAATTAACAACAATTTATTATTAATTAATAAGTGACACTAATGACAGAACTAGAGCTTTCAAAAAAGTAGAGCGGCACAAATAAAGTTACATGCAAAAAAATTCCAAAGCTGGCTAGATGAAAATCATTTATAACCACTCTGTACATATTACTCTTATCAGTGTTACAAAAAAAAAAAAAAAATGAAGGACAAAAGTTTTACATTTTCTGTTTATAATTTTATTATTATTGAAACGATTTACCATTATAAGCAAGGAAGCAACTAGAATTCATTAGATTATTCTGTTTTGATTTTAAATAGAGAAGATAATTTTCTGCTGCCTTTTTAGGGCTCCAGAAAAAAGTTGTTTCTTGGTCGTATTGTGTTTTTTGACACTTTCAAATAAATTATACTTTGAAATCCTATCTTTATTAAATCATTATCAGGCGTCATACACTTACTCAGCGAACTTTATAAAAAATGACTACATATTCCTGATTCTTTTTTTATTATTGACCTAACAAATAGAGTTTTTCCGGACATTTTGAACCTTTCTAGTGACCCAGAATTTTTTGGCAGGTTTTATCGGGGGCACCCTGTATAAAGACTGGACAGCGGGAAAATATTCATAACTTTTAGTTTTCTGTCTGAATAAAAAGTTAGAAGAAAAATACATTGAGTTAAAAGAAATAAAAATTGAAACGACTTTAAAGGGCCAACTTTTTTTTTAACCAAGAACACAATTTTAATATTTGTATGTCTAAAATTCAATTTGTTTTCTTTTTTAAATAGAATGTTAACGTTGTTTAGAAATTGATTCTTTAATTAAAAATCTAATGGTGTTAAAAAATTTAATTAATTAATATTAATATTCACTGAATGTGTCATGAGGAAAAATAATGCTATTCAGGCTGTCCTTCGACGGAGTTGCTCACGGCCGCCTCATCCGCCCTTTGCAACTTCCTCCTGGAGTTCTCCCCCGCCAAAGAGCCCATGATCCAACAAGGCGTCGTGCAGCTGTTGGCAACCTTGACCATCCGTCCCGAACCTTCCCTTCGCTTGAACGGCGTTTGGGCTTTAATGAATCTCGCCTTTCGGGCAGAACAAAGGGTCAAGTCTCAAATTTTAACAGCCCTTGGGACCGATCAGATTTTCCGATTGCTGGCGGATTCGGACACCCGCGTCCTTATGAAGACTTTGGGATTGTTGAGGAATTTGGTGTCTCCTCGGACGCACACCGACACTATGATGTCCCTGCACGGCCCCCAGGTCATGCAAGGCGTCGTGTTGGTGCTGGAAGGGCCGCATTCGCCCGAGGTGAAGGAGCAGGCGTTGTGCATTCTGGGGAACATCGCCGACGGGGAGAAGGCGCGGGAGCATATCATGTCGAACGAGGATGTACTTAAAAAGTTAATCGATTACATGACACATCCGGCGCCGTGTTTGCAACAAGCGTCCGTTTTTTGTATCGATAATTTGTCGAGGTTGGGCGAGCCGGGCTCGGTGGAGAGGCAGAATAAGTTGAAGGAGATGGGGGTTGTTAATATCCTTCAGCAATTGTTGAGTACTTCTGATACGGTGCTATATAATCGGTAAGGTTGGAGACTGATTAAGACAGGTGAGGTAATTTGTGGTTTCTGTTCCAGAGTTAAAACTGCACTCACGCAGTTTACTGATGTATGAAGTTTGTTTACTGTTCTAAGAATACATGATCCCCCTTTCTGATATTAATGTGATGTGTAGACTGACAAGTGTATATTTTGTTTTTTATTATTATATTATTTGTAATTATTGTTGGATGCTGATTATATTTGATCCAAGATCTAACATAGTAATTTTATGTTATACTCATTTAAAAGCACATGACACTTTTTATTCGACGTGACAAATATTGACCCTGTTAACAGCAAGTTAAGAATTTGTAGTATGATAGTACATAAACTCATTCTAATTCTACGCTTTTAGTCAACACTTTGGCTTTTATCGATTTCGATTTACAGCATCATTAACAATAAAAAAATATTTATTTAAATTTGTTTTTTGATTGCATTCTGTATAAATTACCAACCAAATAAAGTTACTATTAACATTTCTGTTTTTTATTTTTGTTGAATAACTATACTAAAATAAAAATTATAAGTAAACAAAAATTCTCCAGAGAATTTTTTTATTTTTGGCGCATCCACCATAAATGGAAAATAAATACAAAACGGTAAATTACTTTCATGAATATTTATTCATATAGGTTTAAACAATGCAATTTGGTTATGACTAGTGCAAAAAATCACAAAGGAATGTTATATACATTATGCAAGGTTGTGTATATACTTAAAAATAAGACATCGTAGTTCAGACCATTACGCCCTATCGCCCGAATTGGTCAACTCCTGGTCGGCATTGGCCAACGGATCTAATTCTGCAAACAAACTCAGCCACGACATTTGTGTCCCACTTTTCTCGTTCCCTTTGCCAGATACTTTCTTTGGCTTATCGTTTTCTTTGGTATTGTCGTCCGTCTTCCCAACCTCTAATTGGCTAAAATCAAAATTCCCCTCCTGTATGAGCTTCGACGGCATAAAATCGCCCCCGAGGAAATCACTGTTGTTGGGCCAACACAAATCAAGCAAGGCCGAACTCGGATTTGAGCCATCTTGGACGGGAGGCTCCAGTTCCGGAGCCGGAAGTGAGAATTCTTCTCCCAGCAAATTCGACACTTGTAAGTCTTGAGATTCTTCCTTCTCGGCCGTCTTTTCCGATTCTTTGTCGGTGTACTCTGCGTTGAAAAACGTTTCTTTGTCTTTTTCATGTTGCGGTGTTGCCAGTTCCGAAATTGCGCTGAAATCGTATGGTTGCACGTCCCCTACTTTATTGGCCGCTAGCGTGAGAGTCTCGGTTGCTTTGGCCGCGAACGTGGCCAGAGCCCCCTGATAGGGCACGAGTGCATGCGAGAACATGTTGCATCGCGCAGCGGCGAGTAAGTCGACTTTCTGGAGACAAGCTAGCGTTAGTCGGTCAAATTTTGTCTTGGTGCTTTTTACGTAGGACTGTGCCTTGCGAAACCGGTCGAGGCCATACCCGGTATCGGGGTCCAACTGAGTGGAGACTGATTTCATCCAACTTAGAGCGGCGCGATATTCCGTTCGAGCTTTTTCCATCTCTACTACAGTGGTACGGGTGTCTGAGATGGCGCGTCCGCGGAATGTCTCCACTTCGTGGTGCAGACGTACCAGAGGGGGCCGCACGGTGAGCCTTTGGTGGCCTGTATAAGCCAGAGCTTTGCCAGCTGTTGACATGATTTGGCCCGCACTGGCATTTTTCTCGTTTTTGCCGTATTCTTTCAAGTATCGACCGAGGGCGTTCTCCTCCTGGGCTAAGTAACAAAGTCTTTCTTGGTACAAATCTATGACTCGTTGTAACTGAACGCAGCTATCGTTTATAGATTTGAAGAGTTCGAGTTTTGCATCGAGCTCGGCGTCTGATGACACAATACATTCGTCTTCCTTGCCGCCTAATTTACGTAAAACACTTTTTTTTGTCACCCAATACTGATGTTGCATCATTTAAACACTATTTTAAATTTATTTAAAACATAAATGCGTGTCTACACGCAAAAATCAAAATGATTGACATGACATTTGACATTTATGTCAACGAATTGTCAAAGTCGTCCAACATAACGGGTTTTAAAACCCCAAATAAAAGTCAGCGTTTGAGGATATTTTAACTAAAAAATTGCCACAGTTTGCTTAATTGCAGTTTAATTATCTTAATTAAAACACTGATGGTCCATCTCGTGAAACAAACGACGTCAAATCTGGTATTTCGTATAAATTAAAAGTGCAATTAGGTTGGTACCTCTGCAAATTGTTTGCATTTCACGAAGACTTCAATGTAAATAAAAATGTTACACCCCCAATTATCATGATTTTCCGTACTCAATCAATTAAATTTACCGTCAGTTTTTAGATTTTTGCCAAAAAAATACCAATGGGGTCAGAAAGTGAAGAAGTGCTTGTGGAAGATTCAGATGATTCCTTACTTGACATTAGAGAGGTTTGTGGTGCAACCCTCATGAGCCCCCTTAATAATTAATATATTTTAGCTAAATGATTTGGAATTCGATATTCCATCCGTGGCCGCTCCTTCTTTGGAAAGTGTCCTCTGGGACATGGAATCAGAAGAAGGGAGTGACAGTGCCTCATTGCACTCATTTCAAAGTCTTACATCAAAATTTAGGTCTATGTTATCTCATAAGATCTTGCAAGGAGTCTCTACACAAGTAGCTTCAGCGGGGGTATATTTCAATTTTTTGTGTAATTTTTGTGTAATTATTAAAATTGCAGGAACGTGTCGGTGCTGGCTTGTCGACTGTAATAACAAATAGTCTGAAATACGTAGCAATAGGGACTTCCCACGGATACGTCTTAAATTTTGATTCAGAACAGAATCTTTGTTGGTGTTGTTACGACACCAACTCTAGTAATCAAGGGGCTGTGTCAGCTTTAGCCTTTAATCTTGATTCTACAAGACTACTTATCGGGTAATTACTTACTTTATAACACACCAATCTCTTAGTTAATTGAACCTGAGAAAAACTTATTTCAATTACTAATGACACTTGTTACTTATTTTCAAAATTTTAATACTGCCAACTTAAAGCAATAAACTTCCCTTTTTTCAGATACGAGCGTGGCTTTATTTCAATGGTAGATGCAACCAGTGGCGACATAATTAGAAAATTACCCGACGCTCATGCCCCCCAAACCGTCGTCTTACATTTGCGTTTCACTTATTTGAACAATTTGGCTCTTTGCGGCGACTCTTCAGGTTGCGTTTTTTCTCTTTCATTTAATCGCCGCTTGGGCGTACGCAGTTGGGACTCGAAATGCCTTTTTTCCGGCGCTCGCGGCGAAGTTTGCATCTTCGAACCTTTAGTCCAGGGCCACGATATTAATTTTTTAAGCCACCATGTTCTTGTTGCGATGGCCACTTTATCCAAGGTACAAACCAAAACTGATTTCAAAAATCTACAAATATTCTTACAGGTCATAGTGATATCAATTCGGCCACGGCTAAAAGTCCTTTTCAGTCAGCCGCTACCGAGAGTTTCAACCTCCCTCCCGCTCATTTCGTGGCAGTTGGTGTCGGTGGGACGAACGTTTCAGCCCGTGCTCGCTTGGGGGCGCTGTAACGAATTGAACTACACGCGAGTTGTACTCCATAATACTAATAATAATCGACTCAGACTTCTCCCCTTGAGGAACGTTCATTTGAACTACACTTTGACTGCCATGCATTGGTTGGGGACTCGTCACTTGGCTTTACTTGACAGTAACGAGAATTTGAGACTGGTGGAAGTGAGAACAAACCGAGAGTTGGAAGTTTTGGAGTTGGCCAATGCTGTACTTGTTTATAATTCGGCTCATTTTAAAGCCTTAGCTATCGGAGGGGGCGTTAGTGAGGCGTTTGCACTGGCAGGGGAGAGGGCTTGTTATAACAGTTTGTCTAGTCGAGGAGATCAATTACTAATTTTGGGTAAAAAGGCTGTGCATTTAATTAAATTAAGGACGTGGCCGGAACGACTTTTGTATCTCAGTGAACAGGGGAGATGGGCAGAGGCACTCAATTTGGCCGCTGAGGAGGGCATGAATCGGGAAATTTTCACGTCAAGTCTTCTAAAAAAGTACTTGGAAAACCTCAACCAAAATACTGTGGATAAAGACAGCTTAACGGCGGCAGTCAATTGCTGCGTTAAATTGAATAAAACGTAAGTTGGCATGTTTTGAAATAGACTTCTAATCAAAGTGACCCGTGACTTTGCAATTAATTTGGCAAGATTGAATTATTGATATGTCATGGGATGTTTTGATTGGAAATTTCTTTGAGTTAACGGACCGCAGACTAAACAATTACTTCAAGTGACATCCTCTGCAACGAACTTCTAGAAGCAGTTTCAAGTGACCAAAGCAATCAAGACTGGTATTACACTCTTCTCACGGATCATATAAACAACGGTTTATTAACAAATATGAGTCCACAAGTGGCTCAAACTTTAGTAGATTATTTAGAGAAAAAAGACGCCCAAGTATTAGAAAACGTTCTCTTGTCGCTCGATATTACGTGTTTAGACCTACACCAAGCGTTGAGTATTTGCAAAAAACGCAAACTTTACGACGCTTGGATTCACATAACGACAAAAACAATAGGAGATTACGCGAGTCCTTTGACTGAGTTTCTAGCCGAGTTGACGCTGGATAACCACCGATTAGGGAACACAATTTTGGTTTACGTATCTTCATGCCTAGCTGGTCTAGGTTACCCTAGCGGACACATCCCTGAAAAAGACATCCCAAGGGCCAAACACGAAGTTTTGCGCTGTTTGGAGACAGTTCATTCAATAAAAGGATCAGAGAATGAGCCTACTTATCCCTATTTGCGCGCCTTACTCAAGTACAATACTCGGGAGTGTTTGAACGTGGTGGGATTGGCGTTCACCGAAGCTGAATTTTCAGGCGAAATGGGGCTTTTGCAGCGACAGAGACTTGTGCAAATACTCATGCAAATCGTCGTACCGCCTGAATTTTCAGCGAGTCAGATTATTATTTTAGCGTGTTTTATAGTTCGATTAGTTACGTCAAATAATTTGAACATTGATGAGGGAATGCTGGATACGGTTATAAAGTCATTAACGGATTTTGTTGACCAGCCGTTAAGCATGCGGGATCATAGTGAGCGGGAACAAGCTTGGTTAGATCTACTTAACGCCGGTAAATTGAAATATTTGTCAAACGAGGATTTGCTACATTTAGCGTTGGAGTCAAAGTGTTACCGAGTGGCTGAACATTTGTACGAAACCTTGAAAGATTATTCCAATATCCTCGTTTGTTACTTAAGAGACCCTGTGCGCAAATCGGACGTTTTTAATTACATCTTGAATTACATAACTGATAAAGAACGTAGCGTCGAGGAACAATTCGTAGTCAATTTCCGTGATTTGGTCGCGACTGATAGCAAAAAAACCAGTGAAGTGGTCGTTGAACACTTCCCCGAGCTGATAGTACAATTGAGCGAAATCGTCGATTCTGCCCCCGATTTGCAATACGCATTTCTCAAAGGGGTAGCCTCGAGTGACATTAAACTGCCCCCGCAACTCGCTGAGAAATATTTAGAACTTTTGTGTGCGAAAAATCCGCGAGGAGTGTGCAGTTACATCCAACTCGGTTCGTGTCGAATCGACAAAGCTTTAGCCATCACGAAGAAACACGAAGTGCATGCAGCCACGGCCCTGTTATTGGAACAAGGGGGTGAGTGGATGGACGCCTTGCAGCTTTTACTGCAACATGACATGATCGACGAAGCTGTCAATTTGTGTATCCGGGGGGCGGAACATTTAGACTCAGAAGGGGCCCAAAAACTCTGGCTAGCGTTATTGCAACATAACAAAAGTACGAGAACTATGTCTTTGAGGCAGTTGTTACACGCGGCAGCCCCGCATGTACCCCCTGCACAACTTCTGAATCTAGTCTCCAATGCGAATTTTGGCGATGTTAAGGTTTTGCTACAAGGGATGTTGATTGATTATGTCCACGATGTGCAGATGTTTAGCACGACTTTGAAGTTACTCAGCAGGGATTTGCACCATGGTGAGTTGAGTGGTGCAAGGTTTCAGTGTTTTAATTTGGTTTTGTAGAGTTGGCAAAATCGTTGTGTTTGAATAGTCGGGGAATTTCCGTGACTAGTGTTGGATGTAAGTTGTGCCAGAAACCGTTGGTTTTTCGCCAGGAATTGGGGGGCGAACAGTCAATTGCAGTGTGGGGCTGTGGACATTGTTTTCACGTCACGTGTCTCAAAATGGCCGAAAATGATACGGCGTGTCCGCAGTGTCGGATTAAGGCGAGTCAAATCCCGGTTAATCAGCCGGTAAAGAAGTATACTGTCGAAACGAAGCTACACGCAAGGCCTGATCTAGAAGGCCACTTTTAAGTACTAGTCTTATTTAGGATTTTATAGTTTCAATCACTAGAAAATTTCTTTTACTACCTGCAATTATAACGCTGTATAAATTTGTGATATTTATATTTTTATTATTTGTACAAATAAAATATATACATGTTATAATTATTTTTCTAAAAACGTTGAATTGTACTGTTGCACGAATTGGTTCAGTCTTTCATCTAGAAAAAATCTTATTATTATTATCACAACAACTATTAGATGACACCAACCTTTACTAAACGCCCCCGAGAACTGCGGCGTATTTTTAAAATAATACAAAACGCTATGAAACATCCCATCATCACCTGTATTTTGGGCCGCTTGGAGGAACTTCCTTGGATTGGCATTCTCCTGCCCCAATTTAAGTGCCGATAAAACTTGCCCCTCACTCAAGAGAATCTCTTGTATCTCTTCAGTTGCATTCAGTCTTGCCAACATATCCAGAGCCAACTGAGACGCCGCTGGATGCAAATTGCCCAACGATAAAAGCAAACAGGCTAAAGGTTTAGAATCCGAAACCACTCCATACTGAAGCAACTGTTGCAAGGCTGTGAATTTTTTTCGCTTCACTAGAGTCGTAATCAGCAATTCGTTCAAATTGTGTTGCGCTGGAATGCCCTGTTCAAAAAGCGAGGTCATGTAACTAATCAAAGTCCATTCGAGTTTGCATAAGTCCTTATCGGCCTCCAATTTCTGGAAAATTTCGTTGTACATATCCATTTGGTCGATTTGGACGCGTGGGAGGGGCGCTGACTTCAAATATGGCGCTCCTGGAGGCGAGGCAGTGTGTGACTGTAGCTCCGCCTCCAGGCATTCTCGATAGACATTGTTTATGTGGTTGAAGGATTCTTGTAGCTTGTCTAGAGGAGGTTTAGGTTGTCTTATAGCCTCAAGAAGCAACTATAAAAATGGAGCGGTATAAATTTAACTTGTAAGGGGGCAATGACATACTTTGAGTAAAATTGCTTTGCCGTGTGTCCGCTTTAAGGCCATTTGCGTGCAAGTGGCTAAGTCAGTGATTGAGTTACACAGTTCAGCTAAACACAAGTTAATATGCCACAAGCACCCCAATTTTGCATCAATTACAATATTCGGTTGGAAAACAACCCAGTTTGGTGAATCTTAAATTAATAAAAGAATATAAAATGCGAGGAAATGATGGCAAAGCTCACATAGTTCGCAAAGGTGTGTTTGTGGTTCAACCAATCCGGGAAGAGTTATTTGAGCTGGCTTGAACGACCTCGCTGGCGCCACTGTCGTGTGGTATCTTACTATCCCATCGCTCTCTCCGGGTAAAGCCGTATCAAATATTTGAGAGCTTCGTGAAGCCTATCATTGGACATCAATATATTTTTACATTTTTTTTTCAACTTACCTGATGATGAACCAAAATCAAATCGTCAACAATATTAATCGCAAATCTACCAGAAAGTCCCAATCTTAAGACATGTGTTTTAACAGCGGCTTGTCCCGGGCCACTTAAAGTGTGTACATGGACCTCAGCACTTTGAGGGCCACTCTGGTGTCTCAAAATTAAAACAGCGGGAATGTCATACAGCGTGGACAAAGTTACATCTCGTTCTAAAGCCATCCGGCCGGGTTCGGCTAAAAAACAATTGTATTTTCAAAAAAATGTCATTATCGTGACCCCAAGATAAGTCCCTCGCGCAAGCGTACTTACTTTCAACTTTAGGCAGTTTGCTTACTGACCCTGGTTTAAAAAGCACAGGCTGTAGCTGCGATCCATGAGCCGACGCTAGAAGAGCAATTTTGTTCAGGGAACACCAGACAAACCACTGGACAGTCGCAGAGGTTGTCTTAAGGTACTTGAGTGACTTCTTTTCAGGAATGATCATGTAAAGTTCAATTCCGTGGTCAGTCATGAACGCAACTTCGTTGTTTTGCGCCCATACGAACCCCAAAATATTCGAATTCTTCTTGCAACTTTGCGAGTACTCTGAATCGAGTGTAACTCCGTTAAAGTTCATGAATTCAACAGATGTGTTCGAGCGCTGAACTGCTAGAATTTTCTGATCAAGGGAGAATTTTATTGACAGGACGGGGCCGTGGTCTTCCATTCGAAAATTGAGCGGTTTGTCGGATTCCATTGGACCTTTGACCACCACTCCCATAACTCCGCCCGAGCGAACCGCGAAAACCTTCAAGGGGGTACACCTAATCATAAAAATATAGGTTCTATTTCTGGATAGTTACGTGTTTGTTCGAGTCGTCGAAGAAGACATTTGTGAGCTGGTTGACGGCTTCAAAACGGACCGGGTTTTCAGATAATTCCAAATAAAAATCACTTGACATTTTCAATTCTAACCTCAACTGTCACATTGACGTAAAAATGACAGCTGTCATAACAATTGCCAATAAATTACCTGTCAGGATTTTTACAAATTCGTCTTGTGGGTTGAAATCTTTTAGAAATATTAGAGAGGTATGTTGGAATTGATTGATTTAATCATGAATAATTGATAAGTTATCTAATTTGCAGATGTCAAATTGTATTTTTTGCAAAATTATCTCAGGTGATACCCCTGCTGAAATCTTCCATCAGGATGACAAAATGATTATTTTCAAGGACATTAAACCAGCCTCGAAGCACCATTTTTTAGCTGTACCAAGAGAACACATTCCTAACGTGAATAGTCTTTCTAAAAATCAAATCCCATTAAGTAATTAATTGGGAAATTTGGTTTATTTCTTAATTACCGTATTTTTTCAGTTAATGATTTAATAGCCAAAAGTAAAGAGGTTTTGGCTGACAAAGGAGGTAACCTTGATGATACAAGACTTGGTTTTCATTTACCGCCATTTAATTCAGTATCACATTTGCATTTGCATGTTATATCACCAGTTTCAGAAATGTCTTTCGTAAGCAGTTTAGTTTTCAAACCCAACAGTTGGTGGTTTACTTCTGTACGCTAGTCAATCATACATTAATTTGTTGTTGATTATGTAATTTTGTAGGTGGATCAAATATTGGAAAAATTAGAAAAAAGCAAATTATGAGATTTTTATATCATACTCTATTGGTAGGGTTATAAGACATATAATATAAAAAATAAAATAAAACCTAATGGAATGGTTAGTGGGTTAATAAATACAAGAGGTAGAAACAATATGAAATGTTCTACATTGGACCTGTAAACTATTTTCACTGAAATAAAGAAATTGAAATTAACAAATGTAGAATCTAATTTAGAACCCAGAGGTTTAAAACAGTTCTTTGGCATTTTGACTATTTTTCGTTCAATATACAAAATCAGGCACATACCCTTTAATGGAACTTAAATTTTTAACAAATATAAGTACAAAATATTTAACTCTTCCTCAATAAAGGATATGCACCAATATATATAATTTACAAAATTACTACATTTGTTACTGCTTTTACAGTTACATAACTACTTCTATAAGTCTTATGTTTTGTCGTAATAAGCAACACAAAGTGGTAGTTTAAAATCTCTTACATCTTTTTCTAACATGATATATCCAGGCAAACTATTTTTATGATCAACATTATTAATTAATATGAGATGATAACAATTAATTAAAATACAATTATGGCTCAAATTAATCTTGACACAGAAACCCTGTTGCAAGTGGTCGCGATCTAGATTGTAAAAAAGAATTTTGTACTGAAAAAAATGCAATAACAATCACAGAATCGATTTCCTAAAGCATTTTAAATCATAAATATCGCATTACAATGTAGCAACAAAAACTGGGTGAACATGTTGATGGGACCTATAGCCACAAGTGACATCGATTCGACTTCAGACCACACTAGATTAGGGCCGAAAACCACAGCTAAGTTTTGTGCATTCATTTTATTCAAGTCGGCCCTTTCCATCACCTATAAAAGACATCAAAATCGGTTCAAGACAAACTGTACAATTTACCCTTGAAAGGAAGCTAATAATGTATTTCAAAATTTGATAATTATCAACTGGAAGCTTTTCCATGACTAGGATTGAAACCTGTCGTAGTTGTTGGTCTTTTTCCCAAGCTAAAACCGCTCATTTAAATGAAATTAAAACAGTAAGAGAAAATTTACTTTGAAATTGTATGATTTCGTCATACAATTCGTAAGTTAATAGAGGTTCTTTCAGCTCGCGGAGAAATGTTTTCAGCAAAACTGCAGCTTCATGAGCGTCGGCAAAAGTCAGAGTTTCACCCTGATTTGCGGCTTCTTTCAACTGTCTTATTTTTAGAGTATTTGCAGATCTTCTAAATATACCTTCAGTCTCTAGGGCTAAAATTACGTTTTATATTTATTTTGTTACATTTTATAGTAATTACCATCTGGTTGATCCAAATATTCGACACACTGTTTGACAACTGGTGGTATAACTACATTGTAATTGTCTTTAATAAATTGAAGGGTCACTCCAAATTGTTGGAGAGGTGACGCAGGTTGGAAACTACCGTCAGTTGTTGGGGTTACACTACCCCCAAGTTTTCTATCATGTCTACAAAAATTGATTGTGTAAATAATTCAACATACAATTAGGAATAATTACTCAATCACTTCTTGCGGAATGTCCAATTTTTCCAGCGATATGTGCTCATTTAACTCTTTCAAAGTGTTTATGTAATTGATTTTTTTTCCAAATTTTGCGCTAATTAGCGGTCTAAAGATCTGCGAGACGAATTTTAGGAAGCCAGTTGGATGGACTAAGAACAAAGCTTTCAAATTCTTTTTATATTTCCTATCAAAAGCTTTATAAGCTTGGACAAGCCACCTCAGGGAGGGTTTATTCTTGCTTGAGAGGCCATAATGGAAGTACACTAAGCTATAATCCTGTTCCACATACTGGTCTAGAGTGTGGGTAAGATAACTGCAATTGCACAATGGTGAAAATGACGCGCTGTAGGCCGTTAATGCAATTACTTTAAAAATAGACTGTGATTGATCTCGGCGATGGGCGGTAGCCGATGGGCGTACACAACGATGATTTTTCTCCCGGCATTGTCGTCTCCTTTCACATCGACGATTTTATGTTTATCAATCTCGGAAAACTTACGTGTGGGGGAATCATCGACTTCGGGGTAGGAAGGGGAGTATACTAAACTGTCTAAATTCTCTTCGCTGGGGTCGGCTAACTCTTCCTCAAAGTTGTCATCGGTGAAATCAGGAATCGGCGAATTAATGCCGTTTGACTCCATTTGAATCAACTCGGCTGAACGTTGAGTCAGATACTAATATTTATTTATTGCAAAACGTTACCTGTTTGAACAACAATATCGGGGCTCTGATGCAATTCGCTATCATCGAATTCGAGATTAGGTTCGTAGTCGTGATAATCCGATAAGCTTGGGTAGGGCTCCTCATTGTTATCAGTCAGATTACCTAAAATGCGTTTCAAGTGACTTTAAATTTATCATTTCATATTTTACGCACCTGAAAAGTTTCGCGTTGGACTGAACTTGTTGGTATTCATCTTAAATGCAAATTAAGTCATTTCAAAAGGAGATTTTCGTTTTTATTAGCACACCCACTTTCCCGGTAAAAAACAAACACCCAATTACACAAATCATAAACGCAAAAAAATGTTATAGTTACTGAAACGACTTCTGATTGTAATAACGTTAATTTCAGGAAGTAAACATGTAAATTACGATAAATTATTTTTGACGTCTTCTGACAATTTGACAATCGCCCAATCCGACAAATGCCAATTGCGTGAACATTTGCAAGCACAACAAGAGCTAAATACTCAGTGTAGCCAACCATTCAACTTTTAATAAAAATTTGGTAAAATTGCACTCATCTGACTGAGGTTAGACTTAAATAAAAGTACGCTTATCACTGATAACACCTTAACACCCTCTTTCTTATGGTAATTCTTTCAATTATAAAAATAATGAAAAATATATTAGTATTAATTTTTCCGTCAGATGTCAATTTTTTGTGTCAGGTTTTGGCGGGTAATTTACTCGTTTATTGTTTTTTTTTCAGAGTAGCAGAAAAAGGTGCTAGAGGGTGAGCGCATCTTTTTTCGCTATTTATCACCAAGTGAAGGGTGTAAATATGTGAATTTTGAGTGAGCTTTTATTAAATTATTAGTAAAAATTACTTGATGAAATGTATTATTGCTTAACTTTTCTTTAAAGATTGTAAAAGACGACTGCAAATTTTGCACTGACGGGAAAAATAAAGTAAAAACCCCAAACTTCTTAAAACTAATTTATTTTGCTTCATTTCTCTTTAAATATAGTATATGTAGTAAAAATAAAGCAATACAACAAAAAATGTAAAATATATCAGACGACTATACAGCACTCGATCTACCCTCGCCCTCGCCAGTGTTAAAGCAGAACAAACCTGTATCACCTTGAATAAAAACCGTTAAGTATGAAACAACATGTGCACACAAAAATATATTAAAAAAATATCGAGGCTAATATAAACCGAGATAATGTAATAAATATAGATCACATAAACATTTGTCATAAAATTGACAAAACATCCTACAACGCTATAATGTTGCGTATAATTCCAATCTTAGGCGAATCTCACTAGTCTTTCATAGTATTATAATATCTTAACTCGTCATGCTTCCGTATTTCCGGCCCGGAGGCCACACCGGGACTTCCGACGATCCGGGACTAGGAGCCCTCGTAAAAAACGCATTAGCGATCGCATCTCTTAATCTCTCCTTAAAAGTCTTGTACTCCATATCACTGTAGTTTTGACCGAAATTAAAATCTGCCACCTCCACTACAAACCTATAAAAAAAATTAAATCAGACATAAAAATGACAAAATTTAACATACCTTGACCGGTTTTGGAGGTAGTACGCCACTCCAAATACTATCAAAACCACAGCGACCAAACTGAAAGCCACAGGTACCACTATTACCGAAAGTTGAGCTTGTTTTTTAACTAAAACGTGTGTTTTATAAAACTACAAGACCAGTTAGTCCAGCAACAAACCTTTATAAACAGTCACTGTAACAGGATAGACGACTTTGCTGACTTCGTTTTTAATTATAATAACTACTGTATGTTCCATAGAATCGGAAAAATATCTCTGGATTGTAAACTCACATTTGTCTAATTCATCGTAGATGTAACAAGTCTCGTTCCCTGTTACATTATAAAGACCTTTTTCGTATTGTACACAATATTTGAAGCTTTTCGACCCGTGACATTTCACATTTAATGTCAGTAAATCCCCATGTTGTAGCCAATTATTTCCAGTGACGTTCACTTTAGCCACTGGCGCTGTTACCAAAAAAATTATTACACGAAATTACCGAAATCCGTTTAGCTTACCTCTAACTTTAACATTCTTGAAAAAATAGCCGTAGGTTTTTTGTATATCTGTGGCGACTTGAGTTCCGTTACAAACAAAGGGAAAATTACCATTGTAAGGTTGTAACGTCCCATTCATGTTCACCATAATTTTCGACTGGCTATTAACATCCCTTTTGACTTTAGTTGAATTCGTGGGGGGTGTTTTTGTAGTTGTTTTTTGTGTCGTGGTCGTTGGTTTTGGAGTTGTTGTGCTAGTTGTGGTGCTGTTAGGCTTGATTGTTGTCGTTGTGGTGGGTGTTGGAGTGGTTGTAGTGGGGGGTGGCGGTGGTGGCGAAAAATCAGCAACCACCAAAGCTTCGATCAAATGTTCTTTCTCAGCTTGCGTGTAGTTGAACGGAAATTCGAAATCTTTCCTGAATCCATAATAGACGCAATCGATGAACCAATAAGTTAACACACTGGGGGCCTGTTTGATGAAGTCGGCGTCGGTAGGTTTTAGAGACACGTTGTGGATGACCGGTTCTGCGTTTGAGACGAAGAGATCCGTTCGGGTTTTGTTGTTTTGGATAAGCAAAACGTCACCGTTTAAGGTTTCTGGAAGAGGAGACAAATTCGCGTTGCAATGAATTATCGAAATTAATGCGAAAGTAATCAATAGATACTTGTTTAAAACACTCATTTTGTTTCAAATCAAGGTCGGTCTGGGATTACCCTATTTTGTGTACAATATTTTTGGTTCACTCATATGATAAGCCATTATCGCAGCACAAAACAGTGTTATTAAATAGCAGTTTACGTTTTTATTACTGTAACTTTTTAGTTTTAATCTGTTGAAAAACAAATTTTCGTCACATAATGACTGACCTCAAATTATAAAATAATCTAACCGAAAAATATCTGATATTATGAGAATCAGTCTAACTTGAAATTGTAGTTAGCAAAAATATTTCGTAAAAATGCTTACCAGTTATGTAAAACTCTACCCTATTGGAGGCGATTTCAGCGCAATAAACCAAATAATATTTACAGACTGTGACTTGCACCACATAAGGACCTTGAGGATAAATAGTGGCATTATAAAAAACAGTCCATTCATCAATTGGGTTTTTAGATTGATACTGCAAAACAATCAAAACAATTTATCTCTGCATAGATTAGAGTAAATGACTCACCTCTCTTGTGTGTGTTGGGACAGCTCTGTCCTTCCAGCTATAGACAAAGTTTCCACTAGCTAAATTATCATTGTAATAAACAGTAGCCTGGAATGTTATATTTGCTCCTTTAACGATAGGTCCATTGTCGATAAGGTCTACACGATAAGATGAAACACTAACTAAAAATCATGTGGTTAAGACGATTCTTATACGGATTGTTTTTAACACCTACTTGCAAAACCTAATATTAGTAAAACACAAATATTTCGATATTCTATTCGAGTGTACATAATTAGGTTTAAGGAAAGAAAGTCATTTAAAACATAAAATTTCACAAAATGTAGAAACGTCAATGTCAAAACACCAAAAACACAAAAGTCAACAGTGTTGCCACTTAAAGTAAAATAACCAGAAGTGTACAGTTAGGTTGGTATGAGTAAAGCGGGGAAATCAAACATTTGAACAATTTCTAAATCATATCACGTAATAATTAAATATTAAATCACCGCCGCTTTAAAAAGAAGAGCCGATTACATCAAGTGAAGACTCAATTGAAATTCTCTTTGTAGCCTATTTACAATTCCGCTTTATTTTTCATGCTTTGTTATAGCAATTTAGAATAATCAACTCAGATTATTTGCTTGAAAGTCGTATACGGAGTCATTTACAGTTTTGTGCGCCCAAATATTTGTTGTTTAAAATGAAACCAATTTTCATAGGAATTACATTATTTTTTTCTTTAGTTCAGGGCGATGCAGAAACCACATTCCTGTTGATTATTAATCATCTGAATAGAAATAACATAAAAACATCTTATTTCTTTAGTTGTTGGGACAAGAACGGTAATTTTTAAAATCTGCCCAATGTCTAATTAATTTTTTTTCTAGAAACAATGCGGTTAATGCAGATGTTGAATAACCGAAACATTAAGTTTGATTTTGTAGAGAAAAAAGAAAATGCAATAATTCAAGCGTTGAATGAAAAGAGTATGACTCGTTATGGATACATTTTGGATATAAGATGCAAAACATTTAAGAATTTTTTGTCAGAAGTAGTAAGCGACACATCTCCACTTTCTCTAGTTGCACATTATTTTCAGAAAATTTCCACAATTAATATGAGACTGTCGCATCCCTGGCTAATAATTTCATCAGAATTAAAGGCTTTTGTCTTAAAAAATGTAAATTTGAGAATGGATTCAAACGTGAAATTTGCAATTCCTGAAGGCGAATTCAGTTTTAACATTTTTGATGTTTATAATCCTGGTCATCAACTTGGTGAATCTCCTGTAGTAACAAAGTTTGGGGTTTGGAACGGTTCACACTTGAATATTCAGCAAACAAGAACATTTTATTTACAACGGAGACACATGTCCTACATAAAATTACGATCTGGAAGTGTGGTTTTAATCGGCAGTCATTCTGGAACCTTTGAAGAATATATGTTTGACTCTAGATTTAAACAACTCGACACCATGAGCAAATTTCACTACCCGATGTTTCTTTTATTAGAAGATGTTCATAATTTCACGTAAAAAAAATTATATTTACATATACCAAAATAAATAAGAAATTTCATAGACACACTTTGAAAATTGAGGACAAATGGTTTGGTAATTATCAAAATGGAACTGATTCAGGTGTTGGAAAGTTGTTGTATGAAAATGAAATTGATATTACATGTACTGGGGCATCTCAAAGACCACCACGAGTGGACGTTTATGACTATTTGATGCCTTCTTATCATTTTAGACCTTGTTACATCTTCAGAAACCCGGGAACTTATAATCCACTCGAAAATCAATTTTTAAAACCGTTTACTGACACGGTCTGGTACGTAACTGTTGTTACAACAGTGCTTGTTTGCCTTTTTATGAAAATCTTTCATCGACTCGAGAATAAATTTGTTGGAATTAAAGCGGACTATTCGTGGGCTACAGCAATGCTCATTACATATTCTATAATAGTTCAACAAGGTTTTTATGTTCAAATGATTTTAAATATGTTTTGAAACAAGCTTTACAGATTCATATTTGTTTCCAACCGGTTTAGCAGGTCGTATATCATTTTTCGTCCTCCAGGTTCTTTCAATTCTGCTGTACAATTACTACACTTCAAGCATTATTTCATCTCTTCTAAGTAAACCTCCCGAAGCTTTCCACACCTTGGATGAGTTGGGACATAGCAAATTAGAAATAGGAATTGAAAATTTGCCTTATACCATCACCTGGTTCGAGATTATGAACGACAGTGATGTTCAGTACATTTACAAAAATAAAGTATTTCCACCGAATGCGAAAAAAATGAATATTTATGAGCCAGAAGAAGGCATAGCTAAAGTCAAGCAAGGAGGATTTGCGTATCACACTCAGCTGGATACAGGATATCCTATTATTGCCAGAACTTTCAACCAGGAGCAAATTTGCGATATTACAGAAATTCCGATGATTCCTCAAGTGGGGGCTGGAATTATGCTACAGAAAATATCGCAATATAAAGAAGTCTTTCATATAACTCTTCGAAAAGCTAAAGAAGTTGGATTAGTACACCGAATATCACAAATTTGGGAGTCTAAAAAGCCGGAGTGTTTGTCAAGCATTCGAGTTGTTGCTGTTGGTTCTGATCAAACCTTTATTGCGTTTTTGATGTTGTTTATTGGAATGGCACTCTCGTTGGTATTTTTGGTGATTGAAATTGCTTGGTCTCGATTTAATTTAGACGCAAAAATTACCAAAAATAAAAAATTCAAATGCTAAGCACCGAAACGTCAAACAAATATTTGATTTAATTTGAGTTTACTAATTTTTTATTTAAGTTATATTATTCGTTTTTAAATATGTCTGCAGACGAAGTAAGTTTTGATACTAGGAACGCAACAGAAGAAAATTTAACTGAAAATGAGTCACCTGAAACAGAAGCTTTGCAAGAGGAAGGACAAGTTGAAGCAGTCGAAGAACAAGAAATTTTGGACGTAATAAATGTTCCTGAAAATGAAGAAAACAACTATACAGCGGAAGTACAAGAAAATGTTGATGAGATAAATGTAGAAATCGAAGGACAAACCAATGTGGTAGAAGGAGATGACAAAGCGGATATAAAACAGGAAGAAACGTCAGTACCACCAGCAGTAGAAGAGATGGAAGAAAGTGAAGTAGTAAAGGAAGACAACGAGCAAGCGGTCCAGATTGATGTGGAAGATAAAATATCAGAAAATAAATCAGCAGTTGATGTTGAAGGTGTAGATGAAAAAGTTGAAAAAAAAGTTGAAAAAGGTTTAAAGAATGGAGCGGAAGAGTATGATTTTGAGCATCTAGTGGAACCTGATGCAGTATCGGAAATGTCATTTGCTTTATTACCAGAGGAAGTGCCTAAATTTGTAGAACCTTCCAAAGATACATTGGTAGAACCAGTGGAAATAGAAGTACCAAAAAAGAAGAAAAAGGTAAAAAAGAAAAAGATACGGCCTATTGTAGCAAGAAGAGATTCAGACTATTCTAGTATTCGTATATCTGGCAGTCAATCGTTGATTATAACAGGAGATTTCGCAATGGCCCAAACTGGCAGTAAACCGCTTTTGCCATCACTTATCTCAGAAGCCACAGAAGAGGAAGTGGAAGACGAAGAAGATGAAGAAGTAGAAGACGAAGAAATAAAAGAAATGACAGAAGCAGAACGCATGGAATATTTCCAGAAGTATGACCGCCTTTCTAAAGAACACGATGAAGAAAAACTTAAAAACGATGAGTTTCTTAGGAGACTTGCAAACTACTACAAAAGGAAAAAGATGTATCATGTGTTACACGAAGGCAAGGTCCAGTTAGACGCACAGAAAAAGTACGAAAAGCAATTGGACGATTACAGCATCCAAGCTGAACTCAGCAAAAAAGAGCAGTTAGCTCTTCAGATGGAAATTGCAGACTTGAAGCAAAAATGCACAATTCAAGAACGAGAAACAGTTGAAGCTTTCGAGAAACTGCAACATGAGGAGTTTGAAGTCGGAAAAGATATAATAAATTCGGAGGCTGGCAGAGGACATGAGGAAAAATTCATTGAGAGGTATTTGAAGCGACAAAGAATTCAATTAAACAACTTGATAAAAATCCGATACGACTATATCAAAATTCGGAACAAGTTGAACGAGACACAGGATGCCTTAAACGCCATTGATAACCTTGGGTCAAATCTCCATCTCATCGACTACGAACAACTGAAACTGGATAACCGAAATCTGCAAGACAAGCTCGAAGAGAGGGATTTAGAACTGACGAGAGTGAGGCGAAAGTGTCAAAACGCCGTCCAAATTCTGGCCCATCGCAGAGAAAAAAACGCAGCTTTAGATGCGGATATAACTTACTTGAACGAAAGACTCGAAGGTGTCAGTGGAGAGTATGAAGATGTGAGGGAACAGCTCAATCAGTTAAAGATGGAAAGGGACAGTTATAGGGCTGCTACCAATAAGATAATAGCGAATAGTGGGTTGTTAAGCAGACCGACGTTACTGAGAGACTTGAGTAACACCATGGACGAAATGGAAGAACTGGGAAAAAAGTTGGAAAAAACTAAACGCGAATGCATTGCTGTGAGCAATAAAGTAAAGAAAATTAGGGAAAATATGGCGTCGGAAACAAAAATGAACAAAATTAGGTTAATAATGGAAGGGAAACAACTTTCCGCTAGCTTCTCTGGGGCCAGTCTCAGTGACATAATGGTTGGAACTGTCGCCGGTTAGGATTTTCTAGTGTAGATTTAATCTAAACGTAATTGTATGGTTAGTGACAGGTGTATTTTTTGTTAGGGACTTATTGTAGGGACGTGCATAATTACAGCAATAAAATCTGTGTGTATTTATTATTTGGTTCGTTTTATTTTTCCACCTGCTAAAAAAACAAGCAAGCCGCTCACATTTCAAGTAATTGCCTAATAATAATAAAATGCCAAATATTTTTTGACGTCTGCTTTTTACGTAATTTTTATTCGTATTTTGTATATTTTTTGCAATGTCGGGAGATTTAAATCAAGAAATTGTTGCATCTCATGTGACGGAGGCTGGACACACGACTGAAATGGTTGAAACTAAAGAACAAATTACTGATAGGTATGCGCGAAAAACTAAAACAACAAATAATATTGTCCACGCCATTTTTTTTTTAATTTTAGACCCACTTCAGAAAAAATATTAAAGAGCAGCCTGAAAAGTCGCGATCAGTTAACCACAGAGAAAACTAGCAATGACGCTGGAAAGGAGGCTCCAAGCGAGGCAAATTTACAACCCGAAAAAAGAAAAAGTGTCAAATACACACTGAGCGATGAACAACTGGACATACAAAGCGTAAATATACACGTTTTGGCTGAACTTATGAAACGCGAAACTAATGAATTGGCAATTGAAGATATTTTTTCTTTAAAAAGTGAAGGCAAAAGTGAAGATACAGTCAGTGTTTCTTATCTTAAAACTCCTGCTCGATACCCCGACTTTGCTCAGGGGAAGGATTTCGAAGTGGACAATGAGTCTATTTATTCCTTCCTTATGAAACACCGAGAATCCGACGTATCTCTATCAAAAGAGCAAAGTCCAGAAAAATCATCAGAATCTATTCATAAAGAAGACGAAAAACTAATCGACAGGAACATGTACTACGAACTTCATAAATTATATACAGCAAACTACAACAAAGAAAAATGGAAAAACAATTATCTGCAAAAAAAGTTAGCGCAGTATTATAACCGACGAAGAATGTATCACGTGTTTATCATGGATAAATCTCAACACGAATATGCCAAAATGTACGAAAAACTTTTAGAATCACTTGCAACCAAACAGGACGAAGCTGCAAGAGAACAAGCATCGTTGGAGAGTGAAATAAGCGTTCTTAGAAACAAACATCGAGCCCAAAGCGAAGAAGTTGACACTCTCTTCGCGCAACTCCAACAAGCTGAAGCAGAAATAAGCAAGCAGTTTAGCTACACAGCCCTAAATGCACCAAAAATTGTCGAACGTTATCTCAAACGCCAGCGCTTGCAGTTGTCCAATTTCAGAGAAATGCATCTTGCTTTTATAAAATTGCGAAACAAATACAACGAAACGCAAGATATCCTCGATTCTCTTGATAATCTAGGCCCCAACTGTCGTCTAATTGACTACGAGCAGTTGAAAACAGATAACAGAAACCTCTACGAGAAGCTCGAAGAGAAGGAATTATACCTCACGTCTATAAGACAGGAGTGTCGAAATGTGATGCAGATTTTAGCTCACACGAGAGAAAAGTCGAATGTCTTGAATTTGGATATTAAGAATTATCAGGAGCAACTCGATGGGGTTTTAACCGATTGCATGGATGCGAGAGAACAATTGAGTATGTTGAAGCATGAACGGGACTACATAAGACGGCAGATAAATAAATTGAAACTTGAGACTGGTTTGCTTGGACGACCAAAACTGTTAAGGGATTTGGAGAGGTCAGATTATGAAGTACAGGAAGGGTTATACCAACTAGAAGAGTACAAAGAAGCATGCAAAGCAGCATCAGACTCTTTGATAGCTATGAAGAAATATGTCAGGAAAATGGGCGTCAAAGTGCAGACGAACAAAATGTCAAAAATGTCAAAAAGTGTAAGCTTTTGTGACAGGGAGCCTTAGAATGTAATGTAGGTGTTAATAAAATCGCTAGCTCTTTAATGGGACGTTTTTTTTTCATCAAAATCACTAAAAATTAATACAAAAATTGAAACCAGTATAAAATTACGCGGTTTATATTTTTTTCAATATAAAACACAACACAGCTTATGTAATAAGTACATAGAAATAGCATTAATGTGATTTCGTGAGAAACGAATCTGCAGTTATCGAAGATAAAAGATTTATTTACTAAATTATTCTCTCTGTGTTGTCTTGAATATAATTCTTGTACTTTAATAGAGTATCCAGTTTTTAACAAATCATTCAAGTATGATAATAACAAAAATTCTCATTCTGATTTTACTGTTTAAAAATTTTTCGTCTTCTAATGACACAAAAATTGAAGTTTTAGCCGATTATTTGAAGTTAAAAGACTTAAAATTTTGTTATTTCGTTTCAAGCTACTCCAAACGAAGTAAGTTAACGCGGCAGTAAGCTTTTCTGTAATGTTTTTTAGATATTATTGACATAAATCGATCATTTCAACAAATTAATATAAGGAGCGCCACTATAAACATCAAGTATTTGGAAAAATATACTGAACATAGGAGGCATAACACTATATATATTTTTATGGTAGATTCAGACTACGATGTACGTCGTATCAGAAGCATTGTTTCAATAAATAACTGTTTTGAAACTTTAATTCAGAACGCATTGTTTTTGCTCGAAGATGAACAAAACCTTCAAAAATTATTACAAATATTTAAAACTTGTAATTTTGGAATCAACTCAAAATTTGTAATTATGAAAAAAAGTGACACAAGATATGAGTTTTTAAATTATTATAGGAAACCTCGGTTTTCTTGTGGCACATGGAATCGGACAAATTTAAATAATGTGTCGCTTTATCACGAAAAATTTGATTTGACTGGTTTTGTAGTAAGAGCTATAAGCATCGTATGTCAAAAAAACTTGTTTTTTTCATAATCGCTATAAAAATGATGTGTTTTTAGAGAAATATTACTTATAAATATATTGCAAAGACAAAACGCGAGGTAGCAGTGAGTCAAATTCACTATGGTTTGTTTGCGTTACTCCAAGAAATTCACAATTTTTCGTAAGTACAAAAAATTGGGAAAATTATACAAAACTGGAAAGATATTTCAGTCACGTTATAACTTTTGAACCAAGCGACAAAAATGCTGACTTCGGTAATAAACACCATGTTTTAAAATATCTCCAGAACAAGAAATCTGACATTTACATTACTGGAGAGTTGCAAACATCTGCCAAAGTGGACAAAACCGACTTCTTGATGCCTTTCTACAAATTCAGGTTTCGTCAATTCTGTTCCAATGTTGAATCCGTAATATTTTTTTCTTCAGGACTTGTTTCTTTTACCGCCTTCCAAAAAAATCAACCGTTTCGTTTATAAAACCCTTTTCACGTCACACTTGGTATGCGATAATACTTTCCACACTGATATTCACAACATTTCTTAAAATTGCTTTGGTGATGAGTGACGCTGATGAAACCACTTGGATAATCTCTTTCTTAACTGTTTTCTCAACTTTATGTCAAGATGGTGACGGTACTCGCGATTTATTATTCCCCCACCAAAAAATAAATCAAGTTTATTGCAGACCCGTCCCCCTCTGAGCGTGATACAGGGTGCAAATTAGTATTTCTAAGCATCTTAGTACTGTCTCTTTTGTTATTTAACTATTACACATCGATCACGGTCTCGCTGTTACTGAGTGTTGAAGCAGAAACAGAGCACACTATAGAACACCTCGCACATTCCAATTTAGAAATCGGCGTAGAAAATGAATTTTATGTGAAAAATTGGTTGAACAGTGTTAACTTCACAGATATTCAACAATTGTATAAAACGAAATTATCGAAATTGGATGGAAAAATATTAAATACTTATTCTGCACCTGAAGGACTTGTCAAAGTTGGTTTTGGAGGTTTTGCCTATTATACCGATACAACAACAGCCTATGGTACAATTGGTGGATTTTCGCAAGACCAGATTTGTAACATGGCCCAATCTGACATGATTCCTCCCAGTTTTGTTGGTCTTGTTATGCAAAAAAAGTCAGAGTACTTTGAATTATTTCAAATTAGTTTGTTGAAATTACGACAGGTAGGGCTGGTTCATAGGATTCAAATGAAGTGGGAAGTGGCCAAGCCTGAATGTTACGGAAATACGGAAGTACTTCCGGTGGGAATGGAGCAAGGAATGGAAGCATTAGCTTGTCTTTTAACTGGGGTGTTGTTGGGTTTGGTGATTTTGATCTGTGAGATATTTTTAAAGAAAAGACGTTGATAATTGTTGATTTACTTTATTTTTTTATCTATAATTATAAATGTTAACAGTAAACCAATAAAATAAAAAGATATCTTTCAAGGGACAATGGAATTAACAGCTAGATTAATTAATAATGCAATGTAATGGAAATAAAATAACAAATAATTATTACGAGAAGCCGAAATAATAATTATTTTTAAGTAGCACATTAAATAACATTTTTACAAACATATAAATCGTAAATTATATTGAACACAGAAGATTGTTTCGATCAATTACATGTCATGTACAGTAAAAATATCAGTTTTCACGTGGCAACTAAATTTAATTACAATTAAAAGTGTGCTAATATTGGATATGGCACAAGATACATGACAAGAAATTGAAAATTTTGTAATCGAACTACCAGTCTTTTTTAACCATTTGTTAGAAACAAATGAGACTAACATTGCAAATTGGTGTAAAGGTATTAAAACACCAAAACTGATTTAGACTAACTCGCTATTTCCGTATACTAAATGATGGCTTTGTACAAAATTATTTTCTAATTTGATAGTTATTACTTGCTTTCCTATTTGCTGTCTTCAGTACAAGATCTATCTATTTACATTCATTGCTAAATAAAATGCACTAACCGAAACGAAATGTTTTTTGATTAATATTCTTTCGAACTCATGACGAATTGCTTTGAAAGTATTGCCTCAACAGGAAGTTAAAAATTTGGCAATTACAATAATAACGGAATCACCCATAACACGCATTCATTCCCTTCTTACGAGTTGAGATAGAAATTAGGCGAACAGTTGCTGCTGAAAAATTCGAAAGCTATAATGACACCATAGAAAAAACCTAATAAATTTTACATCTTTACAATATAAAAATTCTATCTAAAAATATTTACAAACTTTGTTTGTAATCGGAAATAAAGCATTCTATTTACACAATAACTTAAGAAACTAGTAACGAAAATCTACCCAATAGTCAGTTCTATGAAATAAACTCATCAACGACAAACACAACCCGAGAGAAGGTCATATTTATAGTTAAAGCTTTCGATAACTAAAATTAGGATAAAATAGGCTCAGTCTTATGCTTCGAGTTACTGTTGCCTTTTCTCTTCCTCCAACATCGCGTCTAATTCGTCGGTTAGGTTGGCGAGCATGTTTCCTATATCGTTAAGGACATCGGCAGGTTCGGATCTCTGATTTCTGGCACTTGGTTGCCGGTTGGGCGTCGGGGACGGATGGGGCGGTAGACCAGCACGAGGCTTTGCGGGGGAATAATCGGCGGGTCTGCTGTTGCCGCCTGCGCGAGTTCGGATCGTACCGGCGTTCTCATTGGCAAATGGCAGCGAATCTGACTCTGTGCTTGAACTCGACTGCAACAAACAAACATTTTCTATAATTAAAAACACCCAAACTAAAGCGCTTATGCTTAGCAATCGCGACCTCCATACTTTATTAAACGTAAAACTTTGGTCCCACATTCCAAATTAAAGTGGCTTGTGGTCACAAAAAACTCAGCAAAAAATAGTTTGCGGTCGCAAAAAAATCTCTTGATGAAATGTAAAGTTAGCGAATTCGTAAAAAATTGAATAAAAAATCGCTTGCGACCACAAAAAATTAAGAAAAAAATCGCTTGTGGTAAAAATTCAACAAAAAATGGCTTTTGGTTACGAAAAAGTCAGCAAAAAGTCGCTTGATAGATATAAAGTTAGTAAAATCGGTTGTGGGCACAAAATATTGAGCAATCTTGATGGAGCAGAAAATTTAAAAAAATGGCTTGTTTCTGACTTATGTATTTTACAATACGAGTATCTTTGTTCATTAGAAATTAATAAGCCTTCTTAATACACAAATTATGGAATAATCTCATTAAAAGTAAAAATATTTTGTTTTGGGAAAAATGTTTAACAGGTCAACTTTCTTTTCACAAAATACACAATTTTCAACTTGATTTAAGCTTTTACACTTTTTGGTTCTTGAATAATGACGTCATCGAATTTTTTTTAAATGGAAACCCCTATTTTTTTAGCCAGTTCAATAGATCTTTTAATTGTCAAAATGATAACACCAAAAAATCAAATATTACATAAAGTTTTCGAAAAAAAAATCAACCAAAAATTGAAATAATATCAACAAAAAACAAACACAATTTTAAATCAAGAGAATTTTGTATTTTTTAAAAAGAAAATTGACCTGTTTGATCATTTTTGTCACTTATAATTACACGAGAGCTTTTTTTTTCGAAGTAAACTTGACATTTTAATGAGAATTTTGTTTTCTGGCAATTTAACGAAAGATACTGCTTCTGAAAAAATTGCGAGTAATTTTTTCTGGCAGTTTTTAGAGTTAAATTGCCTAAAGGAAACAAAACTCGAATTAAAAATGTCAAGTTTTCTTCGTAAAAATAAAGCTTGAGTGTAATTCGGTAAGACAATTTAATGAATACGTAAATCACTAAATTAACAAATAAGGTGTAAATTAGTTTATTTAATTTAATGGATAATACTACTAGATTCAGACGATTTCAAAAGTTAGGTTCCGTTTTGTCGCTGTAATAGTTAGGGTAAACTTTTGTCGCTGTCCTAGTGACAAAAACACCGCGCCTTATGGGATTTTAAGTGTATGAAAAAATTTGTCAAAACAAAATATTCTCAGTTTTATTAAATAAGATTATTCCATAATTATGCCGCTCACTATATATTCTAAAATATGAATTAAGTTCATAAAATCATCCTCTTAAAAATTTTGTTCTGATTAACTGCCGAGTAATTATTTCGATTAGGTTAAGGCAATTCGGCTCGGATTAGGTTAGGTTAAGTAACAACAACGTTCGAATTAATTTTTAAGTAAACTTTTTATTAAACATAAAAATATTATTCCAAAAAGTAAACATTTTTATAGCATAAATCTTAGATATGAATTATTATACCTTGTAGTCTACAAAACCAAAGGCATTATCTTTCAAAATATTCCTGATATTGAAACAAACAAAACTTAAAATATAATCATAGTTTCAAATTTATTTTGATTTTTATTTACGTGTAAAAAGTATAAAAAACAAAAAGTCTATTATAGTAAAAACAGTCTTAAAATCTACATTATAATAAATTTAGAAAAAAATCGTTTACGAAAGTAAATATTTATTTTCTCACCCGGCGCCTCCACCATTTTTTATACAGCGAGTTTGGCATTCAGACAAATTTTTGTCTGAAAAGTGATCTTTTTAGATAAATAGAATTGGAGACGGACTGAAACCGTTTTTCTAAAAAGTTTTGTATCGATTCATGTCTTAACCGATGTGCTTTCTACATATCCGCCAACAAAAAACTCACTTTAAAACTTGCATCGGACCCGTTTCTGTGCTGCAGCGCCAAAGTTTTGATAAGTTCCTGTTCTTCAGCGCCCCATGACTGCGACGAATTCATCTTCGATTGCACATTCCCTGGCGGCGTCCCCGGCGCCGGGGGCGGCGGCAGCGGCAAGTCCCCTTGGTTATCCAGCGATATACTCAAACTATCCGAACTCGGATACGCCGGGAGCGGCAACGGACTAGACGTCTGCACGTGGTGTATCTCCACGGTGGTGGTTGTCTCGTTCGCCTCACTGTCTTGTCGCTTCGGCGGGTTGGGCGGGATCTTCTTGCCCATCATGGGGCTGTACTGTATGTGGTACTTGCCGGTGTCGATCAACTCCCTCGGCAGGGTCTTGTATTGCGGGTTTGAGTATTTCTCTGGGTTGAATTGGGGCTTCTCGAAGTCAGGGAAACTCTCGCGGGCCTTGGCTGCGATCTTGGCGATGGGGCGGGGTCGGATAACCCCGCGCGGCCGCGGTAAGGTACCGCCGCCCTCGTAAAGAAGCCCCGTTTCATTCGTGGGGGTGATATCGCCGTCGTCGTAAGACCGCGTCCGCCACCCGATGGGTTGCTGGTAGTAGAAGGTTTGGGTGTTTTCGGCTGAAAATGTGTGGTGGGTCCGCTCGTTGGGGTCTTCGAGGGATTCGAGGGACTTGCCTCGACCTGTCCGGATCTGGAACAAATATTCAAAATTGTCTTAAAAATAGGCAAAATAATGGAATTTTAACATTTAGATTTGATAAAGTGTTATTGTGGTTTTAACCGGTCATTAAAATTTGAAAAGGTCTGATCGTGCATGAACTGTTTGCTTGTAAATACGAGAATTGTGGGTGTAATTTATGAACTTTCGATAATTGAGCAATTTCGTGTAAGCACAAAGTCTATAATTTAATGATATGATAAATGGTAGTAATATGGATTTGATTAGTGTGATTTTGGAAAACGATTACAGTTTAGGAATCACTAGGACGATAAGGTCTACATTATTCAAAACTTGAAAGCAAAATTTACCAATCTTCGGGACGCAATTTTGTGTTACTTGATTCAACAATAATGGTAGAAAAATGTTGCCACTACTTAGATTCCATTTCATATTGTAAAAAGGACAAGACAAAAAATACAACCACGACTTCACACGCCTATACAATTTAGAATTTTTCCTGATACTGATGATATTTAAACAATGTAATCATCAAAATAATTTCCACTAGCATTGTTATTGTTATGAAACGGTGCATTTTGAATAATCTTGCTAAAAGCTTCTATTACTCGTACTTACTTTATCTACAAAAAGTTAAAACCGTATTAAAACAAAAACAATAATTAGAATTAATACAATTTTAATTATGAGCAAATTTTGTTTTCTGTTGTAATAAAATTCAACTAATCAAACTTATTTCGTTCTTGGGACATTATACAGTGAGCGGCAAAATTATGGAATACTATTATTTAAATTGAAAATATTTTGTTTTGCCAAAAATGCTCGAACAGGTCAATTTTCTTAAAAAAAAACACAATTTTCAACTTGATTTAAAATTTTACACTTTTTGGTTATTATCATCGACATTTTTTTAATGGAAATCTCTATTTTTTAGCCAATTCGATAGATCTTTGAATTGTCGAAATGACGACACCAAAATACTAAATATTACATAAAGTTTTTAAAAAATAAATCACCAAAAAAGTGAAATAATTTCAACAAAAAACATATAGTGGCGGATACGGAATTAAGGACGTCAAATTTATGTCAGTTCAAAAAATGTCAATGTATTGTCATTATGATTGACGTTTGAAACTAAAATTTTAAGGTTTTAGTTGGAATTAATTTTTAGCGAGCGATTTTCCGGAACAATAATGCCACCAATACACGTTTTTATATAAGTTCAATAAATAATTTTTTTCAGTATAAAAATTCTAAAAACCAAAAGTAAGGTTAGTAGCTTAAGGCCCATTTTACATTTTTATGTCAGACGAATGACAAATCGTCCAAAATTCCGTAGCCGCCAGTGTAGAAGTACAATTTTAAATCAAGTTGAAAATTTTGAATTTTTTTAAAAAGAAAATTGACCTGTTCGAGCAGTTTTATCAAAACAAAATATTTTCAGTTTTAATAAATAAAATTATTCCTTAATTTTTCGACTCGATTATATTGTAAAAAAATGTTGCTATTAAAATTTATATTTTTTTTATTTACATTTTTAAAGACTAGCCACAAAGGTGTAAATGAGATTGTTAATGATATTTGATCTTGAGTCCGTTTAGTTTCCTCATCATTTAAAATTCATTATTCATCCATCCAACTTCCACAAGATCAGCCGTCAAGTCTTTGCAAGCAGCAGCATATTCATATCACGTTATTGAATGTTCGCAATACCTCCTAAATAATATATCATTTCCCGTATTTCATTACTATCGATATTTCAAAATGTTCCAACCCAGATGACGCTTGTTATTTGTCAAAGGTGATGATTAAATTAAAGTGTCTTGCATAAATAACCGTCGATGTAGCATCGCCTACGGACCGTATCGTTTATGTGCGATGAGTTATAGTTAGAAAAGCAAATGCCGTAACGGCACCAAACCTTGACAAAATGATGATAAATAATCGTAATCAAAATATGACAACGAACATGCAGACTGCACAAAGACTGGTATGAGAGATTTGGGTGTATACCTTGATGGGAACTATGTCAGTGCAATAAATTGGTTGCACGTAGTGTGTGCCGGCGGCCAGTTGACGACTCTGGTCGATCTCCCAGGGCTGATGGAAAGAACGGAAAGTGCTGTGGACTGCGGGGACGCCAGGCGATGGTGGACCCAAGGGTGCGTGCACCATCACGTCCTTACACAAACATGCAGCATAAGCAGGAGCTCAGCACACTCGCGAAGACGTCTTGCGTCGATTTGTGTAACGCAAATCGATGCAAAACGACCGAAATCAGTTAAATTTTGAAAATTATCAAACATGCTCAAACTATTAAAATGCAAAAAAGATCTGAATTGTTCTTCTAGAAGTAACAAAAGACTCTAGAACGAGCTGCGAGTGCTTCAAACACATACCTGTGTCGCGTAAATTCTATTTGTATCTGTATTTATTCTCTTCCCTGCCTTTATATCTTTCACTCTTTTTATAGCTAACATGATTTTCTTCTGATGGCCTAACTTAACTATTCCAAACTCTTCTAAGTCCTCCCATGTCAACTGCGTCACGTCGTCGACAGTCTGATAACCCTGGTCCAGAAACGCAGGGAGGTACTCCTCCAAACGCAACAGCTGCAACCACTCTTCTAAGGAACCCTACATTCGGAAAACATTACTCATTAATTTAAATTGGCAACATCGCAGATTTTCGACTTACCGGAATAAATTCTGGCAAATTGTCGGGTAGATTAAGTTGTGCAATTTCAGCTTTGAGCCGTTTCCGATGATTCGGTTTCTTAATTCCTATGGCCGTCAAATCTTCCGGCGTCATGCGACCTATTGTCGGCAAATCATAGCCGGCACTAACAAACAGCGGAAAATATTCATCGTACTGAAGATCAACCAGCCACGCATGAATAATTTCTTGGTCCTGTCAACAAACCTCGATCACCTATCATCTCCACTAATCAAAAACAGTGACTTACAGGAACTCCTTGATGAATCATTCTCTCAATTCGGCCTTGTTCCGAGCCTATCGAACAAGAACTTAAGGAACATCGTGGACTATTCGAGGACCCGATAGTACTTCTCCCTGCCGTGCTCAAGGGATGGTACGACGCTCGACCACTGTCCAAAGACGCAGTGCTGTGACGAGAGCCGCTTCCTGCGCTTCCACTCGACGACCCCGGACTGTCCCTCCCCGGAGACTGTCCAAAAACCCAAATAAGCTCTTAAAGTCTAAATTTTGGAGTAGAAGCTACCTGTGTCATGTCGATACCCTGATCCTCCTGTAGGCTGAGTTGGTGGTGGTAGTAGACCGCCGCTTTGTGTGTAAGGACGCCGCCGGGGGGCGGCTGGCCCGGAAACGTAAACGAGGGCGCCGGAAAGATGGGCCCGGGGGACTTGCCCGTGCTGCTGCTGACAGTGCTGCCATAGTCCGAATGATCATCTAGAAAAAAAGTCGAATCCAAGTTTATTTTCTGTGATACAACGACCCCGCAAATACTAACAAAAAGTTCAACTGACATTCTTCATAAGATTTGAGCGCGCACGGCGCCGAGAAAGGTAAAGCAAGTGGATCTTGACACTGCCATACTGGGATGCTGCACATGCTGACAGGACGAATGGGAATTTTTATTAGAAAACGAACACGACTTTTTAACGTGAACGACTAATATCCTCATTCTTCGCATACTAGACGACCGGAGGCGAATTTCCACCGTTAAATATTTATACGAGAGGGGAAATCAAAAGGATTAAGAAAGTCACGTCTACTGTTTTAAACGAGTTAATCTGGTCGGGGAGTTAAGAGGTTTATCTGATAAGTTAGTGACATCTTGAATGTTTCATCTGTTAACTGTAATTTAATCTACAAGGGAATATTTTTGTTGACACACTGTACACGCGGATTATTAATCTTGTAAAACAATATGTACACAGGTAGAGAAAGAAATTGCAACGCAATGTAAAACAAAGACAAAATGACCCGTGAGAATACATTTCTTGCCAGGAGTTACCGAAATATGATGATGAAAAAATATTTCTGAGACAAAATCAAAGAAAATATTCTTTAACGCTTCAAAATAAATTAAGGAACTACAATGCAAAATCCTTCAATCTAAGACAGACAAATTTTTAGAAGATTCATTCCCAAAACTACATTCTTTTACGCTTTGCGAAATAAACCACAGAACAACCCACAAGTGTGAATTACTAACTCACTGCCTTCTGTTCAAATAAAAAATATAACTGATGAATGATAATACAGAAAGAAGTTTAAAATCAAACTGGTGGTTTAGGGATGTGATATTTCAATTGTGTAATTCTAAAATTAGTAAAATTTACTATCAGAACCTTAATAAGTAAAAAAAAACATTTAAATGTTGGAAATGAAGTGACGTTTTAATTACTTTTGGTGAACGATATTTCCTATGAGACTTGTTAAAAAATCAAGTTTTAAAAAGTGCATCCCACTTGATTAAATAACCTGGAAGCTGAATGGGCCTCTTAAAAACCACACCACAATGCAACATTTTATTGAAGGCATCCGTTTCAGGAATGTCCTATAGGCAGTGGCCGCATTTGTCGGCAATTAAAAGAAGTGGCCGTTAATTTGGGCGAAATTAATTTATTTGTAGTGTCGCTTGCAGCCAAACCGAATTTTCTATGTTGGCTAGGTAGCTATTTGTTCTACGATTTATTATTCCGGGTGCACTGCGATGTTGTAGACCGCCAAGTGGTGCAGGGCGACGCCATTAAGAAGATTTAAGGAGACTCATCTGAATTTAAAACAATAGGGGACGTGTTTATCGTACACTGCTGTCGTTTGATACGACGTGGGGCTCGTGTCTGGCCATTTCATGCTTGGATTGCCACGGAGACGTTTCTCTAATGCAGGATTTATGGCACGGACGTAGAATTTTGTTTGACTTGATCGGGTATTTTGCCGCGAGAAGTTTTCAAATGCAGGGCTTGGGTCCCTAATCCGTCGACGTCGAGTTTTGGAAAACACACTCCTATTCATTAAGTTTGTTAATGTTCAAAGGAACAATGGTATGCAAATGACTAGATGCACACAAAGGTGCCATAGACACCGACATGGCCAAAGACCGGCGGCGCTGAAGGAAGAACAAGCACGGGATGAGCCCAAAGATGGGAGACCGGAGTGCATTCACCTGCAGCCAAGTGCAAGAGGCAAGACCAGTCGGAGGTATGTGGCCGATAACTCCAAATGGAATATGAGGATGTCAGATCGATTCATAATGGAAAAAGATGCAGCATTTATGTCATGTTACTGCTAATTCAAAGAGGACGTATACAAAGGATTACGGTATATATGACAAGAAAAAAACGAAAAAATGAGATTGAGAAGAACCAAAAAGTGATCATAAAGTTCCAATTTATGAATTCTTTCAAACTGAGTTCTGGAACAATGTAAAAAAAACTTTACATAAAAATAGTTTTCAATTATGGTGCTATTCTGTAAAAAAATACTTGCTATAGCGCTATAACTCTTTAAGCTATTGACTATAAGTAAAAATCGAATTCTCTAAGGAAATATTTCTCTATACCTAAAATTCTATAAGCTTAAAGTCTCTATAAAGTTATGGCGAGAAAATTGCTGACCGTAAAGACTTATAGTCTCTATAACGATATATTGTCATAGAGTAACAATATCGCTCCTCAATAATTTATTATAAGTACTTCTCTCCGTATTTCGCCAGTGATGCTAATTTTTGTTTTCTTATAATTATTTATATCGTGTAAAGTTAATAATAGGTACATAGTTCAGTAATGGATCGTAACAATATTGCACTAATTGCATTATATTTACTGTTAAATAAATGAAGAAGAAAGAAGGTAATGTTGTGGACAAAAATGAGCTTTTTACTACAAAAACTTTAACAAAAAAGGGTGTCTATTTAGAAAAAAGTTATTTTGCAAAAGATACAAGCAGGTTTTATGAAAATCAGCTGCATTTTCTAAATTCTCCTTTGGCGTTAGTTTCAAAATTGTTACTTTTTTGACTAGTTCTTCAAAAACGGTGTAACCAAACCCTAATTTAATTGCGTTCTTTCTCTTTGATGTTTATGTTGTATTCTCATTTTTTCTTATTAAAAATCAGAGAATGTTTAGCAAACCTACATTACAAATTGTGTCTAAATTTTAGTGGTCTTTTTCTGACTTCTGCTTGCACACTTTTCGTCTTCAAATTTCCAAAAACTGTTCGCGATACCCAATTTGTCCCCGTTTTTGTGTTTTCATTTCTAAATTTTCTTAGACGATTTTTTTGCTGAAGTTTAATGCCATTTTTTATTAATTAACTGCCAACTTCCTTCTTTAAAATTACCATGAATAAATTTGTTAAGACTGTTTGACATTTCCACCTATTAAAAAAAAACAGACTTTAGGGTAATTAAAGCGCTAGAACTCGAATGTTTACATAGACGCTTAGAGAATACCAATTTTGATACGATTCTATAAAAACTTAAAAAAAATTATATACAGAGCTCTATTAGCTATGGAATATACCAACTTATAGACTGTAGCAGATTTTTAGAGAATAGCCTAATTAATTTCTGGCTATTCTTAAAAACGTAATAAATCAAAACACTGAAGAACCTCTTCGGCCCACGATTTTGGTTCCACCCGCTCGATATTTTACAGCCCAGGTTCACACACAAAGTCTTGGCGTTTTTATTGATGCTAATATTCAGCGCGCACCCCGTGGATGCAAATTTTAAATAGACAGTCTCATTTCGTAAACCGCGTCGTAAGATTTAGTATTATTAAAATTTACGCCCCACAGTGGGCGTAATAAACCACCCAGTCATATTTCTAAGTGTGACATTTATTTTTGGGCATATGAATAGAACCTTTGTCGAAATTGATTAGGAACCGTGACGATTTGAGGAAAGGACTACAAAACGGCCAAACAACCGGCGCGAATTATGTTCAAGATGCAGTTCCTTCTGTAATTCAGTTTTTTCGAATCGCCACGTATCGGATACAAAAGAACCTTGTTAACGGTGGGTTGTGATTCCAGGTAAGGCATCAACAAGAACGAGAACACGAGTAGTGGAACAGGTTCCTATCGGAAAGAAAAACCGCGATGGCAAATGTTATAGGGAATTTATCAAATTATTGACTAGGTATAATCCAGTTTATATTAATAAACCTGTCGGTGTGGATACGTTTCCTGTCATATGTTGCCCATATTACGATAGAATAAATATCACTTTTCCTGGTAATACCAAGAATATTTGCAGGCCACATGGTTTTTTTTTTCGAAACGATATACTTTTTAATTAAAAGAGTTTTTTTTATAAAAGCGTGACTTGGAACTGGATAAAAGCTTGTTCTCACACTAAAATAAATTATTCACTCAGAAAAATGGCCGTAGCTGTGCTAGTAATAAGCTTTTTTGTTGGCTTGTAGCAAAGAAAATAAAAAACATTTTGTTGAATATAAACTTGGTTTATTTCCCCTCTACACCAACATTTTTTACAAGCGAGGCAACTTTCAGGTTCTGGTTTCCTACAAACATTTTACAGTAGTACAAGACTGGGTATGTACGCCACTGGAACAGTTGGCTGAAGTCAATTATGTGGATAATTAAAAAAAAAGTACATGAAAGTCATTAAAGTAAATAATTAACCACATCAAATAATGTGGAATAAAAAATTTGATTTTAAATGAACTTGATAATCTTAAACTGAGTATTATTGATATAAGTAGAAGTAATTTTTCATTGACTGAATCTTTTATTTTCTTTTGTGATTGTTTACAGCGTGATACAATAGCAGTGAAAAGTGTAACAAGATCTTGATACTGTCATTGCCACCCATTGGATAACTGTTAGGTAATGGGAGTCCAGGTGCCCACTGCCCATAAGGTGGAGCTATTAACTCGCTTAGATTGGATCACCATTGAAATATCATGTTAAGAGTAAAAATTTCCTTTGTACATTAATCGTGAGAAAACATCACGTCTGAGATAAACCAAACCTTGACTCAACTTTCAACATTTTTTTAAACGAAAATTCTGCGACACAATTAAACTATTTCCTTAATTAGTCACCATAGTTTCTACAAATACAGAAATCAGTATCTAGTTGACGTGAGAACCGATAAAAAGCAACATCCTGTGTGTGAGCCACCTAAATCAACCCAGCAATTACAAAGCCTTGATAGGTAAAGGTCGGTAAAAGAATTTTTACCGCACTTATCCAGAATCCGGCCACAGGCAGAATAGTATTTTTACTCGCGACCGTATAATTACGTTACCATTATTTCAAGGACGGTTTTTCCACCGGTCGAGATTACAGGAGATATCCTCCAGGCCAAAAGCGTAATTTGCATGTTCATTCAAGAGTTCCTTCGTAATTACCAGCCGTGTCATTTCTTGTCAACAGTAGCAAACTTACCTCGTGGGACTCCGGGAGGATCATTCGGTGCCAGGAACCCCGCATCTTCTGAAGAGGCATATCCTGCCGACCCGAAGGAGCTGCCCGAGTGCCGGAACTCGTGGGGCACTGCCGGTGGAGCCACCTTCTTGGCGGTAGCTGCCGGCTTCGGGGGCCGGGACATGCCGCCTACTGCAAAAGAAAAGAAAAAAGATTTACCTTCTATGTCAGGAGTGGGCAAACCCACCTGATACTATACCACATTTTTATAAATGTTTACGTTTACTCGCGATTGAAAAAAGAGACCGCATAACTGACTAAGTCACTTTCGCTTAACAGTTAGAAAAAAGTTGTACAAAACTAAACGGCGCCGTATTTCTATTCAGGTGGGCGATGATTAGATTATGACATAGAATTTATTGACCAGAAACCTCTTTGTGTTTTTGAACGAGTGGATGAGTGAAAGGCAAATAAATCTGGGCTGTGTGACAACAACCTGGCGCCTCTAATGGCCACCAAGCGAATTTCTTCCAAAACGAGGCCAAAATTAAATAATATTAAAAAAAAAATCTTGTTGTCTATTGACGTGATTACGTCTAATGAGCCTTATAAGTTGTTATGTCTAAAAGGCGATATGAAGTTATCTTGGTTATTTATATACCTTTTACAGTTACTTAACTGTACTAGCACTATCCATTATGAAAAACGACAAAATTGCAAATGAATTTCGTTTCAGTGAATTGCGAATTAAATTCGCCCAAACTTCGAATGAGGTGTAACTTTGATCGAATCATGCCAAAACTTGAAACTTTGGGCACGTCCTCCCCACAAACTCAGCTTAAGATAATGATAATTTATCTCCGGGCTAACCATTGATTACTTGGCAAGTTGAGCTAATCTCTTGGAAGGGTTAGCCCTAAAATTCATCTACTATAATCGCCTCAATGAAACCAATAAATTCAATTGTAGCGAATAATTCGAGACGGTGTGGTCCCATCAATTTACCACTCGGAGTACGAAGTAATTATGTCTCTTGTTCGACCAGTAGAGATGTCGAAAAACACGATCGTAAAACAGCGTATTAGCAGCAAGAATCTCTTGTTGGACTCAATTAGATATGCAAACGATCGGGCGTTGCGGATTGTCATCGTTCACTTTGATTGCGGCCACAAGGATTTCAATATTCATGTGACAATGCAAAAATTTGCAAACTTTAATGCTATTTTTTGAAATAAAACACGAGTTTCTCAATAAACAAGTCTCAATGTCTCCAAATGTGCCAACTTGTGGCACCACATGCTGTTAACCAATTCCCAAGTTACGCAACGATTTCATTCAAGCTGTCGTAAAAGAACAAGTAACATTGACATTTGTATCACTCCTCCGCAAATCAGATTAGTCCTTGTTAGCGTCCCTTTTGCAATAAATTGCCAAAATAAATTTTTCGGACATTGAAAAACCTTTGTCTTTAATGAGGCAAACGCGGTCAATTTCCATAACCCATTTACGCGGAGCGTAGGTTCGGTCCAAATGTCCAAATTGAGTTAATTTTTCAAGTTATTCTTCCGCAGTAACAATTCCAAGTGCAATAAATTTATAAGGCTTGTTTAAGGTGGATGGTGGGCTAACCGAGCCTTATTTCACCTACTTGGGTCCTTGAGCGCAGGTATTATAAATAGTTTTTTTTTTCTTTCACTGTTTTGCGTTGAGACGTGAACTTTTAACACTTGCGGAACATCCACTGCGAAAATGGCAGACCATATGCGATTTTATCGTTTGAGTTATGGATTTTGTTTTTTTGAGGGCGCACCTCACTCATTAGCGATGAACAATCCTGAAAATCGTGCTGCGAGACTCCATCCCTCCCACTTGTTTTCGCAGCTTTATCACTAAACATGCCATTGTTGTCCACGAAGATGATGAATCGCCTGTGGTTCCTACAGCCCGCTTGTTAGAGGTTTACGCATTTAATAACCCACACTGTCTCAGAACTGCCATTGTAATTGAATATTGATGGGGGTGCACAACAGCACAATGTATAACACATTACCGAACTTGTAAGGTTATTATTATTGATGAGGGAGAGCATTGGTAAACAATAAGAGGGAAATAACAAACACGTCACCCCTGCTATAATTTATTAAGAGCGATTTCTTCTAAATCCAGGTGAGAATTGCATTTGAGAGAAGAAAAAGTTTAGTGGAACTCCCCTTGAGCCAATTTGGTCTGTGCAAATTGGGGCTTTGCGGTGCTTCAATCAAACTTCCTTGTTAGTGGCTTAGCCATGATGAATTCGGGGTGTTCGTGTTATCTGTGCAAATCCAAGTTGTGGCGTTAATTTCATGGAAATAATTAAAGTTTATTCAGACTAGTGAAATGTTTCAAGAGCACCTGTTTCGTCAAAATCGTTCACATTGGCTATAAAATGTGGGCGCCCCTTGAAAAAATAAACAGGCGCCATAACATAAACACGGAGATACAAAAAAGGATGTGGAGTTTTTATATTGACAGATGTGGGCATATATGGAGCGATTTCAGAGAATTTACGCGATACTGAAATCGACTTATTGTCCAATTTCTGTAGGCGGAATATGAAATGTCAACCTGTCCACTACCTGTTTCAACATTGTGATAACTCTGTCCATATCGAATAATAATGTTATAGATAAGGAAACAACGGTGTGTTCTTCCCACTGTAACATTCCTCACCGAAAAAAGAATCTCCATTATCATACCATTCAATATTTATAAGTCCTTGTTATTGTTTTGTAATTGCTAGGAGGGCTTGTGTACAAACAACTTCTTTGATGGATCACCAGCCCGAAATCTCCACATCAATCACGGAATCGAAAGCTGCAATATTAATATCAGCGGTTTAGAGGCTCCCAAAGGTACAAAAACATCATGTAACTTCTTGTTATCGATTGTTTACTTTCCAAGTTTTCAACAACTCAACAAGTGTTTGATGAATAAAGTTCTAGTTGCGTCACTTCATCAGAACTGTACAAAGAGTGGCCATTCGTGACCCACATTGCTGAAAAATCGGATGTCATGATAAATTCAAGCACAGTTTTGAAACATCCGATGAAAAAAGTCGACGTTAAATGGACGAGATGTTAAAACTTTGATTAATGTCATGGCACACATATGGCGACGGACATCTGGTAGCGTGTTAAAGTTCACTTTATTCCTGTGGGGCGATTTGCCAGGCGAAATGGCATGGGGACATCATGTTTTCACCAGAAGGCAAAATTCAACGGAATTATGAAAAGAGCAATTAAAACATTTGTCGAGCTGTATTTACATGAGATGTTACTCCGTCGTGGCAGCACTTTGCTCTTGACCTTTGCTTTTCCCAACGACTTTGCAAAAATTCGTTTGTCCCCACAGAACAATTCTCCAAGCAAGTCTCGCTGTGATTAATTCAAAATTAATGTAAATTATGAAAAAAAAACAATTTCCAAGTTTCACACTCACATTTAAAGAAACTCGGCAAAGTCACGATTTAAGTGAACAAGAAATAATTTCAAAATATCGACACCTGGCCCGAATTTGTCCAAGTCCCAGACTCATAAAACTAATTCCAAGATCAATTACCTTAAACAACCTCGTTCTACAAATCTAGTTAATGTTTCGTTAAAAGTGAAAAAACTTGACTAGGATAATGAGCGTGGAAATAAAGCACCTTTTCTCGTTAACACCTTGACAAATTGAAAACTGTTCTTTTATAGCTTTTTGAGCCGAGTCAAAGGGGGGCACGTATTGCATTAATAAAGTTCTGCCAATAACCTGCATTCCTAATCAAGAAGTTAGAACTATCCCCCTAACTGGATTATTAAATTCGGTTTATTCGAATCGAAGTCGGATATATTCGAGGGGTTTAACACGCAAATTACAATTCAAATTGTACACGACCCCCGCATACATATTCATTTAGCCGCGTGCAATTATGTTTATGTAGTTTTAGTTTGCGAGTCCACCTTTTGTGGAATTATTCCTTCGAGACCGGCGTGTTCTCTTTGCCCATAATTAATTTAAATTACCATGTATTTATGTTGAGAGCAAATTGTATAATACATAAAGAAATAAAAGCCAACGAGATAATTACTTTTGAGTGTCTGCGGACGAGGTTTACTGTTTTTATTCCAATTAAGTTTAAACTTCTAACGCCATCGTGTTAAACTGTCAGTCTTTTCGTAATTTCGTTATAATTACTCGGAATAGTAACAAACTTGGTCGTGAGCGCCCATCACGAATCTTTGCCTTATTTGCTCTTTCCAACAGCGGTAATATAAAATAATCTGTGAAAATGAGTTAGTTACCTTCGAGCACTTTAATCATCAAAAGCACCGGACCGTTAGAGTTCAATATCACTTCATTCCGCACGAGCTTTTGAGCTTTTACTCGCTTCGCGCCACTTTACCAACTGAGGACGATTCAAAGCCTTTAGATGACGTAATAAGATACAACTTTTTGTTAAGCACAATAATAAACAAATCGAGAAGCTAAACAGATTTCGATTTTGAATGTGTTCTAACCCTGAAACAACCGGTCCCGGTTCTACACGTACAATCCTTTGGAATTTCCGTTGATACCTCTTGAAAAATTGACTAGAAGATATCTCCTCGAGAATGCCCGATTAAGTTGTTCTAGTATGTCGTGTAATGAAGTAGCTGCATTCTCGCAAGTGTTGAGATAGTTGAAATTGATGTCGTTTTAATGGAAGATTGTTCTTTTCATGTTTCGCTATCATTAGAAACGATGCTAATTAAAACGACATTAATTCTCGATGATACTGCTCATTGAATCGTGTCATGGCTTATGCATAATCCCGATAAATTTCGTGGGAAACAGACCCGTTCCATCGATCGAATCAGGAAGCATGATTTGCAAAAAATACGGTAATTATCGCGGACTGGTTAATTAATTTCAACACATCAAACTGATGACCTGGTATTGGGGCCCAAATGAGCGAATTCTCGCGCCATTTTCTGATGACGGGGGGAAGATAGACGCATAAATGTTTCTGCTAGGTTTCAATTTGGCGATGATACGCTGTTAGTGTTCACAAACAAGATTGGGCCCTAATTTACACCTGAATGAGTCGATTTTCTGCCTCTCGTAAGTTAAAGACACCCGAATTAAATGGGACAAGGCGGATAATTGGATGATGAATAAATTGAGTTAGACGTTAACGCGTGCAGAGCTGTCTTATTTAGACGACTTCAGGGCATTAGGGCTATTGCTAAATATTTCAAACGTTGGATCTTATTACAAATTCTGAAATGAACATTTTCTCATTTTCACTGTCATCCAATGATAAAAACTCTAATGAATCACGCAAGGTGCATTCAACTGCAAATTAATTTAGTAAGTTCCAAATAGAAAATAACTTTGATGCTACATTAGAAAACGTTGCTCTTAATTTAGTTTATTCAAACTTGTCTTCTACTAAGCAATATACAATAAAGTTCCCTCTTTTAATATTAATCGTAACATTAGGTATTTAAATACTGGAGAAGTACACAAAAATCAACAGATTTATAAATCAAAACACATTATCAAATTTTGTAAAGCATCACGATGGTTGTAAATAGAAATTTTACCTAAGTACCAAGAATTTAAAATTTTAGAGTTTTCACTATTATATTGTTTTATTGAATTATATTTTATATAAAAATATGTACTTTAATTAAATAATTTAGTTTCTTATTTTCTCTTTTTATTGCTAAACTCCATAGTTCATTCATTGACTATTATAGTTTTCAAAAAAAAAAAACTGATGAAGAATAGAATCCTAAAAAATTTGATCTTTTTTCAAAATAGAATTTTGATTTAAAATTTAGAAATTTTGCATTTTTTTTATAAAAATGTAAATATTACGTAATTTCTTTCCACAAAAATTGGATTTTATTTAGAGAGTTGCAATTTTTAAGTCAAAGCCAAAGCAGGTTCTTAATTAAGAAAATAAAAGATAAATTTTCAGAACTCAAAAACAGAACAAAAATTCCACTTTCTCAAAAACGATCACACTCTATAATACTTTACCATTCATTGAATAGGTTTTTCAAAAAGTAAATATTTTAAGCAAAAAGCTCTTGGTGTTATACTTTTGTTCAACTCGTACGTTTTAGAAAATGAATAGAAAATAGGTCATGTATTTAATTTTTTATTAACAACACTTTGGAGTTACTTTTTTCGCAATAGGTATGTATCTTTTTTTTTGAAAACAAAGATTATGTTGTCGCAATATAAAATTGCAAAACGCAAGCCGTTATTTCCAGATTCAGAGATCTCGACTTGGATATGGATTTCGTCTCCGAAGCTTAGATTCGATCACGGGACACGAAATGTCACAACAAAGTGATTTGTGCATCGCATTATTATAAAGCAAACCACCTATAATTTATCCGCACAGAATTTCACATTCGGTTCGTAATGTATCTGCATTGCAGACTCCCGAAAACAATAGCGCCGACGTATGGTAGAATATCCATGAAATAGTTCCTAAACAGGCTACAAAGTTAGTGAAATACGGCCCTTAATGCGGCTACAAGCACCCAGACAAGCCGGTTATATCGGTACATTTGGTAAACGCAAAATGTTCGCTAAGAGTTTAAGACCCCCTCCCGAGAGCTTAGTTGCGTGTCTGCACGCCACTGCTCCACCAAATTCGGCCAATTTTTGCCGAAAACGATTTACGGAGCTTTTTTAAATCGTGCATGTCCGTTTTATGATTTACGCACGAAATTAGGGAAATTATATCGTCGTCAAGCACACGATATCCATACACCACCTGTTATTTAAAATTCCTGCGATAAAGTCAAAGTTGCTCGATCACAAACGAAATAATTTGCTAAATTTATTGCCAGTACCCACACTAACGCATTTTCTTAGAACCGCAGATGTCCTAACACTTCCCACCTCTTAATGAATAAGAGGCGAAAGCTTAATTTTGAAGTTAATTTTTCAAAAATCTCTGATATAAAAGCTTGCTTTGGTAATACGGAGCTGTCAAGACAAAGCGGCGCCAGATTGATTTGATAAGAACGTGGTCATTCCATCTGACATACCAAAAATCCTAGTGTGCACATGTAAATGTCATAATCGGTTGAATTCCTCGATGATTGTTATGTGTATGACGAAACGTTTCCATTGTTATATCAGAATTTTCGTATAGAGATATCTAAGTGAATATATTTCGTTTTTTAAGTCGCTTATAACATGAAATATAATGATGAGGGTGCAGTCTCATAAATCTAAATCGGGTTATTGTCAGCAATATCTTGTGCACCAAAGATATGGTTTATTATGGTATCAAAGCCCAAACAGCAGGTAATCGTTAAATTATTGACTTTAATAAATCACAAGGTATCATCTCTGAGATTATTTTATCACCCCAAAGGTGTAAAGCTATTAATAAGAAAGTCAAATAGTGGACAGAAACATGTTTGCTTATTTCGTGGAAATAAAAAATGAAAGCTTCTGATTGACATATGGTGCCGTTATGTCATAAATGTAATGTGTTTTTATATGACACCACACGTTCGTTTGTTTTTCTTGAGATCAACAAGGATAATATACCCAGTTTAAGTCAAACAAAAACGCCTTTAATAGCTTTTTTAATTAACTTAGTAATGCCCTATGTACTAGTTATACATAAAAAATAAAGACATTATTGAATTAGTTGATGCAATGAAATAAAGTTTTTAATTTATGAGTAAATGATGCAAGTCACCCACGTCACCTGTATTTTAACTTTTCTGAGCGCATTTGTTTTCCTCAGCATTGCTTTCTAAGCCATTTTAATACTTTATGAAGCTTCTTATGCGGGCATTCTCTCGCGATTTATCTCGTCATTGTCGTTAAGGTCAATTCAAGTTTTTAATCGGAATTTTATAGCACATTAATCTGTGTTTACTGAGAAGATTCCTCGAACTTTGTCTCCGTGAGACATTTATTTACTTGGAACAAAAGTGGTTTCAAACTTACAATTGAGCAAATTCTTCCAGCTGCCACTCAAAACCTTGATGTACCTATTGATGGTCATGGGCGCTATCTCCTTGTTGAGGTTCCCATCGGAGTGGCTCCTCACCATGGCACATTTCGCATCTTTGGCCCGACTCAGCGAGTTCGTATGCGCCACTTTTTTGCACTTTTTTTTACACTTAAAGTTCGTGAGTTCGATTTCGTCTTGTATGACCTCGTCTTCGGCCGGATCGCGGAAACTCAGATACGTCGACGAAAGCAAACTTTGTTTCCGATAACGATTGATGTTCAATTGCGATTTCTTGTTCGGGGGTAAAGGTGGAGGTCGGAAACAGATCGTTGCCATTTCGAACTATTGCATTGTCACTTGCACTCTGAAATGATTCATCGAAAAAATCCCTCTATTTCCACTCGCAGAGATTAGGGCAATTAGAACAGCTGCCGCCAACATACGAAATATAACTAATTACAAGACAATCCCAGAATAGAAGACATGGACATGTGTTTCTGTGATTTACAATTTTGTGGAAACTGAGACGCACATTTCGTATATCGTTGAGGGAATTTAAGCACTTGTGTGGTCTTAAAACTTTACACAGGGCGGACACTAATGGCTATTCCACACACGCGGCCTCTAATGGACCTATTGTTTCCCAAATGGGCAGGGAACGACACCAATCCTCACCACAAAACAACTAAAATATGACAAAAATATTTTTAAACTAAAATTGCAGTACTTTTCAAAAAAAAAATCAAGATAAAAACACTAGATTTCATTCCATGAAATAATGACCGGTCATTTAATGTGATTTAAAGAAAAAAACTAAACCAGGAAAAGATAGGTCACAGCATCTCCCATTAAAAAGCGATTTTCAGGAGGCTGAAGAATTAATAGAAGCTGAAACCGTGATCATGCAACTGTTAAATGTCTTGCGTGTGTTTTTAACATAGACTAGGCTAATTACTGGAGGTGTTTGATCGTCATAATACCACAGACCACACTCATGAAACCTGTTATTTCCAACCAAAGATAAATGATCTTAAAAAATATTTTATCGAAAACTAACAAAATCCTCGTGAGGTCACCCGATATCAAATTTGCACCAAGTTGGGATCAAATTGCTGAAAACCACCAGGAACAACCATAAATAACCCGTAACACCGAAACAACCCTCCAGATCGTAAAATTCGGGAGAATTTATGCCCCTATAAGCCTTCAAGTGTCTTCATTAAGAATTAATTACCTGAGCGATTGAATAAGTGACAAACTCTCACCGTTGCAATTAAATTAAAATCGCGAACCGTGTAAATCAGAAACCTCGATGTCCCTGAAACTTGTGATGTAGTTAAGCAGCCAATGACTCAAACACGAAGACCACCTATCCCGAACTCCCCGGATTCGGGCAAAAAGCTCCCGGAGCTTTTTCCGTGTTTCTAGTCCGTTTTGCGGAAAAACAAAGCGTGAAACTCGCGAAAGCGGCGTCTAATCGCGAATTGTCCGATCATATGTGCGACGAACGACTGCTGCAAATGTTGCTTGTGCTGAGATATGAGTGGTATCCCGAATCCCACGTGAATTGCAACCAACAAAACGAAGGAATTCGCCCACCTGTTTGCTTTTTCTTGAAGGCGACGAGTTCGCATGCCCACAAATCTTTGATAACGATGCTTTGCATATTTAGAGACGATGATTGAAGATTGAGGTGGTAATTGGCGGTGATAGGGGCTTTACGGCGCCGCTAGACTGCGCGAATTTATTCCGGGTCGCGACACTACACGTGTGAATGTGTTGAGAGTGTTTAAATTTTAGGGAATTATGGAAATTGAGATACAAAAGGGGCTTTGTGTGCTGTGAATAGAAGTGGAGTATTATGGGCGTTTGGGGGTATTGTGAAAGAACAACAGATGCGATATGACATTTTATTATTCTTTTTATTACAAACAGAAATAAAAGAATAAAAAAATAAAGATAAGCAACTCACAGTTTACACCCGAGAGAAGTCACGGATGCTTAATTTTAATTAAATTAGGATTAATTAAGAAACTCGTTTGTGCTCATTTGAGTTAGCTAATTACATTATAGAAGCTTCTAATTAAAATATTTTTGGCAGAACTGTGATACCAAATCATAAATAAAATCAGATATTTTCTTTGTCAAAAAGTAGTACTAAAAATACGTTCAAAAAAGTTATTTTACAAGCAAAACATCTGCAGTTCATTCAATTATTCCCCCCTCTAAAACAAACAATTAATACCAATTAACAATTCTTTACACACACAATAATAATTAATTATCCAAAAATTATAATTTCCAAGAAACTCTAAATTGTATTCAGGTAAATTATAGTTTCGTTGATTGCCATTAATTAATTGAAATAATAAAAAAATATTCCAAAGCTAGAATATAATTATACGGTATGAACAAATTGTAATTTATTAGTTGAACTGCTTTCTTTAAAATTATTAATTAATAATTTTGCCCTCTGACAAAATTTTTATTACAAGTTGCTATCCGATTTTTCTATTTTTATCAGCTACAAACTCGGCTATAAGGAAAGGAAAAGTTTGATTGATAAATAAATATTTGTAAGTCTAATCTTTACTTTCTTTCAAAGCTCATCAAAAATTTATTTCGTTCGGCCACACCTCAAATTCCTTCTGCATCACGCTAGATTTTCCCGTACTATTTAATTTTCGGGGAAATCCTGACCTCACCACTGCCTACATTTTCATCTGAATCACAAATCTGTCGCTTTTTTTCCAAAACGCGCCACAGCTTGTCAATTAACTCGAACAATTCTAATTACAAAAAAACGCATTGCAATTTAATTAAACTTTTTCCGATCTGTATTTACAGTTGTCTCTATAAAGTTTCGAGCTATGTTTCGTAACGGAAGATTGGTAAAAAAACTATACGATTCAGGACGAACAAATATTTGCACATCCACCGACCAAATCGAATAATAACCGGCTTCAAAAAACCAACGCAATGAATTCAATTAAAAAGCAGGATGGCTTTGGGAAAAAGAATGTCGATTGCAGGACGACAACGAGAAATGGCTTGTTTTAATCGAAACCATCGTCGAATTCAAATTTTAATTAGAGACAGCGATACAGAAAAAGGAATTTGATGGATGTGCTCGTTGGACAATTTATCATAATATTGACATTTTTATCGCAGGATTAGAAAGGGAGGCTCTCCGGTACGTCTCGCGGACGAAAAGTGACTCAGACTTTGATAAAGATACAAAAGGAAGCTATTCTTGTGAGAGAATAAAATATAATTTCTATGCTCTGCAAAAATACCCCTTTTTCAAGAAAATGATAAAATTTGTGTATTTTGTGTCTTTACATGAACATTAATTTTTGTTGTAGAGTGTGGACTAAACTGTTTTCAAAAGAGTTTAAAATTGTTTTATTGTTATTTATGGTTAAGGCCAATTGTTAACAATTAGCATATCATTTTTATGCGCAAGGAATTGAATGTACGAAATAAGTTTAATTTTGAGGAGGAGCTTAATTCTGGTTATGTAATGTCTTCATTAAAACGTCTCATGTTGAGTCAAGTTAACAGCATATCAACGCTTTTACGGTCGATGTATTAAAAGTGTTAAGGTAGCACAATATCTGTGATAAAATCTTACATTAAGCAGCAGGAAGCTTTTAATAATTTAAATATTGTAGATAAATCTGATAGGACAGGATAAGGTAAGAAAGTCAATCACATGAACTATGTAAATAATAACAATCGATTTTGTTTTCGTTTTGTGATGATAAGGATTCTAGTTGTAGTTTAGATAGAATTCCAAGAAACGAGAGCATCGTTATCAAAGTGCACTTATTTACATTGTTAGGTACGCTGTGTATTTAATCCGTAAAGTTAGGTCCCGAGCGTTGAAAATAAAATGTGTTCAAATATTGACCGGAGTGCATTATGAAAACCAAATAAAATACGAAGCGTCGAGTGGAAAAAGCGGTCTTAAGCGCGTCCATTAGAGAGAGGCCTGTCAGAGCTGACACTAATTAATTCAAGAAAAAGTACCCCTTAATGTGATTGTATAATACAATTTCCTCGTCTTGACGTAAAAATGTCGCCTACCGCGCAAAATTCCACAGTTCGATTATTAATTACAGTTGATTTATTAGGGACATTAAAACAAATTACCGGCATTAGGCGATAATATCGAGAAAATAAATAATTATTACGTGTAAAGCTTCAAGCGGAATTATCTCGCGAAAGCGAAATTCGCCGTCATTTTTCAGGGAATCGATAACCGCTGAAAAATTACACCACACTAACCCACCTCGACACAGCACCGCACTGCACTAAGCCAGCGAGGAGCTTCTCGGAGTTGGCGACCGTCGGTGCATCATGATTGGTCATCGCGGCCTTTGTATGGGACAATGGGTCATCCTGGTCGGGCGGTATAACGCGACTGAGGACGCCGAGGTGGGCGCGCCCTCCACAGCGGTCCTCAATCAATCCGGGGAAGACGATACAGGACTGGTTTTTCGTGCTAAATACCCCCGCAATRAAAACTGAGGCTTTTTGCCCGAAGGGTGCCGACGATTATGAAAGTTGACTCATACGCGGATCGTTGAATGCATTTTGGCAACCACACTTTCACTTAAATTTCAGCATTGTTGCGAGTTTCACTGTTTTGGAACCAACAGCGGGAGAGCTGACCACAAAAAGGCCCTTTGATGGTGGCGTTTAAACCACATCTTAGACGGCTTTGGAATAGTCAAACAGTAGGAGTTTAGCCCGACCTTGACTTTAAAAGAAATTGTACTCGAACTTTAACTAAAGCTCGTTTAGTTTCTGAGATGCAGAGGATGCAATCCCAAGTTATTTTTTTAACAACGTGAAGGATTTGTATAGCTGATGTAGTTGCCTTTATTAAGAAATACAATTATACAATACATTATACAGGATAACCTTAAGTAGCGCACAAAATTCATACCTTTGTTTTGAGTCAGTTTCCAAAAAATCCTCAAACAGGTTGTTTTTATTTTTGTAAATGCTACATTTGACATAATGCCAACATTCATGACTTCATTGGTTTTTGATTAATGACGTAATTTTTTTGGTACAGTGATGGACAGTGAATTTCGTCCACCCAATTTCCCTGACAGATTAAAAGTGTAAATTATTCTTTAGGTTTTTTTAAGCTTATTTTTGAATTTTGATTAACGTTTGTCATGTTGTCAGAATGCTCGATGCTTCTTGCTACTTTTTACCTTTGTCCTTTAAAATGGTAGTTCTTGGGTATGCCCAAAAGTATAGAGGCACGTCTTTGAGGCATACCTTCTTGTACCAGAGAGATAATTTTTATTTTATTAAACGCACTTACTGCTGGCATGCTCGAATTTGATTAAATTTGACAATACGTATTTGAATGTCAGTTATCATGACAATAAAGCACAGACTACAGTGAATTTTTGTGAATTCACAGAAATTGGATGGACGAAATTGTATGTACTACTAGCAAGGAATTTATATTTCTATATTCTTTAAAACAGAAACTGCTATAAAAATTGTGATTTAGCAACGTATAATTATAAACTGATTCAGTTAGTGAGTTATGACACAAAAGTATATTAAAAAACAAGTGTTACAAACACTCTCATTGTGTTATAAATGCATAAGTATCATAATGAGAGGTTCGAACACACGTTTTTAATGCTATTTTTTCTATTGAGCGCTTTTAAAATTGAATTAATTATTATTATATGTATATTATGTAAATGACCGTTATGAGGTACCCAAATTGCTAGAAAATAGCTTAAATTGCTAGTTTCGGTGAAATACGTTGAACTGCAAAAATTTTTAACTTATAAACAGCAGTCTATTGCCAGTGGTGGCTAAAGTATTCCATAAAATGCCGCGAAAAAACACAGTGACACTGAAATAGAAAGTTCTTAAATACAATAAAAATATCAAAAGAATAAGTTACGTTTGATCTTGGTGAACTCCTTCATTTGTGGATTATCCTAAATTCCTTTGCTCAATGTTAGTTTTGCTTAATTGAGCGTAACCTAAGACTAAAACCATCCTTAATAAACATGTAAACATTATAAATGGTTCGAATTAAAAATTAGCAGTTCTGTTATTTGAAACGGTAATAACTACTTAAAGGAGCTTAACTTTACTGCTCGCTTGTAATCCTAAAATGGAATATTCTTCATTAATACGATTTCCTTCAGGTAAGTTATGTTTCTATTCACAATTTCTGAAATGTTTGCCATAAATTAAATTTAACCGTCTCAGGGCTATGACCACAATTTTTAAACACAAATTCGATGACCTTTTCTGTGAGAATACCTTACCACTAGGCCATTATACCGGAAGCCCAGTAGACTGTACTCCCTGTGCAAAATTTATAGCTTAAGTACACATAAGTATCCATATATCATAATGCCCCAAATCCGGTGACAAGACCGAGTCATATACGATTACGACGTCAGCTGTCGTTTTGCAACGTCTCCGAATTTCGAGTAAAGCAGCTCTTATTATGCACCCTTGCGACGCGACGCCCCTGTCTGACCCACCAATCCCATAAAGCCGCCACGTGCTATGTGGTACCACTGGAAAAAGGCAAACACGCGATGTTACCACATAGGGCGCACAAACGACGTTATCAAAAAATGTAAACAAGAACACATCACGAATTAGAAGGAGAGTTTAGTAAATTACCTGTGATGTAATTTACACTAATGACTCTGCCTATTTTTGTTCTTGAAAATGTAAAAGCGGGGTCGACGCACGCCGGCTATTAATATGTATATTTTCTGTTATTGAATTTGTACATGTCTAATGCTTTCTAACGCACGTGATTTTTCATCATGATATTGTGAAGATAAATTGTTTTAATATTACTCATGAAAGCAAGACAAAAGTCTGATGTCTTGTGATTATTAGCGAGCAGAAAAATCTAAAACATGGCGCATATAAATAATGCAACACCTTCCGAGGTCTGCGAGAGACAAAATTCCTTACATTTTGCTTGATCCGAAGTGGTTCAAAGGCTCACCAGCGATCGGAGAAATTTAAATTGGGGTAAAAACATGGCTTTTTTTCTTAGGAGCGCAAGAATTTGGCTTAATCCGGTTGCTGCACAAAGCCTTTAATTGATCGTGACGAATGTTAGCTTTGCATCAAATGGGAATTATCATGTTCTGCTTGCTTGTAATCAGATGTAATCCGTTCATGGGCATTAGTTTAGCGTGACTACAAGTTGTTACATGAATTTGCTGCCGATATCCCTTGAGGCATCAAAATTTGTTAAATTTAGATCAACAATTAAATTATTTAGAGTGACGCGCCCGTATTAATTAAAATTATCCCAGAGGAAGCGAGAGCAACTAATTTTTCAGCTTTTACACAAATCCCTCGTTGAATTGACGGCTGATCTAAGCTGCTACAACCCGGTTTGATGGTAACATCGTTCTAAACAAAATTGTTTTGTCTAAGGCCGACTCGGTTCATGATGGTCGGTGTCGACAAGACTAACGAGCTCCTCATTTGGTACATACCGAAACTACTTCAATGGCTGTGGGCAATTAAGTCCCACATACGTCAGATTTGTATCTGTCCGATGGTATTTTAGCTTACAAGCCCTCGATTGGAGCAATTGTTTTAAAAGGATTTAACTGACAGTGGATTGACGCTTGTAACTCAATTTTCATTTTCAAAATTAGAAAGAATTTTACTTACAAGTACTTGTATAGGTAGGTATAATTCATCACTGAACCATAATACGTGCTAATGATATCATAACCAAAAGCTTGAAGATGTTAATTTAAATTACGAAGTTCCTGAAATAACGCGCTTAGAATATTGTACGAGATGAGACTGAGATTCAATTCCGCTTAATTATAATCTGTCTTTAAAAGTAAAAACAGATTTTTTCAAGGCAAATTGAAATTATGCTTTGATTTTAGTTAAAGGAGAACTCTCTGACTTTCGCTAATTAGAGTTAACCCCATAAAGTCAAAAAAATTAACTGATCCTTTTAGTTCTTTATAAACCTGAACGGTGAACTCGCAGCCAATTAAATAATTTGAATCTTGAAATTAGATTGACGGAGCTTTCAGGATAATTGGTGCTGGCCCCGAAAATTGCCTTTTACAACTCAAAAAATTAATTGACTGAAATTAATTTGTAAAGCTAAGATATTGCCTCTTGTATTTTTCATGTGTTTGCTATTTTTCATTTGTAAAAAATCACAATGCTCTCAACCATTACCAAAATATGTTAACCAGATGCAATTAAAAAAGCTAATTCACTTAAAACTTTTGTATAAGGTCGTTGCCCTTTGAATTTATCTAAATCAAACCAAGTAAATAAAGAAACATCAGCGTCAACAATTCAATGTCATACTTATTTCTCGACAACTTTATTTGGAAAAGAAAATTTCGAAAAAGTGTAGATTTCATCTCCTCCCACATGAATACTACGTATTAACCCACAGATGACAGCAATTCATTGCTAATTAGTGTATTTTATCCGCAACACTACAACTTCTTTGTTTTTATATTAACCACTCGTCAAGCTTTAGAGAGAATTTATTCCGCGATAACCCACACCTGAAATCGATAGTTCCTGCTGGTAAGAGCTGAAGCTCTAAATGACACTCGCGCATCTGTTGACCGTTTAATTAAAAGGTTAATTAGCTTTAATCAATATGTTGAGAAAACGACTACGAAAATTCCAGTGTAATTTTAATGTTTTGTGAAAATAAAGCGACGCTAATGACGCTCCTATTTCTTTCAAAGCGACCGGTGCGTAGGTGCTTGAGACAATTATTTTTAATGAAGAAGTTAGCTAAACTCGATTACATCGTTGTTATTAGAATGATGGGGTGTGGGAGGCTCGAATTCAGTCCAAATTTCGTAACAGTATTGTCAGAACGTTCAAAGACGAGTACGAGTATTCGAAACAAAAAAGTTGCTAAGATTTGATGTAGCCATTAAAATCAAATATCGTGTTTTTCGACGCGTTTATTTCATTATCAGCGTCGAAGTTCCAAACAACTCGAACTTTGTTGGCTTTTGGGAAAGTCAGAGCAATCACATTACCAAACATTTATCTTAGAGTTTTGAATCATTTTCGAGTCGTAAAATTTATGATAAATGTTTAAACTCCCGCGACGTATTAAATGGGTCTAGACTGGAGTAGGATGTTGAAAAAGTCAAGACGAATGGACCTAGCACAACATCTAAGCACTGGTAGAGGATCGTTTCAATTCACAATGACTCATAGACTGTAAGAAATTGAAACGATGGCGATATTTTTACGGAAATGAGATTTTTCGGTGGGATTCC